TGATTTGAGACAGAAGGTCTGGTCTCAGAGGTAGAACTAGAGGACAAGCACATGATAGGCGCAGAAGGTCTGGAAACCAAGACTGTTTCGGCCATGCTGGAGCAATAACTATGATCTTGCAATTTTCCCCTGCTATTTTCTGAAGTACTGGGGAGAGAAACCTGAAAGGAGGGAAGGCGTACCCGAACATTCCTTTCCAAGATAGGCTGATTGCGTCTACCGCAAAAGATTTTGGATCTGGAACCGGAGACACAAATGTTAGAAGTTTGTGATTGAGACTGGTCGCAAACAGATCTATCTGAGGTGACCCCCAATGAAGAGTCACAGCTTTGAAAACTACTTGAAGTAGTTCCCACTCCGTGTTTACTGGAGCAAGGGATCTGGATAGAGTGTCGGCTAGAATATTGAGGTGCCCCGCAATATGTCTCACCACTAGATGAACCTGGAGTTGAAAACACAGAAGGAGAATGTCTCTGGCTATCTGATAAAGAGAAGGTGAATGAGTTCCTCCCTGATTCTTGAGATAAGCTACAACTGTTGTGTTGTCCGTGGCCAGAATGACAGACTGATTCTTTAGAGACATTTGGAAATGATTCAGTGCAAACAGAACTGCTTTCATTTCCAATACATTGATATGCTCTTCCAAAAGATCTGGATTCCAGACTCCCGAGATTGTAAGCCCCTCCAGATATGCTCCCCAACCGAGGGTGGAGGCATCTGTGAATAATGTTAGACTGGGAACTTGAGGGGACAGACATAGGCCCCTCATCACATTTTCCCGTACTAACCACCATTGAAGGTGTGGAAATAAAGGCTGAGTGATTGGAATCAATGCTTCCCATTCTTGTGAAGCTGGAATCCATAACTTGTGCAGATAAAACTGAAGCGGACGAATGTGAAGTCGTCCCAATGGAATTACATCTGCCAGAGAGTTCAATAGACCCAGAAGTTGCAAGAATTGACGTGCTGTGACTGATTGAACCGTCAGGAATAAATGTATTTTCTGACATAGTTTTGTAAATTTTTCCTCTGGTGGGAGGACTAGGCCTACACTGGTTAGGAAATGTTCTCCCAGGAAAACAAAGTCTTGAGAAGGAATTATCTCTGACTTTTTCCAAGAGATTAGGAAGCCTAGGGACAGAAAACAATTGATGACCAAATCTGTCTGAACCCTCAATTTGATTGGGCAAAATTCCTTGAGAAGGGAATCGTCCAGGTAGGAATGAATCTGAATAGACAGGGAATGTAGGTGAGCTATAGCTGCCTGCATGATTTTGGTAAAAGCCAAAGGGGCTGTAGACAGGCCAAAAGGGAGAGCCTTGAACTGGAAAACTTTGTTGTTCCAAACGAAGCGAAGGTATTTCCTGTAAGTATGGGAAATGGGAATGTGGAAATAAGCATCTGAAAGATCCAGAGAAGTAGTCCACATTCCTGGAAGGATTGAAGCCCTGATTGATCTGTTGGTTTCCATTTTGAAATGGGGAACAATAAGAAAGTTGTTCAGAATAGATAGGTCTATGACCGGCCTCATTCCTCCAGTCTTCTTTGGAACCAGAAAAAGACGGGAATAAAATCCCGGGGACAGAGTTAAGAGCGACACCTCCTCTATTGCAGATTTTTGTAACATTGTGTCCACTTCTACTGATAGAAGTTGATACTTGACTGGGTCTTGAGTATGAGACAAACTTATTTGAACTGCAGACAGAGGAGGTGGGTTCTTGAACTGAAGTGTTAATCCCCCTCGAATTATTGACAGCACATAACAGCCTGAGGTAATTTTCTTCCACTGATTTAGGAAAAAACTTAACCTCCCCCCTACTGGTATTGATTTTTGAGGAACTTGTTGTAAATTTTCCCCTGGGGAAGCTGTCAATAACGTACGAGGGGGCAAGAACCTAGGTACTAGACCCATGTTTCTTGGGACCCTTAAAACCACCAGAAGGCTTACCTGAGCTTTTTCCGGAGTTATTGGGTTTGTTCTGCGGTTTGCCGTAGTTATTCTTCCTTTTCTTAGCAGAAGAAGGAGGACCACCTGAAGCAGAAGTACTAGTAGAACTAGATGTAGCATTAACCGACCTCTTGCCATTAGTAACTTGTACACTAACTTTGACTGGAGGAGGGTTTTTGCTGAGTTCCTCTTGAACCCGCTGTAAGGGTAAACCAAACATCTTGTCAGTAAGTGGAGATTTCAGTAAAGAATCTTTCAAAGGCTCAGCGACAGAAATGTTTTCAAGAAACTCTGCTCTTTTAGATAGGGTGCAATTAGCAATAGAACCCATTAAAAGCAACTGAGATGAACCTAGAGCTTTATCCAGTTGAAGTAAGAAGGATCGTACTTCTGCTGGAACAACCGAATCTTCGCTGTTAAGCAAATGTCCGGTTGCAGCTAGAAAATGTTCGGCTGTGCCAAGAACTTGAGAAGCACTACGAAGGAGATTCTCAGTCTTTGACCAAACAGGTTGAGTGAGACGAAGACCATCTACTGGCTTTTTTCCCAATAAAGATGACATAGATTTGTCACAACTGGGAACAAGTCTACCCAGTGAAGAATCAAAGATATCAAAATCCTTGTACTTAACCTGATCAGAAAAGGATGACATTCCAAATCCAGAGATATAGTTATTAGCAACCTTTTCACTAGCAGAATTAGCGATACCTTCATTAATAAATTGTAAAGCAAATGCCATATGGCCAGATTCAGGAAAAGAATTGTGAGAAGTCACAGTATCCTGAGAAATACCACAGGAAGCTTCAAAAGTTGAAGAAGGTTTCTTCGGCTTGGAAGGAGAGGCAAAAGGGATATGTGCTTCATCCCTCATCAAGGTATACACCTTATCCCTAAGATCCTTCAAGGATGGAGGATCCTCAGTCTCCTTGGTGGGAGGTTGTTGAGCTGACTTAGAAGAAGGCTCAGGGGCCGTCTTCGATACCTTGGGAGAAGAAGAACTTTCAACATCCTCATCAGTGAGGAAAGCCCTTTCATGACTCCCAGGGGAAACAGAAAGCTCGTCATCCTCCCTCTCATCACATTCTACAGACTTAGCTGGAGAAGGTTGATGAGAAGAAACTCTATTCTCCAGTAGAGACATACGACTGGATAGAGTACTAAATTCAGCCTTGAAAGACTCACCAAAGTCCAAAAGTAACTTCTGAAAACCATCCAAAGATGATGCATGATCAGAAACCGGAGTACCATGAGAAGAGCTAGAAGATTGAGCTCGAGAGTCAGGTACGGTGGTAGAAGGAGCTACTGCAGGAGTCAAAGATACTGCTACGGGTGGAGCAGGAGCTAAAGGTGGTGCAGTAGCTACCCCAGAAGGGGGACCATAGAAATTGTCCCTATAAGGCCAAAAACCAGGTTGGTTTGGCATAAACCCACCATAAGGGTAAGACTGTGGCCAAGGTGGCTGAGACCATGAGGGTAAAGGTTGTGTGCCCGAGTTGGGAAGCATATACCCACAATAGGATAATGGGGGTCTAGAACCTGGCAAGTTCAAGCCCATAGCTGTACCTGGGACAGAACTAATAGTACCCGCTGAATTAACAGGCCTAGATAAAGTATGAGTCACCGAAGTTGACGTAGGTACCCCCCCAAAATGCATGGCCGAACCTTGTGAAAGGGTCGGATAGGTAGCATTACCAGACACCGTTATCGAAACTCCGGTCAATGTACTGGTAGTTTGGGGGGGACTTAAAGGTAGTGACCCATCTAAGAGATAGTCCGAACCAGGAATATTTACGTACGGACTATTCAAATTAAAGTCCATAATAAAATTTACTTTAGTCAAAAAAACACAAATAATTTGTTTAGAAATTCAAACTAAACAAGGGAATAAATTTCCAATAAAATACACAATATATGAAAAGCAATTAAGCTATTCAAAAAACTTTACAAACAACTAAACACTTCTCTGTTGAATCTGTAAAAATGTGCACGTGTGACCGATGTCGCAGATGGAAATTGAATGGGAGAATATGGGCAAACAGGGGTATATGTCCGGACCAGTGAGAGTACTTTTATTTTTAGTCGGGATTTTCCATCTGACCTATGACGCAATTGGGGTTACACTCAGAATTTATGATGGTAACGTATTTATAGCTATAAAATTGTATACATGTTTTTGTAGTCACACTGAATTTATACTTTCTATCTTTTTAAATGGATATCTTAAAATTTTAATCCCCTTTTCTATAAAACAACCTTAAAAAGAAAAATGGCCATATCATGGATATCAAATATTGCAGCAATAGATAACTTTAAAATTCTTGCACTTTCCCGTAAATTTCCTATGTCATAATCCTTATGTTATTACTTCACAGTAATAACTGATTATTCAAAGACGTCGTCAACACTGATTGACCTCAGGTCAACTGGTGTAACTCATACATAAAAAACAACTTGAGATTTGTGTATTCAACTAGAAAGTTAGTAAGCATTAAAATGATAATCTCTGAACATAATATGATTTATTTATTAGTTGACATTGGGCTTTGAACTAGATTTCAGTAACTGTGAGTACTCTTAGATTGGAAATTTGTGTCTTTTGTCTTTTCATTATTTGTGTTTTTGCTAAAAACCTTTCTGATCAGTCAAGCCCTTTCCAATAGAGTTTGATCTTAATTGTTGTAACACAATTGTCCAAGGCAAAGGGGCAGGTTGAGTGCCCACAAGCATGTTACACCCCGCCACATTCTTTATGTGCCTGTTCCAATCCAAAAACCCTGTAATCCAGTGGTTGTTGTTGGTTGTTGTCTGCCATACCTGGTTTGGTTCATTGTTGTAATATAAAAAAGAACCTTGGTTTTCTATTTTGAATTATTTCACATTGTGTCATACCCGGGCTTTTTAAAGCTTCCTATATGGTTCACAAATTGCTCATTGTTGAAGGCTTTAAGGTATCCTGCAATTGTTCACATCTTTGTTCTTTGGTCTTTATGGATAGTTGTCCCATTGTTAATCCTACCACATCCCCTTAATTGTATCAAGAAGTTTGACTCACATGATAAAATGGGGCACACTCCACAACCATCACCTGGAACTTTCTCTTCTTTGCTGCTTTCTGTAAAAAAACCAATTAATTAATTTACACTTTATGGTATTTTCATTAAAAGAAATTTTTTTTTGTAGGACACTAGAAGGACTCAGCCTGTATCAACTACTTGGACAATCTTTTTTACAGAAAGGATTGCAATTACTAATACTTAACCCTCTTGTAAAATAAATCAAAAAGGGGGGGGGTTGCCATGAGTATATGTTTGCATTTTTGTTTATGCTTTTTCTATGATGAGGGCCTCAGGGAAGATAAGTTATATAGCTAACTGTGTAACCCTCTTAAAATAAAGTATTGTTGTTGTTGTTGTGTTTGTTGTTGTTGTTGATGTGTTTATTGTTGTTGTTGTTAGTACAATATACAAGTCTTAGTTGTGGATTTCCATGCATGCAGATTTGTACAATATTTAGAAACCTAGAAAAAAAAGGATTAATTTTGGAACAAAAATGATTTAATTGTAACTTTATTCATTCACATTAAATTTGTTTATTTCTTTGTTGATTTGCTTTAAATGTAAAAGTCATTAAATTAATATAGAAAAAGGTTTATCTTAGAAGCAACCCCTGTAGAACACAAAACTTAATTTGACATAATCTGATTTTTCCATTTAAAAAATTCATAAGGGGTTTCGTGGAACCCTGTATCTAGCCTGCGATTGCTGCTGTCAGTGTAAAAGTGTAATGTTGACTTAAAAAGTGAGTCCATTTATCAGTAAAATACAAAATTGAAAAAAAAATTCAAACTTTTTCTTTAGATGCTATTTCTTGGTCTTGAAGATAAGCTTCTGTCCAAGTTTCATAACAATCCATGAAGGTTTACAAATTTATCATGTCAAAAAAATGTAATCCTAGACTGTCTCTAGTAATCTGTAAAAAAACTAAGTCCATCTATCAGAAAAATACTGCAAATGAAAAAAATATATTTTCAAAAGTTTGCTTCAGACATTATCTCTTAAACATAAAAAAGCTTCTGCCAAAAATTCATAAAATTCTATGAGGCTTTGACAAAGTAATTGATGTGTATCAAACTTTAACCCCAGACTGTATCTACTTGTTAACTGTAAAAAAAACTAAGTCCATTTACCAGTAAAATACAGAAAAATAAAAATAAATATTTTCAAAATTTTGCTCTGGATACTGTATTTTGGTCATTAACAAGTTTCTGTCCAAATTTCATAAAATTTCATGATGGTTTGACAAAGTTATTGATGACTGAAAAACTTTTACCTCAGACTGAGCCTGAATGTTAACTGTAAAAAAACTAAGTCTATTTATCAGTAAAATACAGAATAAACGCTCCGCTGGGTGCAGCTTGATACGACCTCAGAGGTTGAACCCTGAACAGTTGGGGAAAGTATGGACACAACATTCAAGCTTGATACAGCTCTGAATTTGGATTGTGATTAAATATTTGACACAGCATAGGTTTCTGACACAGAATGAATGTGGTCTAAGAACTTAAAAAATTTTAATTTACCTTATGGTCCAATATCCAAAATCTAAATATAAGATTCAGCATATCAAAGAACCCCAAGAATTCAATTTTTGTTAAAATCAAACTAAGTTTAATTTTGGACCCTTTGGACCTTAATGTAGACCTATTTGAAAACGGGACCAAAAATTAAGAATCTAAATACACGGTTAAATTCAGCATATCAAACAACCCCAATATTTCAATTTTTGATGAAATCAAACCATATCATTATTATTTGATTTTATATATAAATCAAAAATTACCAACTTAAAATGAAAAATTTTAAAGAAAACAAAACTAGAGGCTCTCAAGAGCCTGTGTCGCTCACCTGTATTTACTGATGATTTGGAAATCATGTAAAATAAGGTTAAAATCATAATTAATAGTATTAGATATTAGATATTATAATGATATCTAAGATAACAAAAAACTGCAAAATTTTTGTAAAATTACTAACTCAGGGGCAGCAACCCAACAACGAGTTGTCGGATTCGTCTGAAAATTTCAGGGCAGATAAATCTAAATCTGATGAACATTTTTGCAACCTGTCAGATTTGCTCTAAATGCTTTAGTTTCAGAGATATGAACCAAAAACTGCATTTTACCCCCATGTTCTATTTTTAACCAAGTCGGCCATGATGGTTGGAAGGCGGGGTCATCGGACAAATTTTTTAAACTAGATACCCTAATAATGATTATGGCCAAGTATGGTTAAATTTGTCTCAGTAGTTTCAGAGAAGAAGATTTTTGTAAAAGATTACAAAAATTTACAAAAAATTGTTAAAAATTTACTATTAAGGGCAATAACTCCTAAAGGGGTCCACTGACAATTTTGGTCATGACAACTTATTTGTAGATCTTACTTTGCTGAACATTATTGCTGTTTACAGTTTATCTCTATCTATAATAATATTCAAGAAAATAACCAAAAACTGCAAAATTTCATTAAAATTACCAATTCAGGGACAGCAACCCAACAACAGGTTGTCAGATTTGTCTGAAAATTTCAGGGCAGATAGATCTTGACCTGATAATCAGTTTTAATCTATGTCAGATTTACTCTAAATGCTTTGGTTTCAGAGATATAAGCCAAAATCTACATTTTACCCTTATGTTCTATTTTTAGCCATGGCGGCCATCTTGGTTGGTTTGCGGGGTCATCGGACACATTTTTTAAACTAGACACCCTAATGATGATTGTAGCAAAGTTTGGTTAAATTTGGTTTCAGAGGAGAAGATTTTTGTAAAAAGCTAACGACGACGGACGACGACGACGGACGACGGACACCAAGGGATGAGAAAAACTCACTTGGCCCTTCGGGCCAGGTGAGCTAAAAGGAAAAAAAGGAAAAAAAAATCCCCCCCCCCCCCCCCCCAATTTTTTGAACCCCCTTATGATTCATCACCCCCAAACTCAATCCCAGCCTTCCCTTTATGATATGGTACCTTGCGGTACAATTTCAGAGAGATCCATACACTTGAACACAAGTTATTGTCTGGAAACTGTAAAAATGCTTGTTTTTTTGGCCCCTTTTTGGCCCCAAATTCCAAAACGTTTAGGGCAATTACCCCCAAACTCAATCCCAGCTTTCCCTTTGTGATATGGAACCTTGTAGTACAATTTCATAAAGTTCCATACACTTACACACAAGTTATTGTCCTGAAACTAGAAAAATGCTTGTTTTTTTGCCCCTTTTTGGCCCCTAATTCCTAATATTTTAAAGCAATTACCCCCAAAATCAATCCCAGCCTTCCCTTTGTGGTATGGTACCTTGCAGTACAATTTCAGAGATCCATACACTTGAACACAAGTTATTGTCTGGAAACTAGAAAAATGCTTATTTTTAGCCCCTTTTTGGCCCCTTATTCCTAAACATTTTAGGCAATTACCCCCAAACTCAATTCCAGCTTTCCCTTTGTGATATGGAACCTTGTAGTACAATTTCAGAAAGATCCATACACTCACACACAAGTTATTGTCATGAAACTAGAAAAATGCTTGTTTTTGCCCCTTTTTTGGCCCTAATTCCTAAAATTTTGAGGCAATTACCCCCAAAATCAATCCCAGCATTCCCTTTGTGATATGGAACCTTGTGGTACAATGTCAGAGAGATCCATACACTAACACACAAGTTATTGTCTGGAAGTTACAATAAAATGCTTCGCTGGGGCGCAGCTTGATACGACCGCAGAGGTCGAACCCTGAACAGTTGGGGCAAGTATGGACACAACATTCAAGCTTGATACAGCTCTGAATTTGGATTGTTATTAAATATTTGACACAGCATAGGTTTCTGACACAGAAAGAATGTGGTCTAAGAACTTGAATTTTTTTAATTTACCTATTATGGTCCAATGTCCAAAATCAAAATACATGGTTGGATTCAGCATATTAAAGAACCCCATATATTCAATTTTTGTTAAAATCAAACAAAGTTTAATTTTGGACCCCAACTTGGACAAACTTGAAAACTGGGCCCATAATAAAAAATCTAAACACATGTTTAGATTCAGCAAATCAAAGAACCCCAAGAATTCAATTTTTGCTAAAATCAAACTAAGTTTAATTTTGGACCCTTTGGACCTTAATGTAGACCAATTTAAAAAACGGGACTTAAAATTAAAAATCTAAATACACGGTTAGATTTGGAATATCAAAGAACCCCAATAATTCAATTTTTGATGAAATCAAACAAAGTTTAATTTTGGACCCTTTTGACCTCAATATGAACCAATTTGATAGCGGGGCCCACAAATAAAAAATCTAAATACATGGTAAGATTCAGCATATCAAAGAACCCCATATATTCAATTTTTGTTGAAATCAAAAAAAGTTTAATTTTGGACCCCAACTTGGACCAACTTGAAAACTGGGCCCATAATCAAAAATCTAAACACATGTTTAGATTCAGCATATCAAAGAACCCCAAGAATTCAATTTTTGTTAAAATCAAACTAAGTTTAATTTTGGACCCTTTGGACCTCAATGAAGACCAATTTAAAAAACGGGACCCAAATTAAAAATCTAAAAACACGGTTAGATTTGGCATATCAAAGAACCCCAATAATTCAATTTTTGATGAAATCAAACAAAGTTTAATTTTGGACCTCAATTTGGACCAACTTTAAAACTGGGCCCATAATCATAAATCTAAATACATGTTTAGATTCAGCATATCAAAGAACCCCATATATTCAATTTTTGTTGAAATCAAACAAAGTTTAAATACTGGACCCTTTCTTGGACCAACTTGAAAACTGGGCCCATAATCAAAAATCTAAACATATGTTTAGATTCAGCATATCAAAGAACCCCAAGAATTCAATTTTTGTTAAAATCAAACTAAGTTTAATTTTGGACCCTTTGGACCTTAATGTAGACCAATTTAAAAAACAGGACCCAAAATTAAAAATCTAAATACACGGTTAGATTTGGAATATCAAAGAACCCCAATAATTCAATTTTAGATGAAATCAAACAAAGTTTAATTTTGGACCCTTTTGACCTCAATATGAACCAATTTGATAACGGGGTCCACAAATAAAAAATCTAAATACATGGTTAGATTCAGCATATCAAAGAACCCAATATATTCAATTTTTGTTGAAATCAAACAAAGTTTAATTTTGGACCCCAATTTGGACCAAATTGAAAACTGGGCCAAAAATCAAAAAATCTAAATACATGTTTAGATTCAGCATATCAAAGAACCTCATGTATTCAATTTTTGCTACAATCAAACAAAGTTTAATTTTGGACCCTTTGGACCTTAATGTAGACCAATTTGAAAACTGGACCCAAAATTAAAAATCTAAATACACTGTTAGATTCGGCATAACAAATAAATAAATGTGATCAAAGATTTTACAAATCTAATGCGCCATACTGTGCAATTAAAGATTACTTCTTGAAATTTTTCAATATTTGAAATTTGAAAAAAAAATAATATTTGAGGAATAATTCTTTTTAATTTCTGAAATCTGAAATGAGAAAAAATTGCCCCCCAACAATTTCTTTTTATCCCCCCCCCCCTTTTTTTCCCTTAAAAAATTCTTTCCTTCAAGATATGGTCATAATCTCAATTCAAATTTCCAATGGAGTTGGCAACCATAATTACCCATTTAAATTTACCATAGTGCTAACTTAATCTATTTTATAATAGAATTCAAAATATAGTGTCAAATCATTCATCTGGATTTTTTTGTAAAAAAAAAAGATGCAACATTTGCAGATATTTTTACTGGTCTTCCTTTATAAATATGCATTTCTTTAAACATAATTTAAAAGCAGTGTAAGGGAAGTAACCAAAATGTTGTATTTGGATTACCTCCCTTACACTGTTTTAAATTATCTGTATTGTTCATTAACCATTACTTTATACATAATTTAAAAGCAGTGTAAGGGAGATAATTTCAATGATGTATTTGATTTATCTCCCTTACACTGCTTTAAATTGTGTTTTGTACTAATATATTTGTCCATTAACCAGGACAACCTTGTTTTTCCCCCTTTTTTGCCCCTAATTCCTAAACGGTTTGAGCCATAACCCCCCAAAGCAAATCCTAACCATCCCTTTGTGGTATGGAAACTTGTAGTATAATTTCAGAGAGATCCATACACCGTTCCACAGTTATTGCCTGGAAACTAGAAAATGCTTATTTTTGGCCCCTAATTCCTTAACTGTTGGTACCTTAACCCCCAAAATCAATCCCAACCTTCCTTTTGTGGTATTTAACCTTATGGTCAAATTTCAAAAAGATCCATTCACTTAAACTAAAGTTAGAGTGCGAAAACCAATGTGTCTTCGGACGACGACGCCGGACGACGACGACGCTGGACGACAACGACGACGACGACACCAACTTCATACCAATATACGACCACAAAATTTTTTGCGGTCGTATAAAAATGCTTATTTTTGGCCCCTTTTTGGCCCCTAATTCCTTAACTGTTGGTACCATAACCCCCAAAATCAATCCCAACCTTCCTTTTGTGGTATTGAACCTTATGGCAAAATTTCATAGAGATCAATTCACTTAAACTTAAGTTATTGTGCGAAAACCAATGTGTCTTCGGACGACGACGACGACGATTCCAACGTCATACCAATATATGACGGCAAAATTTTTTTGCAGTCGTATAAAAATGAAAATAAATATTTTCAAAATTTTGCTCGGGATACTGTATTTTGGTCATAAACAAGTTTCTGTCCAAATTTCATAAGATTCAATGAAGATTTGATTAAGTTATTGATGTCTAAAAAAACTTTAACTACAGACCTAACCTAAATGTTGACACCGCTGACGGAATCTAGGATCACTATGTCTCGCTTTCACGACATAAATGTCGCAGGCTCGACATAGATTACCCACCATGCATGTTCACTTTAACGGAAGTGATTTATTTCCTCCTAGAAAGTCATCAAGTTTTGAGCAACAACAACAAAAAAATGTGACAACAAAACCTTATCATAAGCTTTTTAAACATCCATAACCAAATTTTTATTTTTTACTTTTTTCTATCTCTGACGTTAAAATGTAAAAAAAAGTTACCAAATTTCAGAGAATTTTATTTTGTTAAGGAATGACTGTAGTATTTTTTCTGTCTATGAAGAAATAACATCAAAAATGTGGTGCACACTGAATAACCCGCGCAGCGGGTTATTCAAAAGTGTGCACCACATTTTTTTAGGTTATTTCGAATAGACAGAAAAAATATTACAGTCATTCCTTATAATTTAATTCTAAATTCCATTTTTAAGGAGTAAATTTTGAAAAAAACATTGGTGACGTCACGGTCACATGACAAAATTATGTCTATGAGCTGATAGACAAAACACTTTCAGCCAATCAGAAGACATGTTACATCCAAAATTAAATTATTACAATATGGATATAAAATTTCCTTTTATCTATATCTGAGAAAATATGTTAAATTAATTCAGAAGGATTTCAACAAATGCATACATAATGTTACATATATATATATATCCATGTTTGAGTTTTCTTTCCAATTACCTTGAGAAATGCCTCTACAGTTTTTGATTTTCCCGCTGTTAATATTACTTCATTGGAGTGTATATGTTCTAAGGCTTGTCCAGCTATATTATCCGCACTGAAATAAAAACATCTTTAAAATTCTTTATCAATGTCACCTCCAACAACACAATTTTAGAAGTGAAATGTTTTTTTTATATCATTTCAAGTACTATGTTTGACAATTCCTTATATCTCTTTTCATGTGTTATATAATATTCATTTTATGTTTAAAAACATAGACATAAATAAACTTTAGTGTAATTGTTTTATTGCACTAAAAAGGTCTTAATTTATTTCAAATAATTATATAATTATTGTAAAACAATAAAATAATAATTGATATAGAGAAAAATAGTAAACAAACCTATTTTCTAATTCAGTCTTTAATTCATTAACAGCCTCTATCACAGTTGCCTGAAATTAAATAGAATATACTGAATCAACCATGCTTATTATTATTAATACTGAAAAAACTCATTCTTATTACCAAAAAAATAAAACAAAATGACATACTTACACATAATATCACCAAGTGAACGAAATATAATGAAATACTTATGTTTATTAATACCTGAATGAAATACCCAAACATATTATATTCACCATGTGAATAAAATAAACTGAAATACAGACAAACCTGTATTAAGCAGTCACTTTTGGGAAGTATCAAAAGACAAATAAAACGAGGTTCCGAAAAATTCCAATTCCAATTCCCTCATCGCCCCTTGCATGGATCAGGGCAAATTGTTTTAGTGTTTTCAATCAGCAGAGTCGTCGTTCTTCCGAGCAGTGATATAAAAAAATTCGTAAGGGTTCCGCGGAACCCAGTGTCTCGCCTACTTTTTCTGTTAATCGCAGGCTCAACAAAAATGAGGAAGTAAATCAATAAAAATATTCCTCTTGATACTATCTTTTGATTGTAAGAAGCTTCTGTCTAAGTTTGGTAAAAATCCAGGATAGTTTATGAATCTAATAAATGTTTAAAAACTTTAACTGCAGACTGAATGTAATGTTAACTGGAAGAAAACAAAATTTCCTTCTAGATACTAGCATTTGATCATAAACAAGCTTCTGTCCAAGTTTGGTACAAATCCAAAATAGTATAAGAAAGTTATTAAAATTTTAAAAACTTTAACCACAGAGTGAATGTGTTGTTTCCTGGCAGAAAATCTAAGTCCATTTAAAAGTAAAATACTGAAAAAATGGATTTATTTTTTTACAAAATTTCCTTCTAGATACTAGCTTTTGATCATAAACAAGCTTCTGTCCAAGTTTGGTACAAATCCAAAATAGTATAAGAAAGTTATTAAAATTTTAAAAACTTTAACCACAGAGTGAATGTGTTGTTTCCTGGCAGAAAAACTAAGTCCATTTATAAGTAAAATACGGAAAAAATGGAATTTTATTTTTACAAAATTTACTTCTGGATACTATCTTATGATCATGAACCAGCTTCTGTCCAAGCTTGGTAGAAATCCAGGATAGTTTAAGAAAGTTATTAAAATTTCAAAAACTTTAACCACAGAGTGAATATTTGTGGACGCCGCCGACGACAACGACGACGATGACGCCGCCGACGGAATGTAGGATCGCTATGTCTCGCTTTTTCGACTAAAGTCGAAGGCTCGACAAAAATGGCTGATTCCAGCACTGTAAATTTGAAGAAAACATTGGTTATATGTATATATTCATGGAGAAATAAGTTGGTGATAAGGTTTTCAATGGAAACTGAAGGGAGGGGAACATGAAGAATCACAGATTCACCTTTTGCTAGATCTCAGCTGAAAATGGTTTCCGATATTCGTTTGGACTTTGATACTGAACATATATTTTTCATCATGATTATTTTGGTAGTTAAAAATATTAAAATGACAATTGTTAAAAGTTAAATTGACAATTGTGTAAATTCGGTGACCTCTGACATGGTTAGACTGTTAAGGCAGGTTTGACTGTAGTTATTTCTATTGTGAAGTAAATCAAATATACTGAAACACCTATACTTATTAGTAAGTGAATAGATATAAATGTTCTCCCCAGTATCTTCAAATAGCACCTTGATTTTTGAAATAGCACTGTTTCCCTAAAATTATAGCACCACATTTATAATAAATCCTATCAATGATAGGTTATCATAAAATCTATTCAAATAGTACCATGGTAAAAGTTACACTTAAATATATAAGCATTTGGAGAACATTGGTATTAAAGATACTGAAATACAAATACTTATTACTAAATAAAAAAAATTCTACTGACATACTACTATTTTATATAAAATATACCGGTACTTAAATATCCAAATTTTTTATAAGGTATCAAATACTGAAATACCTATAATGATTATTGTTTGAAAAATTTATGCTGAAATACCCATACTTTTCACAATGTTTCTGGAGGGTTCCAATTTTATTCTGAAAGGAGATCACCATCTCTGTACTTTCAAGATTCCTTTGCCAAATTTTTTCAGTCGATATCGAAATATGTGACCAAAAATTAGCATTTATATTTCTGTGTCTGCCACAAGACAATTTTTTCTTCCATGACTCACTGTACATGCATCTGTCTATGTTTATGTTTTTTGTCTATGTAGAATTTGGTGTTAATGTACGACCTTTGATTTTTTTTCACAGCTTGTTTCTAAGTGATTTCAAGCTTGCCATCTAGTATGATTGCTGGTCCACCTTTGAAAACTACATCGTTAGCTCTAAATACCTATTTCTGGTGAACTGGTATTGTTGGAAGATGTCTCTCTACTCCCACCTATTTACATTTTATTTTTCAAGGATACTTATCTAACTGTTAAACAGGTGAAATATAATGAAGAAGAATTAATTTTCGTGACAAACATACCTTGAGATTTGGCACAGACTGACCATAGTCTTCTTTTTGTCCTTCTGCTGATAATAATTTCTACATGAAAAAAAAAAAATGAATGAATTATAAGAGACTTTAGTTTAGACCTAATTTTTTGTAGATATCATGAAGTTGGGTCAACTGGAGTATACTGAATCAACCATGATGTTTAGAAATACATTGTTTGGGTGTAATCAGTTTTCTTGCACTTTCATAACAGATATCTTCTACTACACATGAAGGTCTTGTAGGGTTGGTAAAACATGTATCTGGTAGAATAAATTATGTGTTAACAAAGCTTAAATAGTTTCCAAAAATTTTACTGAAATTTTTCATAAAATTTTACTTGGTCATCAATGAAAGTTATGCTGTACTCATTTATTGAAAAAAATATATAATTATATTCACTGAAAATATAAGATTTAAAACTACAAAAACATCAACTTTGTAAAAAAAGGGAAAAGATACAAAAGGAACAATAAACAATTATAAGTCGTGGAAAGACAGACAATGAAAAGCTTAAAAGACAAACAACCGTCTACAAAACACTACAAAGAAATCTATCCTTTGCACTTGTTGGTTGAGTGTGTTACACTTATGTCTGTTGTTTTGTTAACAATTTTGCATTAAGCTATATGTGTGGAACTGTATAGTATCAATATACTGTGGATTCATTTTATTTTCATGGGGACCAAAATTCTTTGATCGTGAAGTAAAAAAAAAAAAATCATGGTTACCTAGTTTGTGGTTTTGACAAATTCTGCACTCAAACCTATGGGAAATTTGTGATTTCTCTGAACACTTATAAAAGTGATTTCGCTGAACAAGTTACATTTATGATTTTGATGATCACTAATATTTGTGATTGCTATACCAATAAAATCCACAAAAACTATTACCCCATGAATATAAATGAATCTACAGTAGATCAAAATGTCTCACTGGCCATGCTGGCCAAAAATATTTAATTATCAATTTATATCAAAAATAATACTCAATAATACTCATATGACTTACATGTAGAGATTCTTGTGGATCAGCTTCTTCAGAACCCTTTAAAGCACTGTCAAAATGAAATAAAATTTCATGAACTTACAAAAAAAAATAGCCATCACCGGGGTAATATCAATAATAAACTGTTATCACAGAGATATGTCTCACCTTTTTGTAATTTTGATAATGCAAATGTTGACATTAAAATAGCAATACTTTAACATTTAAGTTATGCAAATATTCAAAGTCGATGAACCATGACTGAAGGTACATGGCTTAACAATCTCCATGGAATGAGATGTGCCAATGCTAATACAACTGCATACCAAATACCATTGACTTATTATATGTCGTTCCCTTTAAAAAAACCTAAACACAAACATTAACTTGTAAACTGTGTAAAAGTTTCAAAGTCAATGAACCATGATCAGGGGTGGGCTATATAATCTCCATGGAAACGATACTTGCAAATGATAATAAATTTGCATACCAAATATCATTGACTTAACATTAGCAGTTCATCTTAACCTGATCTAATCACAAACTAATACATGTAAACTAAGCAAAAGTTTCAAAGTCAATAGACCATGACTGAGGGGGCGGGGCCAAATATTCTCCATGGAAATGAGATGTGCTAATGCTTATACAACTGAACACCAATTAACATTGGCCTACCACTAATGGTTCCCCTTGAACTGACCTAATCACAAACTAATACATGTTAACTTAGCAAAATTTTCAAAGTCTATTGACCATGACTAAGGGGGCGGAGCCAAATAATCTCCATGGAAATGAGATATGCCAATGCTTATACAACTGCATACCAAATATCATTGACCTACCACTAGTGGTTCCCCATAAATTGACCTACCGGTAATCACAAACTAATACATGTAAACTATGAAAAGTTTCAAAGTCAATAGACCTTGACTGAGAGGGCAGGGCCAAATAATCTTCATGGTAATTAGATGTGCCAATGCTAATTCAACTGCATACCAAATATCATTGACCTACCACTAGTGGTTCACCATGAACTAGACCTAATCACAAACTAATACATTGTTGACGCAGTCGCCGTCGCCGGAAACAGCATACCTATGTCTCGCTTTTTGACTCCGTCAAGGCGAGACAAAAATGGCAATAATTCCTACTCAAAGAATGTTTACCAGAACTAAAATTTTATTACTCACTAAGAGTAGCTGTATGAGAATCTGGATATGACAAGAGTAATACTTGTGCATGTATTGCTCACCTAGTGAAAAAGTACCAGTCTGCTAATGGGGACCTTTATATGTACATACTAGTTATACTTAGCTATAGTGTTGCTAATCATTATTGCTCTTCATGTGTTTAACCTTCATGTAGCTCATATAGTTTTTAAGATAACAGACAAAACTGCAAAAAACACTAAAAGTCAACATTTTAGGAGTAACATCTCCAAAAAGGGTTGTCAGAATTTCTGATATTTTCAGAGAAGCTAGAACAGTTTTCAAGATAACTGCAAAAAACTGAAATTGGAAAAAAATGTTATTTCAGGGGCAATCACTCCAAATCTTTTTAACAGATTTTTCAGAAATTTTCAGGGTAAATAGATCATGTCTTACAGATCATTTGCAATTTACACTTTTAACCTAGCTTCTATAGTTTTCACCATAACAGCCAAAAACTATGAAAATTGAAATCAAAGTGCTGGATAGCACCTGTGGAAAGTTTGCAACGGTAGATGTGTATTATTTCAAATAGGTTGTAGATGTGTATTATTTCAAATAGGTTGTAGATGTGTATTACTTCAAATAGGTTGTAGATGTGTATTATTTCAAATAGATTGTAGATGTGTATTATTTAAATATGTATTTAATCACAGCTTTGGTGTTTTTCTCTAAACCATTGTCACATCAGCAATTATCAAAAATCACTTTTTTCATATGTTTGTCATGTAAAATTTTGATAATTTCTATATGCATAAGTGACGCCTAGGGATTAACCCTGTATGTCATTCAAATCTTCTTGAAATCATGAACAGGAATATATATGGTTTAGGGGTGGGGATCTCGACCCTTTACAAGTTCTCAATAAAATGCTCCGCTGGGTGCAGCTTGATACGACCGCAGAGGTCGAACCCTGAACAGTTGGGGCAAGTATGGACACAACATTCAAGTTTGATACAGCTCTGAATTTGGATTGTGATTAAATATTTGACACAGCATAGGTTTCTGACACAGAATGAATGTGGTTTAAGAACTTAAAATTTTTTAATTTACCTATTATGGTCCAATATCCAAAATCTAAATACATGGTTAGATTTGGCATATCAAAGAATCCAAAGAATTCAATTTTTGATGAAATCAAACAAAGTTTAATTTTGGACCCTTTTGACCTCAATGTGAACCAATTTGATAACGGGGCCCAAAAATCAAAAAACATGGTTAGATTCAGCATATCAAAGAACCCCATATATTCAATTTTTGTTGAAATCAAACAAAGTTTAATTTTGGACCCCAACTTGGACCAACTTGAAAACTGGGCCCATAATCAAAAATCTAAACACATGTTTAGATTCAGCATATCAAAGAACCCCAAGAATTCAAATTTTGTTAAAATCAAACTAAGTTTAATTTTGGACCCTCTGGACCTTAATGTAGACCAATTTAAAAAACGGGACCCAAAATTAAAAATCTAAATACACGGTTAGATTTGGCATATCAAAGGACCCCATATATTCAATTTTTGTTGAAATCAAACAAAGTTTAATTTTGGACCCCAATTTAGACCAACTTGAAAACTGGGCCCAAAATCAAAAATCTAAATACATGTTTAGATTCAGCATATCAAAGAACCCCATATATTCAATTTTTGTTAAAATCAAACTAAGTTTAAATTTGGACCCTTTGGACCTTAATGTAGACCAATTTGAAAACTGGACCCAAAATTAAAAATCTAAATACACGGTTAGATTTGGCATATCAAAGAACCCCAATAATTCAATTTTTGATGAAATCAAACAAAGTTTAATTTTGGACCCTTTTGACCTCAATATGAACCAATTTGATAGCGGGGTCCACAAATAAAAAAATCTAAATACATGGTTAGATTCAGCATATCAAAGAACCCCATATATTCAATTTTTGTTGAAATCAAACAAAGTTTAATTTTGGCCACCAATTTAGACCAACTTGAAAACTGGGCCCAAAATCAAAAATCTAAATACATGTTTAGATTCAGCATATCAAAGAACCCCATATATTCAATTTTTGTTAAAATCAAACTAAGTTTAATTTTGGACCCTTTGGACCTTAATGTAGACCAATTTGAAAACTGGACCCAAAATTAAAAATCTAAATACACGGTCAGATTTGGCATAACAAATAAATAAATGTGGTCAAAGATTTTACAAATCTAATGTGCTATACTGTGCAATTTAAGATAACTTCTTGAAATTTTTCAATATTTGAAATTTGAAAAAAAGTAATATTTGAAGAATAATTCTTTTTAATTTCTGAAATCTGAAATGAGAAAAAATTTACCCCCCACAATTTCTTTTTACCCCTCCCCAACCCCCCATTCCCCCCAAAAAATTCTTTCCCTCAAGATATGGTCATAATCTCAATTCAAATTTCCAATGGAATTTGCAACCATAATTACCCATTTAAATTTACCATAGTGCTAACTTAATCTATTTTATAATAGAATTTAAAATATGGTGTCAAATCTTTCATATGGATTTTTTTGTAAAAAAAAAAGATGCAACATTTGCAGATATTTTTACTGGTCTTCCTTTATAAATATGCATTTCTTTAAACATAATTTAAAAGCAGTGTAAGGGAAGTAATCAAAACGTTGTATGTGGATTACCTCCCTAACACTGTTTTAAATTGTCTTAATTGTTCATTAACCATTACTTTATACATAATTTAAAAGCAGTGTAAGGGAGGTAATATAAATGATGTATTTGATTTATCTCCCTTACACTGCTTTAAATTATGTTTTGTACTAAAGTATTTGTCCATATAAAAATGCTAGTTTTTTGCCCCTTTTTTGGCCACTAATTCCTAAAATTTTGAGGCAATTACCTCCAAAATCAATCCCAGCATTCCCTTTGTGATATGGAACCTTGTGGTACAATGTCAGAGAGATCCATACACTAACACACAAGTTATGTCTGGAAGTTACAAAAATGCTTATTTTTGGCCCCTTTTTGGCCCCTAATTCCTTAACTGTTGGTACCATAACCCCCAAAATCAATCCCAACCTTCCTTTTGTGGTATTGAACCTTATGGTAAAATTTCATAGAGATCCATTGACTTTAACTAAAGTTAGAGTGCGAAAACCAATGTGTCTTTGGACGACGATGACGGACAACGACGACGCCAACGTCTTACCAATATACGATCTCATAATTTTTTGCAGTCTTATAAAAAGGGGGGGGGGTTGATTCTCAGGGGACTCTTTATTTCATTTGATTTGTTTTATTGTCCCATACAAGAATATATATGGTTTAGGGGTGGGGATCTCAACCGTTTACAAGTTCTCAAACAGGATTGGATGGGGTGACCCCCAGGGACTCCCCCTATATTTCATTTGATTTGTTTTATTGTCCCATTCAAGAATATACATGGTTTAGGGGTTGGGGGTGACTGTTTACAAGATAAAAGCCCATTCTCAAATTGAAGGGGGGTGGGGTGACCCCAGGGACTCAACCTATATTTTATTTGATTTGTTTTATTGTCCTGTGATCATTACTGAAGACCGTGTGTGTCTATCACTTACTGTTCTCAAGTTATAGTCATTTGAAAATTAAAAAAAATGAAATCCCAAAGGGTTCTTTAGGAAATCCTTCCCTTCTGTAGGCCCCTCAAAATACCCATCAATAGACCCCAAGAAGAAAAATAATAAGAACTGAGCAAAAACAATAAGTCTCCAAACTTTGTTTGGGAGAATTAATAACAAATAGTATATACTAATTTTGTTATAGTCCGATTTTGTAATAGGCCAAGTTGTTATAGTCTGAGTCTGTTATGGGCCGAGATGAGATACTAGGTTACTTTCGATACACTGGGGCTTTTACGTCTTTAATAAACATTTGTAACAATCGTAGTAAAAATAGCGTCGAAAAATGTTCATTCATGAAATATTTTAAACACGGTATTTATTTTCTCTTCAACCGGAGGGCGGGAGGAAACCCCTGAAACCGGGATTATTGTACTCCCGTCAGGAGGTACACATATATGGATCTCACGCATGTCTGGGGAATACCGATAAAAGCATAACGTAGAAACCGTGTCTCGTGTAGATGTGTATTGATTTTAATTTCCGCGCAGCGCAGATCCGCGAAGTAGTGTTTGTGATAGCCATTTTCAAAATGAACATTCAGTCCATTTTAATTCAAGCTGTAAGCTAATCAATATAGAAGTAACTCAAAATTTCAAAAGCATCTTCCTAGAATTAGTATTCAAACAATAGTACTACATTATCTAGGAGTAGAACACTTGCGATAGTCTGTCCAACTTCCGGTTTGAGGCCAATGCCTTAGGAAAGTATATTGCTAAACTTTCAAAAAAATTAATACTTTCAACTTCGAAACAGTGAGGTTGACAGATTTTTCTAAAAATTTCAGAGTAGAAAGAGCTTGTTGTGCTGACCATTTTTACCCTTGTAAGTTTTTCTATAATTGCTACATATATATACAGTTTAAAGATATTAGCCAAAAACTGCACTTTGATCATTATGTTCTATTTCTAGCCACAGTGGCCATGTTAGTTGATCACCATATAAGAAAATTTGTAAGGGTTCATCGGAACCCAGTGTCTCGCCTACTTTTGCTGTTAATCGCAGGCTCAACAAAAATGAGGAAAAAAATTAATAAAAATATTCCTCTCTATACTATCTTTTGATTTTGTAAGTAGCTTCTGTCCAAGTTTGGTAAAAATCCAGGATAGTTTATGTATCTAATAAATGTTTTAAAAACTTAAACTGCAGACTGTATGTAATGTTAACTGGAAGAAAAACTAAGTCCATTTATAAGTAAAATACGGAAAAAATGGAACAAAATTTTAACAAAATTTCCTTCTCAATACTAGCTTTTAATCATAAACAAGCTTCTGTCCAAGTTTGGTACAAATCCAGGATAGTTTAAGAAAGTTGTTAAAATCTTAAAAACTTTAACCACAGAGTGAATGTAATGTTAACTGGCAGAAAAACTAAGTCCATTTATAAGTAAAATACGGAAAAAATGGATTTTTTTTTTACAAAATTTACTTCTGGATACTATCTTATGATCATAAACAAGCTTCTTTCCAAGTTTGGTAGAAATCCAGGATAGTTTAAGAAAGTTATTAAAATTTCAAAAACTTTAACCACAGAGTGAATATTTGTGGACGCTGCCGCCAACGCCACTGACGGAATGTAGGATCGCTATGTCTCGTTTTTTCGACAAAGTCGAAGGCTTGACAAAAATCAAAAACTTAATAGTAGACATCCTATAGATGAAGCAGACACACTTTAGTTCCAATCCATTTGAGAAGTTCCAAGGGAGAAGATTTTTAATGAAAAGTTTATGAACAACGTAGCTCATATGGCCCTTCGAACAAGGTGAGCTAAAAAAAAAGAAAGACATTCCACCACATTAAACATAAAAGTTCTGCAATGTCATTGTACAATACTAGCAAACCACTCACAAATAGCAAACTATTATCACAGCAAATAAACTATGGTACATGAATATCACAACAGGGTTATTGTCTGAATATTGTCCCTAGTAGATTTTTATATTGGAAGAGCCTGCGAGTGCAATACATATTCTACGAGGGATAATTTTCAGCCATATTCATGCAAAAACCCATTATTGTATAGCATAGCTTAATAAACTGCTTCGCTGAGTGCAGCTGGATACGCCCGCAGAGGTCCAACCCTGAATAGTTGGGGCAAAAATGGACACAATATTCAAGCTTGATACAGGTCTGAATTTGGATTGTAATTAAATATTTGACATATTATAGATTTCTGAATAAATGTAGTCAAAGAACTTGAAATTGGTTATATAGATTTCTTGCTGTTGTGCAATACACTGTGTACTCTGTTGTCAGACTATAAACAAATAAAGTTCAATTTCTTCTCAATGTCATATTTGAAATTTATGAAAATCAATAGGGAGATTACATCAATAGCTATAAATAATTCACCAAAGTTTCATGAGAACTGCTGAAAGCATTTTTGAGTTATTGTCCAAAAACTGGAAAATCCCCCTTTTTTTAATGAATAAAACCCCAAAACTCAGAAATGTAAAATCTAACATTTATAAAATTCTAAAGGAAGCTTACATCAACAGATATAAACAATTCACCAAAGTTTCATGAGAACTGCTGAAAGCATTTTTTAGTTATTGTCCGTAAACTGGAAAATTCCCCTTTTTTTATGAATGAAACCCTGTAACTCGGAAACTTAAATCTAAAATTTATAAAAATCCAAAAGAGAGCTCATGGCAATAGATATAAACAATTCACCAAAATTTCTTGCAAGTTGGTGAAAGCATTCTTGAGTTATTGTCGGAAAACTGGAAAATCCCCCCTTTTTTAATGAATAAAACCCCAAAACTCGGAAACGGTAAATCTGAAATTTATAAACAAGAGGCTCTCAAGAGCCTGATAATAACCAAAATCTGCAAAATTTCCTTAAAATTACCAATTAAGTGGCAGCAATCCAACAATGGGTTGTTAGATTCATCTGAAAATTTCAGGGCTGACAGAGCTTGGCCTAACAAACATTTTTACCTCTCATCAGATTAGCTCTAAATGCTTTGGTTTTTGAGATATCAGCCAAAAATTGCATTTTACCCCTACGTTCTATTTTTAGCCATGGCTGTCATGTTTTTTTACGAAACAGAAAATAAAACACAAACTTTATTCTAGGTACCTTAGAATCATTCAGCTTAAGTTTGGTTGGAATTGGTTCAGCAGTTTCAGAGAAGAAGATTTTTTAAAGTTAGAAAACATGATATACAAATTGTGTAAAATTGTCCTTAAAGGGCAATAACTCCTTAAGGAGTCAATTGACAATTTTGATCTTATTTGTAGATCTTACCTTGCTGAACATTTTTGCTGTTCACAGTTTATCTTTATCATTAATAATATTCAAGATAATAACCAATAAAATGCTTCGCTGGGCGCAGCTTGATACGACCGCAGAGGTCGAACCCTGAACAGTTGGGGCAAGTATGGACACAACATTCAAGCTTGATACAGCTCTGAATTTGGATTGTGATTAAATATTTGACACAGCATAGGTTTCTGACACAGAAAGAATGTGGTCTAAGAACTTCATTTTTTTTAATTTACCTATTATGGTCCAATGTCCAAAATCAAAATACATGGTTAGATTCAGCATATCAAAGAACCCCATATATTCAATTTTTGTTGAAATCAAACAAGGTTTAATTTTGGACCCCAACTTGGACAAACTTGAAAACTGGTCCCATAATCAAAAATCTAAACACATGTTTAGATTCAGCATATCAAAGTACCCTAAGAATTCAATTTTTGTTAAAATCAAACTAAGTTTAATTTTGGACCCTTTGGACCTTAATGTAGACAAATTTAAAAAACGGGACCCAAAATTAAAAATCTAAAAACACAGTTAGATTTGGCATATCAAAGAACCCCAATAATTCAATTTTTGATGAAATCAAACAAAGTTTAATTTTGGACCCTTTTGACCTCAATATGAACCAATTTGATAGCGGGCCCACAAATAAAAAATCTAAATACATGGTAAGATTCAGCATATCAAAGAACCCCATATATTCAATTTTTGTTGAAATCAAACAAAGTTTAATTTTGGACCCCAATTTGGACCAACTTGAAAACTGGGCCAAAAATCTAAAATCTAAATACATGTTTAGATTCAGCATATCAAAGAACCCCATATATTCAATTTTTGTTGAAATCAAACAAAGTTTAATTTTGGACCCCAACTTGGACCAACTTGAAAACTGGTCCCATAATCAAAAATCTAAACACATGTTTAGATTCAGCATATCAAAGAACCCCAAAAATTCAATTTTTGTTAAAATCAAACTAAGTTTAATTTTGGACCCTTTGGACCTTAATGTAGACCAATTTAAAAAACAGGACCCAAAATTAAAAATCTAAATACACGGTTAGATTTGGCATATCAAAGAACCCCAATAATTCAATTTTTGATGAAATCAAACAAAGTTTAATTTTGGACCCTTTTGACCTCAATATGAACCAATTTGATAGTGGGTCCACAAATAAAAAATCTAAATACATGGTAAGATTCAGCATATCAAAGAACCCCATATATTCAATTTTTGTTGAAATCAAACAAAGTTTAATTTTGGACCCCAATTTGGACCAACTTGAAAACTGGGCCAAAAATCTAAAATCTAAATACATGTTTAGATTCAGCATATCAAAGAACCCCATATATTCAATTTTTGTTGAAATCAAACAAAGTTTAATTTTGGACCCCAACTTGGACCAACTTGAAAACTGGGCCCATAATCAAAAATCTAAACACATGTTTAGATTCAGCATATCAAAGAACCTTAAGAATTCAATTTTTGTTAAAATCAAACTAAGTTTAATTTTGGACCCTTTGGACCTTAATGTAGACAAATTTAAAAAACGGGACCCAAAATTAAAAATCTAAATACACGGTTAGATTCGGCATATCAAAGAACCCCAATAATTCAATTTTTGATGAAATCAAACAAAGTTTAATTTTGGACCCTTTGGACCTCAATGTGGACCAATTTAAAAACGGGGCCCAAAATCCAAAAACTTAATACACGGTTAGATTCAGCATATTAAAGAACCCCAAGAATTCAAGAATAAAACCCCATTAAAATTGATCAAGAAATAAGCAATTTATACGAAGTATCTTCTTTTGCACAATACTGTGCAATTGAATATTTCTTGCTATTGCGCAATACTGTACAATTGACAATTTCTTGCTATTGCGCAATATTGTGCTATTGGATATTTCTTGCTATTGCGCAATACTGTTAAATTGAAGATTTCTTGCTATTGCGCAATACTGTGCAATTGAAGATTTCTTGCTATTGTGCAATACTGTGCAATTGAAAATTTCTTGCTATTGCACAATACTTATTATATAATAATTTACACATCCTGTTTGGTGTGTATCTCCTACCATATCATTATTATTTGCTTTTAAATATAAATCAGAAATAACCAACTTAAAATGGAAAATTTTAAAAGAAAAAAAAAAGGAAAAAAAGAAAAATAAAAAAAAATAAAATCCCCCCCCCCCCCAAATTTTTTGAACCCCCTTATGATTCATCACCCCCAAACTCAATCCCAGCCTTCCCTTTGTGGTATGATACCTTGCAGTACAATTTCAGAGAGATCCATACACTTGAACACAAGTTATTGTCTGGAAACTAGAAAAATGCTTATTTTTGGCCCCTTTTTGGCCCCCAATTCCTAAACGTTTCTGGCAATTACCCCCAAACTCAATTCCAGCTTTCCCTTTGTGATATGGAACCTTGTAGTACAATTTCAGAAATATCCAAACACTTACACACAAGTTATTGTCATGAAACTAGAAAAATGCTTGTTTTTTGCCCCTTTTTTGGCCCCTAATTCCTAAAATTTTGAGGCAATTACCCCCAAAATCAATTACAGCCTTCCCTTTGTGATATGGAACCTTGTGGTACAATGTCAGAGAGATCCATACACTTACACACAAGTTATTGTCTGAAAGTTACAAAAATGCTTATTTTTGGCCCCTTTTTGGCCCCTAATTCCTTAACTGTTGGTACCATAACCCCCAAAATCAATCCCAACCTTCCTTTTGTGGTATTGAACCTTATGGTGAAATTTCATGGAGATCCATTCACTTAAACTAAAGTTAGAGTGCGAAAACCAATGTGTCTTCGGACGACGCCGGACGACGCCGGACGACGACGACGACGACGACGACAACGACGACGACGACGACGACGACGACGACGCCAACGTCATACCAATATACGACCAAAAAATTTTTAATTTTTGCGGTCGTATAAAAACTGCAAAATTTCCTTAAAATTACCAATTTAGTGGCAGCAACCCAACAATGGGTTATCAGATTGAACTGAAAATTTCAGGGCTGATAGAACTTCACCTCATGAACACTTTAACCCCATGTCAGATTTGCTCTAAATGCTTTGGTTTTTGAGATATAAGCCAAAAACTGCATTTTACCCCTATGTTCTATTTTTAGCCATGGCGGCCATGTTTTTAGAAACAGTAAATAAAACACAAACTTTATTCTAGATACCCTAAGCATCATACAGCTTAAGTTTGGTTGGAATTGGTTCAGTAGTTTCAGAGGAGAAGATGTTTGAAATAGTTAACATCAGACGGACGACGACCGACAACGACAGACGACGGACGCCAAGTGATGGCAAAAGCTCACAGTTCTTTCGGAATATATGCTATAAAATCCTACCTGGCATATTCTTCTCTTATCATTTTAAGAATTCTCCTAACCATATTGCCCACTGCTGACTCTGATGGTTGTGCTGAAATCATTCTCTTCCCATGGGTAGTTACATTATCTAACAATTCTCTGCAATACATAATAGTTTTTACTATAAGCATGACAAGTGCAATATGTGCTTCATGAATTGTTCATTTGTACCTTCATATGTACAGCCATCTATGTTATTTGGAAAAATATAGATAAGAGTCAGTCCATAATGCATATATTAACTAAGCTGATGTGCACTTATAGGTTTTATAATGAGGGAAAATTGGAATTGAAATGTAGACTAATACAATTTAGTATTGAGAATTTGGCTAACAATTAATCAATTTTATGAATTACACGTTCAGCCAATTATGACTCCTTTTATGCATTGCATAAACGCACACAGGATCAGTTCTTATTTCCCAGTCTGTGATCAAGCTAGTAAAAATCTTATTCAAAGAACATTGCAAAAATTAGAAATGAAAAAACCCATTGCCTCCGAGAAAAGTAGTCTGTCATGACTTTTGCTAGTCCACATTGACTTTATGAACAGCCAATTTTAAATGTCATAAACTAATACAGCATTGTAGGATAAGCCAACTAAATTGAAGTATTTGTTGTATGTGTTATCATTTGTTGATATGAACTCGGTTCAGTGTGCTACGAGAAATATGAGAGAAATATATAAGAGGCCACAATCATAAGACTCTAAGAGAATATATGGTTAACAAGCTATGAAACAGCTGTTGCGAAATTTAATTTGTGCTTAAAGCCTAGCTATCATGCACTTAATCATTGATATGGTATGTACAGAACTAGCTCTTGTGCACTTCATTTCAATCTGTGATAAGTATGTCACTTTATGTGTATGCACTGTATTAGATGTTTTGCACTTCTGTGATCTATACATGTATATGTATGTATTGAACTAGACGTTGTGCACTTAATTTGCAATATGTATGCAGCGCACTTGCTGATGTTGCTTAATCTGTGATGTGTTACACATACAAGTAATTAGCATTTATGTACTAATGTGTGGCATATATGCTTACCTAGCTGTTGCTTACCTAGCTCTTGTCCATTTAGTCTGTAATATCCCCTGCGAAACCAGAATAACAATTACATTATACTGGAGTGTCCCAATTTTAACATTGTTAACCATTCTTAACTTCATTTTTGTTCACAGGGTATATGGTGCTCATATTCCCTGTTCAGGTGACCAATCGAATTGCAGGATTATTTCACTCCAGTATAATACTGTTCTGTATGCTTACCTAGCTGTTGTCCATTTAGTCTGTGATATCACCCTGACCAGCAGGGATACTGTTCTATATGCTACATTATAGGAACCTTCTACACTTCTGTAAAATTGAAATTAAGTTCAGTTACTTTTGTTTGTTGAGGTTCAATGTTCTGTGGCATACAGGAAGTCAGATCACATAGTTGTTGTTCTAATATTAATGGAATGTCAAATTTACTGTTAGTCTGTTGTTATCTGCATAGTGTTTAGTATGTGAACTTTGATTTTTTTTCCGTTTTCATCAAAAAATTCTGACCAATAAACTAAAATTATCCTTTTGCTGTCTAGCTGTGGACCCATAAATGTATCTTTTATTGTCCTTGGAATATTTTTTTTGCATTTGGAGACCATAGATTTATCCCAAAAATCATAAAGAGCTACAGTTCCATAGTCCAAATGAGATGCGCCAGATATTTTTTGTCTAATATGAAGTAGTCAGTCCATTAAACATGTAAACAAAATAAACAAACTTACCAGATGAACGAAATTACTAGACTTAGTGGTGATACACCTTATAGCTATTTGCCTGACATCACTTTTGTAAAAATCTGACGTCATAAGAGAAAATGTTGGACACCACAAAGCAAAAGTGATTGTTGTATGATGGCAATAGTTCAAGTGTTGTTAATTCCCAAACAGGGATAAGGTCTATTTTAAAGTCTTAGAAGGCCATTTTAATTTTTACCTTCACACCTTCCTGGGACAATACACAATATAGCTATTAGTAAGCCATAGGCTATTTCCCAAATTATATCTTTCACTGGAAAAGATCGTCAATTACGCATGCCCTTATGACCAGGGTTTTAGCTATTATTCTAAGGGCTTTAATCACTTTTGCGTCATACAAAACCAACCTTTTTTGGGTAACAGTATAATTCTAGGGCAGTTTTTACATGGGCTTTAATACATGCAAAAACATGTTCAATGGCATTATGCGATCTTTCATTTTCTTTTTTCAGCATTCCAGTAGTATACAAATAAATTAAACAATAAAGATTAGAACAAAACAAACTGTTATGTTAATATTGATGCATATCGCATATAAAAAGTAGCTTTTTGCTTATTATTGTAATAATTACATGTCAATACATTCCGCAATTCAAAATGTCGGCTTCCTTAGTTACAGACAAGGAGATAGAGAATTTTACGCTTAGTGTCATCCAATCAGAACCATTGATACAAAATAATTGCATTAGAATAAGCATTGTGTGTAAGTCTCATAACATTTGGTTGAGGCTAACTTAAGTAGAGAACAGAAACTAAAAATTCAGCAATTTTTCTATTTGTAAACACGCATAACTCTAGAACGGTTGTGTATAAGTTTTATAACATTTGGTTGATACAAACTAAAGTTAGAGAACGGAAACGAAAAATTCAGCAATTTTTATGTTTATAAAGGGACATAACTCAAGAATGGTAAAAGTGTTGCCACCAAATTTCGTACTTAATCTGTATTATGTAGTAATAAGCATTGTGTATAAGTTTCATAACATTTGGTTGAGGCAAACTAAAGTTAGAAAACGGAAACAAAATTTGTACTTGATCTTAGTTTTGTGGTAATGAATACTGTGTATAGGTTTCATAATGTTTGGTTGGGGCAAACTTAAGTTACAGAATAGAAACTAAAAATTTTGCAATCTTTCAATTTATAAAGGGGCATAACTCAATAATGATTAAAGTGACACTACCCGAATTCAACTTGATCTGTGTTTTATCAGTGGAAGTCAAAATTAAACATTGCATTGTATAAAGCATTGATTGTAGTTGATTCAAAGGAAGATAACTCCAATTTTAAAAATTACTTGATATTTAGAAGAAAATAAAAATTTAGCAATTTTTCCATTTCTAAAGGGGCATAACTCTAGAATGGTTAAAGTGACACCACCAAAATTCAAACTTGATCTGTGTTTTGTGGTAATAAGCATTGTGAATAAGTTTCAAAACATTTGGTTGAGGCAAGCTAAAATTAGAGAACGGAAACGAAAAATTCAGCAGTTTTTCCATTTGTAAAGGGGCATAACTCTAGAACGGTAAAAGTGACGCCACCAAAATTCAAACTTGATCTGTGTTTTGTGGTAATTAGCATTGTGTATACATTGTAAGTTTCATAACATCTGGTTGAGGCAAACTAAAGTTAGAGAACGGAAACGAAAAATTCAGCAATTTTTCCATTTGTAAAAGGGCATAACTCTAGAACGGTAAAAGTGACGCCACCAAAATTCAAATTTGATCTGTGTTTTGTGGTAATAAGCATTGTGTATAAGTTTCATAACATTTGGTTGAGGCAAACTAAAGTTAAAGAAAGGAAACAATAAATTCAGCAATTTTCCATTTGTAAAGGGGCATAACTCTATAACGCCATAATAATAACGGTAAAAGTGACGCCACCAAAATTCAAACTTGATCTGTGTTTTGTGGTAATAAGCATTGTGTATAAGTTTCATAACATTTGGTTGAGGCAAACTAAAATTAGAGAACGGAAACGAAAAATTCAGCAGTTTTTCCATTTGTAAAGGGGCATAACTCTAGAACGGTAAAAGTGACGCCACCAAAATTCAAACTTGATCTGTGTTTTGTGGTAATTAGCATTGTGTATACATTGTAAGTTTCATAACATCTGGTTGAGGCAAACTAAAGTTAGAGAACGGAAACGAAAAATTCAGCAATTTTTCCATTTGTAAAAGGGCATAACTCTAGAACGGTAAAAGTGACGCCACCAAAATTCAAATTTGATCTGTGTTTTGTGGTAATAAGCATTGTGTATAAGTTTCATAACATTTGGTTGAGGCAAACTAAAGTTAAAGAAAGGAAACAATAAATTCAGCAATTTTCCATTTGTAAAGGGGCATAACTCTATAACGCCATAATAATAACGGTAAAAGTGACGCCACCAAAATTCAAACTTGATCTGTGTTTTGTGGTAATAAGCATTGTGTATAAGTTTCATAACATTTGGTTGAGGCAAACTAAAGTTAGAGAACGGAAACCAATTTTGGGACGTACGTACGTACGTACAGACGGAAAAGGGTAAAACCTAATGCCCCCTCCGCTACGGCGGGGCATAAAAATGGCATAAAAAGTAAAGAATACAAAATGAAGAACCCCTTCAAAGACCTCCTTATCTATGCACCATGACTGAAAAGACCTACATTTGTTTAAACCTTAATTGTAGAAGGATGGAGACAGATCTTGAGTTGGTCTATCAGTTTTGAGAAAAGGATAAATTTGAATTATCTTTCTTGGAACAGAGGTGCTCCTAACGACGGAGGCTTATACACATTAGAAACGAATACAAATGGCGTTGATTTTAAATCAGAACTGGACAGAAACCCATCTGATTTTAAAAATTATTACGGATTTCAAGATAATCGATGTTTTCTAATGAGTTCATTACAGTTTTCATCTTTCATTTAATTACGTTTGTATTATGAAACTACGGTAAACATTGCAAATAGTAATTGTATGATAAATTCATATTAAAATCGAAAAAATGCAGACTGACCCGACTCTTTGTACCAATCAATTAATTTTGAGGATCATTATTTCCTATCGAATAGGCAGATTACCTGCAACAACAAATTATGACATCTGTTGTGACCATTGATTAGCTTAGGGTGGTAAACTTGTCATAAATATGTCGCTAGGTAAAATTGTAGATTTTCATGCAGAATTTTTTTTTTTTTACTTTTACAAAATTTAGTTAGGAAATTGATCAGAAAAATTGCGCCATTTAGAAAATCGTTCGTAAATGAGGAGCTCTGGCAAATCACTGCTTATGCCATCATTTACGAATTTAAATTTCCCCGACTATAATTTGTGCAGAATGTCATCACACTTTTCCACCAAATTTGATCAACATGTGTTGGAAGTGATGATGCCTACATTTTGGTCACATGGTGTTTGAAGTCACATGACAGATATAACTAACTAGGTACCTTATATCGAGCTGGCGTATTACTTGACATCACAAACATTCCCATAAAACTTTTACGACACAAGAGAAAATGTCAACCGACAAAGGCAATACATAAGTTACTGTTGTATGATGTCAATTAAGTTTAAGTGTCACATAATCCATATTCCCAAATAGGATAAGGACTATCAGAAGGATCTATTTTTTGCTGTCATGTCATAATATAAAATGTTGTTTAAAACTGTTGACGGTGCAAAACAGTATTTATTTTAGACTCTGCTTGATATTTGAATGAATACTTTCGTTACCCTTGTTTCAGTTCTCTTATAAAGTGTCCAATTCTTTCGTTTAAGTCTTCGATTTTTTCATCACCAGCAGGCATGTTTACATTTATGCCAGTTTTCATTCAACACAGAAAAATTCAAGAGGCGTTCCGAAAATAAAAACACAGAAGTACCCAATAGAAAATCTTATTCACCTCGTTACTACAAGATGGATGCGCCCATGATTAAATTTCTTTAAATTTCATCAGGAAGAAGAATGTCCTTCGAAAAAAGATTAATAATCGTTTGTAATGATTTTTAGATACTTGAAAAATAAATGGAAAAATTACAGATACAGATTTACTCCTTGGATCATAATGAACCTAAATGAAAGGTACACAAGACAGTGTTTGGAGTTGCTGAAATTAAGAAATCTGCTTGGATAAGTAAAGTGGCTGATATTATTTGATCTTATACGAGACAGGTGTTACCGGAAAAAGGGAACGAAATGTATTATGTATTTCCATCATGAAGACTCAGCCAATGAATCGCACTTAATCAGCTTATCCTTCTGTCCTTCACAATGACTCGATCTTGTGAAAGTGACAGAAAACATCTCCTGTGAGTCTGTTTTAACGGACAGAATACCCTCATACTATGTAGGATTGTTGGCCATCATGTGTAGTTAATGATATTATATCGTCATTTTGATTTGATAATTTTAATGGGAGTAATGGAACTTCAACCTTTTTTTGGACTATCGTTCCACAATGACCCTATTGAATGCAATAATCAATCAAGATGAAATAGGTTTTTTTTTTAATTATTATTGAAAAAATAATTCTTGACAGATTTTGTCAAAATCAGAACAAAAGAATTCAGTCATGTCAGTATTTTCTAGTTTGTTTAGTTATTCTGTTTTTATTATATTTTGGACTCTGTGTTGATTAACTTTATAATGAAAATCAACCAAAAAAAAAAAGTAAGTTTTGTGTTCAACCATCAGAAGTCTCAACAGCAAACATGCAGCCGCATTTTCAATTCTTTATTTAAACACATATATCTTGTATACAGTTTACATTTTGTAAACAACCAAAATTAAAAAAAATTAAGGTATGTGTTCAAGCCTGAGAAAGTCTTATTTATTAACATGCAGCCATTTTCCAAAACAAAAAAAACTGTAGCCTGTATAATTTCAGTTTTTGGGGTAAAGATTGCATGAAATGCCTTCAAAATCCTTCAGGTACTGACTTGATATCTATATCTTCCAAGGTTTATCACTACCTTTGAAAGTTCAAAAAAATAGTGCAGTAAAGTGGTCATTTTTAAGACCCTATCAAGTCAATATCATGTAATTTATTGATGATATGTTATACTTAGATTTTTAAGTTTCAATATGATGTATATTTGAATTTCCATACTTGTCAAGAAATTTTTTTTTATTAAAAATTACATAAGCAATGCATGGTGTATGAATCTGTTGTAAAAAAAATAGGTTCAACTACAAATGTACAATCATGAACAAAGGAAGATAACTCCAACTCAAATTTATAATTTGTCTAGCTCAAAACACAATTCAATGTTTTATTTTAAATGATCAAAATTGCGAAATAACAGCAATCTTTACCCATCAGTGCTCACAAGCACTTTGATTTAGTTTGGTTATATATCTAAAATACCTTTTTTTTTAAATTATGATCATGATGATTTTATATGAATTATGTACCAGTAGTGAAAAACTTTAATCGCAAACACATTGTACAAAAATGTACTTACATTTACATTGTGTACATGTATGAAGTCACTAATTTTAGTTTAGAAAAAAATGATTCAGTTTTTAATATACAATGCATATTATTGTTGATACAGGTATATATATTTTCATAGCAATTGGCAATATTTAAATTTGTGGATAAAGTAAATACTTAATAATAAGAATTTTTTAAACATTTTTTAGGTTGGAAAAGAATTGTTGCTGCACAGCAAAGTAAATATTATTTAAGAACAGTATGCTGGAAATTTTATTTTCACTTTAGCTGAGCACTTGCCTTTAAATATTCACAAATATTCTTCAAAATTTCAGAAAAGTCAGAGATGTACACAAAGGACAAAATGATAAATTGATATCAGATGAACATGTTCTAAAATTCTTTACAAATTTTCTGTCTAAATTGGAGATTGACCCAATTGAAGAGGAAGCAATCTATAATGAGAATCTAAACAAGATGAGAGCTCATTTAGGTTTTGTTACAGAAAGGAAACCAAGTGTTTTACCAACTGGAGGAATTGGTGTTTTTGTTACACATGGCAGTATAGAACCGGGAACTGTAGTATCAATGTATCCTGGTAAGTTTCAGTGGGAATAATGCAAGTTATTCATGAACTTCACAGGAGATATGAGCTCATATTCAAGACACAGGACACAGTCAGGGAAGATGAGCTCATATCCCCTTTGAAGCCCAAATTATAATATATTATACTGGAGTGTACATACATTGCAATAAATATATTCTGACCGGTTGATTTATGAGGGTTCTCAAAAGCAAAACATTTACCTTATTATTTCCACATGATAGACAAGTTAGTCAATACAAAGTTTCCTAAAGTTAACATAGGAATGATATTGAACTTGACAGGAATTAATTACCACAGCACCTCAATTATTTTTGGAGACTTCTATACATAAGAAACAATCAATGATCTGCCTTCAATATCGAATTCCTTTATGGACATAAAAATGGTTACTGACGAGACTTCTGATTTGAATAAATATGTAAAGTGGTAGAAATAGTTTTTACAACTATTTTAAGAGAAATAGGATAGTAATGTAATGTAAAACAGTAATGAGTCGTATCTTTTAAAAGAAGAGTTTTCTTTTATGCACTGAATTAGTTTGCTTCATTCTCATGATTAAGGACTATGCAAATGGAAACAATAGCTATTTGTTTTTATTTTTCAAAATTGAGAAAAGTTTGAAATTCCGGAAGTTAAAAAAAAAATCTAAAGACATAATTTATGACACATATAAGTATGCTACTTCCATTTAGCATGCATCTGAATATATTATTTTGTCTATTTCAGGTCTGATTTATTCTCCTCATGAACCAATCCTATTCCAGAGCCTCTTAAATCCTTTCATATTTAGATGTATTGATGGCATGTTAATTGATGGAAATGATAAGAATTTATCGAAATTTATGTATAGGTAGATATTGAATTTTGATTATTGGAAGATTAATATTAATTATAAAATCATGGTATGCTCTGTGAATGCAAGTAATTTTGATGATTTTATATGCTAGAAATTTTTGTCTTTTGTAGTTTGTGGTTCTTTGTTTAATGTCATTTGCAAGTATAAGATGTAGGCTTCTCATACATGTATCTGTGCTAACAAGACCAGACAGACAGACACCATGATGGACGCCCAGTATTTCTATGTCCCCCAGATGTGGGGTGGGGGGCAAAAATAGATGCATCACACACACATCTGCAAAACATTTTGAATTTCTTGTTTTCTTTTAAAGGTGCAATTCAGTTTAACATTCATTTCCCCAATATAACATTTTGAAAATGTTTCAAATTTTACATAGAAGTGTTATCCTTTATCAGCAAAATGTTAAGGTTTTGGTAATTAAACCAGAAAAGGACAAGTACAGGGATTCATATTACCATACAAAAGTGGTGATAAGGTATCAATTTGGTGACCAATAAAAAGACGCAATTATGATTTCATTTAAAATTCATAAGTATAAAACATCTTCTGAAAGTTTTACTGCATCTGGAAAATTTGAGGTAATGACAATATTTCTGTTTTATAAAAAAAAAATGCTCTTTTTAGAACAAGAGAAAAGATAAAATTATTATTTATGAGTTATGTCCCTTTGAAATATTAATTATATGGAAAATTGCATTGTCAGCCCTTGCATATATACAATTCTTGCCAGATTTTTATGAAACTTATATCAGCAATTTCTTGGACAAGTTCGAAAATCAGTGCCAATCAATTATTTTTAAAAGAGTTATGCCCACATAGATAATAGTTATATGGAAAATTGCATTGTAAGTGCTCTCATATGTCCAGTTTTTGCCAGATTTTTATCAAATTTATATCAAAGGTTTATATCAGCAATGCTTCAGGCAAGTTCAAAAATAAGTGCCAATCTAATATTTTTAAAAGAGTTATGCCCTTGAAAATATTAATTATAGCAGAAATTGCATTGCATTTGTTTTCAAGCCTTCATTTCTCTAAGATAATTAATTATTTTGTTTTAAAGAAGAAACATAATTTTTAGTTTTAATATACCTTTTTAAACATGTAGCTCTTTGTATTGACATTTTTATTTCATGTGTTTTTTATTTTTCAGATCTTGTTGTCAGAGAGACAGAATTGGGCCATATTTTATCAGTGATATGTCTTGGCTTACTCCTTTTCCAGTCAACCCTTTATCAGTTGGACAGTATGTGAACAATCAGTCAACAGGTAATATACCCTTATATTGATTGATTTTTTATTTTTGGTGTTTTAAGGGCATACATACGATACAGTTTTGATCCACTGTGAATTTTGACGAAAATTTGCATACAAGCTATCTTTCAACTAGACAATTCAAATTATGAATATGTTATAAAAAATATACCTTCATATGCTACTTTTAGAGATAAATGGGGTTGAAATTTTAGACATTTACTCAAAATTTCTGTTTCTTGGATATTTCTATCCTTTGGACAGACATACCCAACTTTTTTGTTTCAAAAGGTGAACACAAACTGATTTTTGTAAAACTTTTAAAATATCTTCTTTACATGACTATGCTCTGAATTTGTGGAACAATTCTTTGGATATAATTCATTTTTTTATTAAATTTTCATGAGTTCAGAAAAAACCTGCATTTTTTGCCATATATTTATCTGATTTAAAAAAAATCCATCTGTGATTTGTTCATGAAAATTGGTACAAATAGTCTTTAAATATAATCAAGCTAAATGTCATTTTTGTCGAGCCTGCGACTTATGTCGCAGAAAGCTCGACATAGGGATAGTGATCCGGCGGCGGCGGCGTTAGCTAACTTCTTAAAAGCTTTATATTTTAGAAGCTAGAAGACCTGGATGCTTCATACTTTGTATATAGATGCCTTATGATACGAAGTTTCCGTCTGTCATATGTCCATTGTCCTTGACCTCATTTTCATGGTTCAGTAACTACTTGATAAAAAAGTCAACTTTTTTTGTAATGTTAATTTCTTTCTTATTATGAGTAATAGGATAACTATATTTAGTATGTGCGTACCTTGCAAGGTCCTCATGCCCGTCAGACAATTTTCATTTGACCTCGACCTCATTTCATGGATCGGTGAACAAGGTTAAGTTTTCGTGGTCAAGTCCATATATCAGATACTATAAGCAGTAGGTCTACTATTTTTGGTATATGGAATGATTGTAAGGTGTACATGTCTAACTGGTAGGTGTCATCTGACCTTGACCTCATTTTCATGGTTCAGTGATTAAAGTTAAGTTTTTGAGTTTTGGTCTTTTTTTCTAATACTATATGCAATAGGTCAACTATATTTGGTGTATGGAAATATTTTATGATGTACATGTCAGTCTTGTAGGTTTTATTTGACCTTGACCTCATTTTCACGATTCATTTCTCAGTGTTAAGTTTTTGTGTTTTGATCTGTTTTTCTTCAACTATAAGCAATAGATCAACTATATTTGTTGTATGGAAGGATTGTAAGGTGTATATGTCTGTCTGGCAAGTATCATCTGACCTTGACCTCATAATGTTTAGTTTTCATGGTTAAGTTTGTTTCTTAGATACTATAAGCAATAGGTCAACTATATTTAATGCATAAATTGATTGTAAGGTGTACATGTCTGTCTGGCAAGGTTCATCTGACCTTGACCTCATTTTCATGGTTCATTGGTCAATGTTAAGTTTTCTTGGTTAAGACTGTTTCTTAGAAACTATAAGCAATAGGTCAACTATGTTTGGTTTATTGAATGATTGTAAGGTGTACATGTATTTCTCGTTTGGTTTATCTGACCTTGACCTCATTTTCTTGGATCATGTTAAGTTTATGTGTTACTTGTAGTAAAGCTTTATATTTAGGACTATCAACATAAAATCAATGGTTTTTAAAGAAGGCGAGACATTTCAGCGTGTGCACTCTTGTTAACTAGATGTGTCGGAACGACACGAATGGCCCCGTCTCAAAAAGTTGAAAAATCTGCAATTTCAACAACACATGTGGACACAAACATGCATGGATGGTATCCAGCTCTCAAGACCAATACTAGTTTGATGAAAAATTTCCTTGATCAATGAGTAGTTAAATTTCAAATTATCAGCAAATAGGAAGTGGATGTACTGAAGATGTGTTGAAACGACATGAAAATCAGCATATCGGAACGAAACATAAACTTGATCTGTAACTCATCATTGTAGACTCACAAATCAAAAATCAGCGCAAAATCTGAAGGCGTATAGAAAAAAAGTCTGTATAACTGTGATTTTCAACCATTTATCAAAGTTAAGCCCGTAATTTAGGCAAAAATTAGCAGAGCGGAACAAAACTTGAACTGTGACTCATCATGGTTAACTCACATACGAAAAATCAGCCCAATATCTGAAGGCGTTTAGAAAAAAAGTCCGTATAACTGTGATTTTCAACAATTTATCAAAGTCCAAAGCCCGTAATTTTGGCAAAAATTAGCAGAGCAGAATGAAACTTAAACTTGATCTGTAACTTATCATGGTTAACTCACATACCAAAAATCAGGCGTTTAGAAAAAAAGTCCGTATAACTGTGATTTTCAACAATTTATCAAAGTCCAAAGCCCGTAATTTCGGCAAAAATTAGCAGAGCGGAACGAAACATAAACTTGATCTGTAACTCATCATGGTTAAGTCACATACCAAAAATCAGCCCAATATCTGAAGGCGTTTAGAAAAAAAGTCTGTATAAAGGTTTGTTGCGGAATGACGGATTGACAGAATGACGGAATGACGGACAAGAGTAAAACTATATGGCCCGACAACTTTGTTGCGGGGCCATAAAAAGAGGAGTCCTTGTACTCGCTTTCAAGCTAATGATTAAAATCAGTAGAAAAATGTACCTTTTCCCAATATGTCATAGCTTGACGTCACAGAATTTATTTTTTGCTTAGCAACGTCATTACCTCCCCTGTAACTGTATCGTATGCCCTTAACACCACTTTCAGCACTATTGGCTATTGTGTGGTGGTCAGTTTTAATTGGTGGAGGAAGCTGGATTAGTGCAGTAGTTAGTAACACAGTTTATCACTAGATTTTCAAAATTTCCTTAAGTTAAGACATGCTTTTAGGCAGTAATAACATTTTTGAAGGGACTTGTGTAAATTTTGTAAAAATAGTAAACAGTACTTTAATACATTGAAAAGGTTATTACTTGTACAATATTGAATTATGAATGAAGGTAAAAAAACCAATTTCAACTGCACTATATATTTTTATTACAGAATATCAAGCAAATGTTGCCTATTTTTATTACAGAATATTAAGCAAATGTTGCCTATTTTTATTACAGAATATCAAGCAAATGTTGCCTATTTTTATTACAGAATATCAAGCAAATGTTGCCAATTTTATTACAGAAAATCAAGCAAATGCTGCCTATTTTTATTACAGAATATCAAGCAAAATGTTGCCTATTTTTATGGCAGAATATCAAGCAAATGTTGCCTATTTTTATTACAGAATATCAAGCAAATGTTGCCTATCAGGAAATTGACATTCCAGTTGACTTCCCATTCCATCTACGTAAATTTATTCCAAATAATTTCTACAGTTCATCTTTTGAAAATGAGGAAATCAGGTATATACATTGTGCCAGAAAATTATCACTAGAAGTAATGAAGCTATTCAGATATTCAACATATGTCCATATTATTTACATTAAGGAGTCTTAACAATCAACATCCTTGTAAATAATGTCTTGACAATCAGAACATCCAAAACAATGATGTTCCAATGAAGCTGCCCAATTTTTGAATAATATAAAAATAAGAAGATGTGGTATAATTGCCAATGAGACAACTCTCCACCAGAGACCAATTGACATAGAAGTTAACAACTATAGGTCACTGTAAGGCCTGCAACAATGATCAAAACCCATACCACATAGTCAGCTATAAAAGGCCCCGAAATGACAAATGTAAAACAATTCAAACGAGAAAACTAACGGCCTGATTTATGTAAAAAACAATGAACGAAATACAATTATGATATACAGCAACAAACGACAACCACTGAATTACAGGCTCCTGACATGTGACAGTCACATACAGATTGTGGCGAGGTAAAACATGTTAGCAGGCGCCCAACCCTCCCCCTAACCTGGGACAGTGGTGTAACAGTACAACATATGAACAAACTATACTAATCAGTTGAAAAGGGCTTAAAATTGAATAACAGGTAGACATTAAGAAGTTCCAAATGTTTTACCTTTATACACAGCTATAAACACCATCTTACCAGTCAAAATTACCTTCACCTTGGTTTACCCGCTTTGTAGAATCATTTGATTTATTGTATGATTTGCTCTCGTCCTGAATATGTATGAAATATTTGCTACTGGACTTGAAGCTAACAAAAATCAATCAACCGTAAATATAAACACAAATTTAAAATCTTAATATTCTGCTAAGTGATTTGTTAATTTTAGACAATGAAGGTGGTAAATAGTGTTATTAGTTCTTTAAAGAAACAATGTATCAAAATTTTGAAATTATAATACCATTTAAAGTCAGAAAAGTTATATCACTAGGCAATTTATTAAAATCAAATAAGAGATTGAATCTGAACCTATTTTAAACATAAATTTATTTGAATATATGATATTTTACTTTTGATCAATGACTGTGTATATAATTTCAGACAGACAAGAGTTATAGTACTTGTATCACTTAGACATATTGAAGAAGGAGAAGAACTATTTTCATCTTACTTCACAGTTGTTCATTAGAATTGGAAATAAGCAATCCTGATCAGAAGTAAAAGATGGCAGATACACCTGAAGATTGAGATGTTGAAATAAAGCTTGTAGAGAATAAAGATTGAATTGTATCAGTCATTTAATCATCCACAATTTTCTATGGGCAACACTAAGAAAAGCATGCTTAGTTGTATTGAATTGATTATAGATGCAAAATACCCAAACAGCAGCTTTATTCACGATAAGATAGTATAGTTTATATCTGTGATACTGAGATTGATAACAGAGAGCATTTATCTTATGTCCAGAACTAAGTACTAACAAGTATAATTCATATGACTTATAAGTAGTCAGATTAATGCTACAGTGGTACCAAATTAACAGTGAGGAATGCATGTAGTTGATGAAGGAAGATAACACTGATGGAAGCTTTAATTGTTGCAATAACATTTCTGTCTGTATTAAAATAGAAGTGAAGGTTGAATATAGTTGTTATTTTTTTTTCAATAAAATCTTATCAATTAATGCTTATGTTCATGCCATACTTGTCATTTGTTCAAATTTCTATCCACTCTTTATACAGAGTTTATGCAGTGATCTTAAAATTTTGGCAAATCATGGGTTAAGTTTCATCAAGCTAAACCTTGAAACGTCATGGAATACTAAAATTTGTAGAACAGTCCTTAAAAAGTAATAGAAAGTCTCGTTGTAAAAAGAAAAAGAAAATGTTTAATCATGCAATTTTTGCAGTTAAGAACTTATTCTCATGTTCTATCTGCATGTTTGATTACAAAATGCTTTATAAGTTATCAGTTGACAGTGAAAATTGAAATTTAAAATATTTTGCAAACAAACAAATTGAACAGGAGGTGATGATGTTAACTTATTGCATAAAGATTAATATTTCAGAAGGAAGCAGAGCTAGACAATCCATACTTTGTATAAAGATGGCTATTATAGTCTAAAGTTTATGTCTTGCATCATCCAGCATGTGTCAAAGTCCTTGGCCACATTTTCCTGGATCTATGACTTACTAAGGCCTGCTTTAAGTTTCCATGCTTCGGATGTTTCTAGGTTTACTATTAGTAACCAATCAACAAAATTTGGTGTATACATTTGATGTATGGTCATGTCATCTTAACTTGACCTTTTCACAATATGAAAATAAGGAGATATTGTATGATTGCCTGTTAGACAAAATTTTACCAAAGACAAACGTACAAGGATGTGAACTATATGTCACCTTAAACCTTCAACAACGTGCAAACCCCTATCGCTTAGTAAGCTATTTTAAACCAAAGTTGGGCATAATAATTCTTAGGATGTCTAGTTTTAGATTTATCTGACAATCAATCAACATCAACCATTTCTAGAATGAAACATTAGGGTAAAATGCAAGTATTTAACCTATAATGTGAAAATCCTTAGAATGTCAAGATTTACCTACCACTAGTTTATAATTAAATATAATTATTAGATGACTCCTTATAAGAGTATTCAGTAATTGCCCTTAAATTATAATTTTTTACCATTGTAGTGTTCTGAAATGAATGTTCAATTGATTAGAACTGAATGATATGTTGACAGCCTTTAAGATATAATTCTGAGAAAACTTCACTTTAATGTTTCATTGGCAATCATCATATTGTCCCTATGGGCCATGTGAGCTATTGCCATTACCTGTAGTTATAAACTTTTTGAATAATTCTCTTCTCTGAAACTACTGGACTAATGTCACCAAACTTGGGCTGAATGTTCCTTATGATATCTAGAAAAAAGTTTGTGTTTTCTGTACCTCCAAATTTTCAACATGTTGACTATATCTTAGAATATGTCTTTAGAGGAAAATGTAAGTAATTTTCTAATATCTTAAAAACCATAATAGATAAAAATTTTAAAATGTCATGACCTACCCTATATTTTCTCCAATATCAGATGACTGCTTATTGGAATTACTACCCTCAAATGATACCTTTTACTTTTTCTTCCAACCACTGGTTTTATGCCACTGCTGGTGGACATTTCTTCACTGAGGGTATCACCAGCCATGCAAGTAGTCGGCACTTTTATCCATGAAATAGCTTTGATAGGTTCTTTTCTGTAAACTGTGGCAAGAGTTCCACACGGCACCACACCATACTAAAAGAACACAATAATGTATTACAGTTTATTCCGTGGGGGTGCCATATGGAACTCTTTTCTAAACTGTTAATAAAATGTTGAAAAAGGTTTTTCTATCCCGAGGTATAGATTGTTTTAAGCACCATTTTCGAGTCTTTTGTAGAGGAAATACGTGTCTGGCGTACCAAATTATGAGCCTGGTATCTTTGATGAGATTTATCAACCACTGGGTCGATTCCACTGCTGGAGGACGTTTCGTCCCCGAGGGTATCACCAACCCAGTAGTCAGAACTTATATGCTGACATGAAATAGTCTTCTGTAAATTACAAGAAACTGATTATAAAATGTTGAAACACCCAAACACCAAGGTTTAATACCCAAAGATATAGATTGCCATAGCCCTATTTTTCACAACTTTTTGGAATTTTCAGTTGTATATACTCTTCAACTTTGTATTTGATTTGGCTTTCTAACTGATTTGATTCGAGCGCCACTGACGATTCTTATGTAGACGAATCACGCGTCTGGCTTACCAAATTATAAGCCAGGTATTGTTTATCCATTTTTTGCGTTTTTGGCAATTGACTTGAAAACTACATTAGATAGAGAGAAACTGTAACCAGTAAAAATGACCAGCAAGTCAAGTTTAGAATTAAGTCAACTGAAATCGTCAATTGACTCTTTCAGGAGTAACTGCTCTTAAACTATAGTTTTGTTAATAATTGTGTGTGGGGGCCATTTTGTAGAAAACTTTAATTGGTAAAGAGAAACTGTCAACTGTAAAACGATCAAATAACAATGATATAGAGATAAGTCAACCAGACAGAAATTGTCAGATGAATCCCTAAAAGAGTATTGGCTTTAAATAACAAGTTTTGTAAATCGGTTGCACTTTTTGGCTATTTTATTGAAACTATAACGTATGCATAGAGAGAAACTATAAGCAGCAATATAAGATTTACAAATAAGTCAACATAACCGAAATTTTCAATATAATTATTATTTTTAGAGTCATTGCCTTAAATGGAGATTTTTGCTCATTTTTATAGCTTTTGGCACTCATACCACATCTTCTTATATCTATTTGACAAATATCTTGCGAACTATAATAGATAAGGAGAAACTGTAAACTGTAAAATGATCAACAAACCACGATATAGAAATAAGTCAAACCTGACTGAAATTGTTAATCAAATCTATTTAGGAGTAATTACCCTTGAACTACAAGTTTTGCCAATTTTTTGCTATTTTCTTAAAAACATTAATGCAGAGATAAACTGTAAGCAACAAGATCTAGAAATAAATCAACATAGCCCTGTAGTAACATTATTTGAAGTTTTTGGCAATTTTTAGGATATTTACTTGAAAATTGTTATTAGAGAAAACAGCAAGATTGAGAAAATTAACATAAATCAAAAAGGTGAAAATAATTATCAAAATGACATTTTTGTTTCTATAATATTAATGTTGATAAATATACCATAAAAACGTGGAAGTTCCGGTAACCCCTAACAGACAGTCACATTATCTTACAGTGTTTCAAGAGACAAAATATAGTTGACCTTTTACTCAAAGTAACTGTGAAGAAGGGAAGATACCAAGGTGACATTCAAAACTCAAAAGCGAAGAAAAACTGACAACACAATGACAAAACTACGAAAGGACTAACAAGTCCACAAAACACCACATAGAAAACTAAAGATCGAACAAAACAAACCCCACACAAAGTGCTCTAGAAGAGTAAGCAGTTCCTGTTCCACAATCCGTCGTGTTGCTCATAGAAGTTCCAATCCGGTGATGTATCAACCGGTGAAGAAAAGAGGACGTGATTGCGGTTACAACAATTGGAACATATTCATGGTCATCTGTGACACAGATATTCCATAACGGTTAGCCAACTTGTGATGGCGGCCGTAAAACTTTCGAAGGGGTTACTTTAACTTTACCACTTTGAACCCTTGGTTCTATAGCTTTCTTGTAAGGAGCAACCCTTTATCAAGGAAATCATGATAGAAAACGTAACCTCTGGAATATCGTATCTACATGGAGATATATACTCCATATGAAAGCGCTCCTGTAATGTTGCTGAATTTGACAATGTGTGGGTTTGTGGCCTAGTGGTTAAGATCGATGGCTACATTGCTAAAGGGTAAGATTCTGACTCGGGGCGCTGAAAATTTCAGAACATTAGTAAGGTGATTTTCACCCTCCCACACACATTTTTGGGACTAAGCCCGGAGTTTAAACTAGAATGGGTACTTTGGGATCCTCGGTTAGTAAAAGGCCACCGATTTTGACCTGTTCTCTCCGAGTACTTCGGCTTCCTCTACCATAATAACAGACTTCCCGGTGTCAAATCTTTGTTTTGGGTTTAAGATTGTCCTTGGTGTAAATAAGTTAAAGTACATAAGTTGTATTTAAGTCAGTAACATATCCCTATCAACCATAATAGGCAGTGTACACGGATTCCACAAATAGAAATGGAAAGTGCACTATCGGGTGCTGAAATCCTATTTATCGTAAAGTTTTGTTCTCAACCAACCTTCATTGTCAATTTCTATATGTAAATCAAGATATGAGGCAGACTTAAATGTATCTGTGGTATCCTTTATTTCAAGTTCGATGGGATACATACGTTCAACATATAGTCACCAAACCTTGGATTATTTTGCGAGACATAACCTATGCAGAGAAACTCAAAACTGATCACCAAACTATTAAAACGTAGTCAATCTCAGGTGACCCCTGTCAGAAAGACGTGTACATATTATAAGGATTTTTTAAATACCATGTATAGATGACATTTAACTTAAAGTAAAAACTCATCAGTGATACCTGGCTAATAATTTTGTAAGCCAGACACATAAGACTCGTCAGTGGCACTGGAAGTAACTGGGAAAATGACCTGAACATGAACACTTAGCATAGATCATTGGACTGGAAATGAGGTCATGGCGAGATGATGTATGCCACGCAGACATTCACACCTTGAACAATCTAAGTCTACCTACAATATTACTCAGAGTAACTTAGAAACAGATCAAGGCAGGAAACTTTATATTCATCATAAAACCATTTATTGAGGCATGACAAATATGAAGACATAGAAAGGATTCTAAAGACCGTATGAATAGTTGATCTCTATTATTACAAAATAACACACACAAAGACCCGATCACAAAAACTGAACCACTATGAAAATTAGATCAATAGGTGACCCCTGTCAGACAAACATGTACCACTTTCAACGTCTGATCAAATATATATGTGACCTTTCACTGAATCATTCGTAATAACTTAGAAACCTACAGAAGCATGAAAACTTAATTGTTTTTATTGCAATGAATACGCTACCATAATTAATTATGAAATAATATTTCTATTGTGTCGTAACAACAGACGGTATCACCATACTAAAAATTGACAGTTAGGATATAGTTAGTTTGGCAAGTAAGCATATATGATACCAATTACCGTCATTCCATTTCCGTCTGCGCCATAGACATCACATGTTTCTCGAAGATTACAGAAGAAGGTGTTTTAAGTTCTCACACCTTTGCAAATTGGTAAATAGCTTATTTTCAATTTATTAGTTATTTAAACAATTGTTCTCATTAAGCTATAGAAAGTATATTAGGCGAGTGACTTATTTCAAAAAGACGCTTAGTTAACGACTTTAATGCACCCACCTAACACACGGCTGTATTATATATCATTCGAAAGCTAATAATCTGTACTTTCTGTTTTGGCCGGTTGTAAAAAAATCGTACGGTGCATTTTCTGTTAAATCAAGGTCAAAGGTCATGAAAAAACATTCCAATTTTTGCGATTACTAAACAAAAAGCCATTTTCTAATTCTTGTACCATAACATTTTTCAAAAGATCATATGAACTCTATATAACATAATACATTATTTCCAAATCAAACAAAAAATAAGAGGTTATATGCGCAATATTTCCCGAAAATTGAAATTCATCACAAATCCTAAAAAAATGAAAAATTGTTCCAAAAGCAAAATATATCTTGGGGGATCGATATTTGTATGCTAAAAAAATAGAAAAATAATATGTTTTAGGTCAAGGAATATTTGTTTTGTAATTTTAAGATGCAATTATTAATTATTGTTCATAGAACAGCCTTCTATTGAAGTGTTTGCAGTTGCCCAAAAATCTGCCATCTGCAAATAGCGATCATTTTGTTATTCTATGTTAAGATAGCACATCGCTAATTGTCAATATCAGGGAGGAGAATGATCTTCCATAATAAAAGAAGGGGTATTTAAAGTTCAAAAATGAATATATACGAGCTAATTGAGGTAAAAATATGTTTTTTACGAAGTTAAACTTATTTACTTTTTTTAATCATGTTTAAATGCAAACATGACTTTGCGACTAAATCGTAGGCAACATTGAAATAAGTAACCTTGTTTAGAAACACTTGGTTGTCTAAAGCGGGATGTAAACGAACTACATATAATGCTACTGCTTCTTATTTAGTTTAAAATCGTGTTAGACATATTAAATGTGTTTAGAAGTTTAATCTCTTTAATTATTTGAATAAAAGATGCTTCTATATATCTTTATTCTCACAAACCAAATTTCAAAGGTATAGAGATAGGATTGAGTATTTTCAACATAAGCTTTTAAAATACAAATGCAGGTCATTGTGTATGTAAAACACTATAAGCAGTTGTGAAATAAAAAAGAAAAAAGTTGAATACCTTCCTGACCTCATAAAATCATTCGCTGTTTTAGAGAGTGACGAAATATATCAAAGGGACATAAAACTCATAATTGAAAACGAACTGACAAAGCCGGGCAAAAAACGACAAGCAACATTATACAAAACACAACATATAAAACTACAGATTGAGTAACACAAACCCCCCAAAAATATTTGGGGTGAACTCAGGGGCTCCAAAAGGATGAGCAGATCATGTTCCACATGTGACACCCGTCTTGTGGCTCGTGTAATTCCTACCTCGGTGCCAAGCCTTATTCGGTAGGTGACATTCAAGGCAGAAATGACGGTATTTTGGTAACGTCGATTGGAACTTATCAGTCGTCATCTGGCAAAACAGATATTTCATAATTGTCAACCAACTCGTAGTGGCGTCCATAAAATTTTCAAAGGGATGATTTCAACTTTGCATTTGAACTCTGGTTAAAAACCATGTTCAAACCACCATTTTTCTTCAAATGTCCTGTACCAAGTCAGGCATATGGCAGTTGGTATCGAATAATCTGTTTCTTTGTATGTTAATGTTTGTTTTTGTAGCAGTTCAGTGTTTCTGTTATTCCGTTGTGTTCCTCTTATAGTTGATGCGTTTCCCACGGTTTGGGTTTGATACCCGGATTTGTTTCAGTTACTAGTAAATCGATTGATGACTATTGAATAGCGGTATACTATAGTTGCCTTTATTTAATATCTTCATTGTGAGCAGTTACGCACTATCACGACAATCGGGAAAGTAAATGCAAGCTCTGGAATATTGTATCAACTTGGAGATATATACTCCACAAGAAGATGCCGCGAAATCGCGTTACAATTGGGCAAGTGTTTAAATAAAGAGTTTTATTTAATTTTGTGGGCAGTACGTCGACTGAGCATGCAAAGACAAATTTAGGAAATGCAAAACCCTACATTTATACGTCATATCATAAATATTCCGACTTGTTATTGTTTCAGAGGAGTTGAGGCTCAGTGAAATCGGTCTCCTCCTTTAATAGTATAGATATGCAGGAATTGCTATAATGTTGCTACATAGAAATGAAAAGTTTATAATTGGTTAGTAAGGAGTGTTTTTATGGGTTGATTTATGCTCATCTCTTTTGTCGTAAAACTTGTTCTCAACCAACCCTCATCGACGATTTCAAGATAAGTGGTAAAGTAAACTATATCTGTTGAGTCTTTTTTTAAATTTCAATGGAAAATACGAGTCCAACATTGTGACAAATTTGGCACTATTCAGCGAGATGACATCATCTATATAGTGGAAAGTGAAGTTTCAAGATAATGGTAGCTTCTTTTCAGTCGTCATCAGAAGCTCTTGCATGAAGTCATCCTCGTATGAAAAATGAACTAGTCATTCAAGCTATTCAGAAAGTCTAGTTGTAACTAGAATCGTTGCGTATTAATGGATTTGTTTCTTCAAAATTATTCTTATTTGATGAATTAATGCATTTAAACAATGAAAAACGCAATTTAAGCAATCAAGAAGTCAAGTTTTATAATGTGTTTACTGGTTTTTAAATTCTTTTAAATTTCAATTTTCATCAATTTATTTTTTATCTATTTTTGTCTAAATTTTCAATTTATTTTTTATGGTTCACATTAAATAAATAAAAGGTCTTTTCACTACATCAATATTTATAATGAAGCTACAAATCAAACAATTAGAAAAGTCAAAAGATGTTTATTTCAGTCTGGTAGTTACAATGCAGATTGCAATCTCTTAGTTTCCCCCCTTTATTTCAAGCAATAGTATGATTCGCACACATATTTTTTTACTTTAAATTTTTCAGATTCTTAAGAATTTGTTTATTAAATCTTATATTGACCACATACAATGTTTAAATAAGAAGAAATGCTTAAAAGCTGTTTTTTCGCAGATGGCGGTATTTTGGGCAACTGCATGAGTTGTTATGATTTGCTGTTTGATTAGAAGTAAGCATAATTTTAGGAAATTTATGATGTCAAAAACTTCTTTGATAGTTATTACAAGGTTTTACTTAGTTTTAAGTGATTAGCAGTTGCATCAGAAAGAAAAAATTGGGTTTTCACACATTTTGTTAACTTTTACTCGAATTTCAGAAAACATGTGCTGTCTATCAAAAACACGTTTTAAATATTTTAAAATGCATTTGATTAATGACCGTTAATCTCTCTGCTAAAAGTTTAAATGGTTTGCATATGTGAATTTAGTATATAAAAGTCATATTATGCAATCAAGCTGAAATCTCAGAAAATATGCACTTATTCGTCCTTGGCCTTTGATCTTGATTTGACGGAAATTGCACCGTACGAATTTTTTACGACCGGGCCATACAGATAGTAGAGATGTGTAGCTTTCAAATGATATATAATTTAGCCGTGTGTTAGGTGGGTGCATTAAAAATTTAATTTTATGGTTAAAGTCACTCGCCTATATGTACAAAGTAATACAATGGACTGAAACCAAATAATCATCTCGATTTTATCACTGGTCTGAGATTGCTATGTCTATGTAGTGTTATAGTAATCACAGCACGGGTTTGAACGTATGGGTCACTCCGCCGGTTTGGACTAAGAATTGGAATATTTTTCGAAGTGCTAGTAGATCCTAGGCACATCCGATCTCTTCTTGGTCGTTTGTTTAGTGAATAGCAAAGAGAGTGTACTTCTACCAGAATTAAAAGAGTTTTTTTAAACTTAATTAGATAAGGCCTTTCTTGTTTTTAGTTGTGGGTTCTCTTGCTTAATTACATCCTGTCTAAGGGGGATTAGATTTAAGAGAAATCTAGGGATTGTAAAAATCTAATGACTCCTTAATGAAGTCCCCTTTTACTCGGACAAAATATTAAGGTTGCCTCTACTTACTCCTCTGGAGGTCAATCTGCTACTTCCAAGAACAAAAGGTCATTCTTAGCAGGCAGAACAAATCGACTGCTCCCAAGTCTACCAAATCAAAAAAATACTGGCTCTTTAAAAAACCTAGTCCTGTTACCTAGGTATTAGCCCCTCTAAGGTCGATTGCACCATTAGAGGATTTAACTCCTCCTCTTGCTTGAATTCTGATTTTGATCGGTTTACCCCTGTTCTAAAACAGTGGTGGAAATTGACTGCAGATTGTGTTGTCAAATATTTGAGAGGGATTGGCGCTTCAGTTCGAGAGTCCGTATCTGTCATACATCTCATACTTTGGATTCTGTGAAGAGTCATTTTTTTTAATGAAAGAAGACGCTATTTTTCAGATATATGTCTAACTCCGTCTTTCACTTTTCTATTCCCAAAGAAAAGGGGGAAAGGGGTTGAGACCGGTCATATATTAAACTTGTCAATTCTGATCACATATCTAAATTCCTCATTTTAAAATGTAGACAATCCATATTTCCAATACTTCCAGGAATTTTTTTTTTTAAACAACAAGGTGTTCCAATTCAAGGCATTCCACTTTGGCCTAGCCTGTCTTTACCAATGTTATACAGGTGGTTATTGCTCACATTCATCCTAAGCCGGTCTAAATCCATTTTTGTTTGGACGATTTTCTTATCAAGGATTTTTACACCTAAAAGCTCAGACAGAATTGGTCATCAAACTCTTTCTGTCCCTAGATTTCCTCATTTCCTGGAAAAAGACACAGAGGATTACATTTCAATATTTTATATTCCTTGGTGAACATTTCTTCTCACCCATGAAGGACTAGTCTTTCCCACTTAGAAGAAGACTCTCCATCTATTTTCTAAAAGTTATCTCTTTTAACCTTCACTCAGCATGTGCACGTCAATTCTAGAAACTTCTGGGTCTGTAAAACGCTGACTCACCGTTTTGAATTTTCATTGGAGTTCGGTATTTTTGTTATTTTATTTTTTGCATGTATAGTTACTCTTGGACAACTCCATATTCTTCCTCTTCGGTTTTATATGCACCAATTTTTGATTCTAGCTTCCTTTTAATGGGAAGCTCCTATTCCAATGCTTCAGTATCTGTCTCCTCACATTCAGTGGTGGCTACTCAGGAATAATGTCACTAGGGGCCTTCGTCTACCTCCAACCAAGGTGTGGTGCTTATCTGGAGGGACACACTGTCTCGGAGTCTTTGGCTTAGATTGTCTTAAAGCGATCATCAATGTGCTAGAAATGAAGACAGTTCTTCTTACACTGCATTATTTCAAACCTTATCGGATCAACACAGTTGTTTTGACAACCGAAAACACCCCGATTGTTGCTCAAATTAAGAATCATGGAGGAACTCATTGTTAGTCCTTGTATCAGATAGTCAAATACATTCTGTTCTTTTGCTTTAAGATTTTACTTCATCTGAAAGTGTGACATATTTTAAACAGCCTCAGTGTTTATAAAGACAAACATACATTGTCTCTTGCTCCTGTGAACAAAGAGTGGGAATTTCGTCAGTAATTATTCGAAGCAGTAGCTCTTCGTTGGGGCTGCCAAGAATGGTTTTCAGATCTTTCAAGAATAACCTTATCTTTTCTTGTCAAACATCAAATTCATGACCCATAGTTATCGCTGCACTTCCTTCTGACTCAAATTTAAAACTTATTTGTCCAGTTTGGATTATGACTGTTTATCTTAGGAAAAGATACTATGTGTACTATAGTTCTAATTCTATATCCTTTTCATTTTGTCCGATTTGTCCGTTAAAACCATTGCTTCTTAGATCTACAAATCTATCTCTAGCTTATGGCTTAGTTAAGGAAGAACTTTTCGGCAGTTTTAACATTAAAGCTCATCATCCAAGAGCCCTTTCTACACTCTGAACTTCATTTAAAAACGCCTCTTTAGAAGTATTGCCAACAGGATTTTGGAGAAATAAGATCTCACTTATATCTCATTACCTTCTGTTGTAATGACGCAATAGGAAATAACTAATAATGTATGATGGTAAGTTTTATTTCTTTAATTCTCATTTTTTTGTCTCGCCTGCGACGAAAGTCGCAAAATTCGAGACATGGGGATAACAATCCGGCGGCAGCGACAACGACGGTGTAAACTATTTGTATAAAGCTTTTATATTTCTGAAGGTAAAAGACCCGGATGCTTCATCATTTGTATGCAGATACCTTATGTTACGAAGTTTCCGTCTGTCATATGTCCATTGTCGAACTCAATTTCATGGTTCAGCGACTGCTAGAATTTTTTTGTTTAGTTCTTTGTCAGGGAATTTCTCACTTATTATGAGTAATATGAAAATATATATTTGGTATATGGTTTCCTTCCAACGTCAATATGTCCGTCAGGGAGTGTTCACCTGACCTCAACCTCATTTCATGGATCAGTGATCATGCAAGGTTAAAGTTTCAAGTCCGTATCTCGGATAATATAAGCAATAGAACAACTATATTTGGTGTATGGAATGATTACAAGGTGTACATGTCCGACTGGCAGGTTTCATCTGACCTTGACCTTTATTTCATGGTTCATTGAACAATGTTAATTTTTGTGGTTTGGTCTATTTCTCAGGTACTGTAAGCAAAAGTGTCACTATATTTGGTGTATCGAATGATTGTAAGGTGTACATATCTGTCTGGCATGGTTCGTATGCTCTTGATCTTTAAATTATGATTCATTGGTCAATGTTAAGTTTTTATGATTTGTCAGTTTATCAGATACTATAAGCAATATGTCAACTATTTTTTGGTGTATGGAATGATTGGAAGGTGTACATGGCTGTCTGGCAGGTTCATATGACCTTGACCTCATTTTCCTGAATCACTGGTCAATGTTAAGTTTTCATGGTTTTGTAAGTTAATCAGATACTATAACTAGTAGGTTACCCAGAATTGGTGTATGGAATGATTGTAAGGTGAACAAGTCTGTCTAATCTAACCTTGACCTCATTTTCATGGTTCATTGGTCAATGTTAATTTTTCGGGGTTTTGTCAGTTTATCAGATACATTAAGCAATGTGTCAACTTTATTTCGTGTATGCAATGATTGTAAGGTTAACATGTCTGTCTGGAAAGGTTCATTTGACAATGACCTCATCCTTATTATTGAATCATTATTAAAAAATAAACAGGCGAGACATTTCAGCGTGTGCACTCTTGTCTCTAAAAATGTTTTTTTTAAGTATGACCCATTTAACAAGAGAGAAAGGACTGAAATCTCTTCAAATTAGTCTATATGAGCTATACCTTACAGATATTTAGAATCTGTTGTAAGCATGGAAAGTTAAAGTTATCAATGAACAATAAAAATGAGGTCAAGGTCAGATGTCTTGCTAGGAAGCGAAGTACATTTACAATCATTGTATACACTAAGTTTATTTGACCTATTACCTTTAGTATCCGAACTTATCAAGAAATCTTAATTTTGACAACTGAACCATGAAACTAGTTCAAAGTAAGTTGATTCTTGCCTGACATGCATGTATACCTTGCAATGTTTCTATATAACAAATGAAACTGATCTATTACTCATAATAATTGGGGGGAGGATATGATAAAAATGTACAATTTTTATTCCTACGGAGCTAATTATGTACCCCTACTGATCGACCTTGCTTTTGGCTTTGTACTCAAATGAAGTCTAAATCATACAGAACGTTATCAAAGACGAAAAGAAAAAGCACCTTGGAAAGTTCTTTAATTACACATTCAGATATATTAATGATGTCATATCACCCAATAACCCACATAACAGTGAGTGCTTGAATCTCATATATCCTAGTGAACTTGAAATTAAGGATTATACCGAAACAAGATGGTCTGCTCATTTTTTGATATTTCCCCCAATATTGAAACAGATGGACGACTTCAAACTAGAATCAATGACAAACGTAATGAAATGATTTCAACTTTCCCATTGTCAACTTCCCTTTTCTCAGATGTAACATACCCTCTGTCTCACCGTATTGCATTTACATATCTCAATTAATATCTTACGCTCGTTCATTTTCACACTATATGGATTTAATTATTACACAAAACGTGCTCCAAAAAAAAAAGAATAACACACATACCTAACTCCAAGGCAAATCCAAAAAGGGGAAGTCCATAAACTGACAAAATCAAATGCTATCAATCAACGGAACAAGTGAAAAAAAACTGCCAAATTCCTGAATTGGTACATAGTTATGAGGAAGAACGACTGAAAAGACACTTCTTAAGTTTTACGGTCATCATCTCGAATTACGATTTGTCTGTATCTTTACTCACTTGCGTCATGTTTGTGTGGTCTTAGATCTTTAGATACCAGAATAGTCTTTATTGTATAATTTTACCGAGTATGTCTTATTCTCAATTGTGACATTTCGACTTACTGTAGATTGACATGGCGGGTGATGTATGCATAGCAGGAGACGCTTCCCTATCCCGCTCCCTTTGGAATTCATGCAATTCCCTGAGTTTTTGTTTGTATCCGTGATTTGTATCTTTTTAATCGATTTATGAGATTTGAATAACGGTAAACTACTCGTACCTAAATATATTCATTTAATGAACCATTAAACTTGAAACTATACGGTTTATTATATAGGTTGTCTGATATCTACACTTAAATACCGACTTTTGTTCTTATAAGATATTTAAGAAACCGATAATTTTGGCAGTGTAATGTTTCTGTCTTTCAACAAATGATTTCAAGATAACAGACAGAAACACACATTAAAAAACCTTTAAGGGCAATAACTGCCATGAGGAGTCAATTGATGGTTTCAGTCATTCTTGTCATTTTTGTGTTGCTGGTAATTTTTGCTACTTTCTAATTTCTGTCTTTTAATTATAGTTTTCGGGATAATGTGCAATCATAAAAATTAGTTAAAATTAAAGGATCAAACTCCTGTATGAAGCCAGGTTATGGTTCCAGACATATTGGTATTTGTAGATCTTGTATTGTTGATCATGTTGCTTTTTACAATTCCCGTGATCAATTATTATATTCAACAAAAACGCACAAAACACTTAAATTAAATCAAAATTGTCATGTAAGAGCAAACATTTACACAAGGAATCCATTGATTGTTTCAGATGACCCCCAAATGAAAACCGATGATACCAGGCGTAGAAACTTGAAGATATAAAGAGTGGAAGGGGACAATAACTGTATACCCATAGGTAAAAACTGTGCTTTTACTTCACAAAAATTTCAAAACAAGTGTAAAATTTGGGTCTGAGATCATTCTTATAATGTAGTCTCAGATAATACTATTATGTCATTTGAAGAAACGGACGTTTACAAAGGACCGAAATAAACAAACAAACAAACAAACAAAAAACAGAGAGAACTGGTACAACTTCATGGATTTTTTTCTTCAAAATTTTTTTTGAATCTGATAAATTGTATTGAAAAACATTTCGAAATAATTTTTCACAAAATCATTACTTAAACGATATCAATGCGTCGAATCAATTTATAAACCAGTTCTCTCGGATTGCAATTTGTGTCTGTACCAGCTGACAAAATATCCAATAATGTTGTTGTTTTCACTATTTATAAAGATCCAACAAAACCCAACTATATGGATATTTTCAACAATACCTGCAAATATTTAGACACTATTTTTTCTCTTGATAATCAATACTTTTAACTGTGATATTAATTATAAAGTTAACAAACATACGCGTTGTATTTCAAACCTTTTTGAGGGGCTGAATAGTTTTATTGGTTAAGGTTATGATTGTTTTGTTGGTGTTTAATAACTACGTATGGTATTTGGGAGGTTGCGTCTGGTATCTGGGAGATTAATATAAATTAGACTTTTAATAGTTTGAAACAAGACTAAACTGTTTCATGCATTTCAATTGTGTACAAATTTATTTTGGGAATTTTCACTCGATCATATTTTCGTGTACTATTCATGACGGACCATAAAAACTCGTTCATTCATGTTGATGGATCAATTATATAAAGTACAATGTGTTTTTTCTGGAATATTATTCAGATGATGAATTCAATTGTATATTTATACGGCTTATACTGTTATACCGATCATTGATTTTTGTGGTAGAAAGGGATGGGTCTTACTAATCAATCCTTGTACCGACATATACAGTTAAATGTTTTTGTAACTGATTAAATACTAATGAACCATATACGTTTTAAATAAAGAACGCTTAAATTGATACACTCTAAAATCTGATTTCTTAAACTAACCATGGAGGTATTATATTGACATTTTACTTTCATTAACTAACAAACAACTTAAAGTTTTACCAAAATAAACTTCATTAAAAATTCAGAGATCGACAATTGAACAAATAATTGAATTTTGTAGATACGAATGTACATATATATATACATTTATTATCATTTACTGTCTGAAATATAATGTTTTTGGTTTTTATTTTTGTGTGTATTTTTTGTTAATGTTTTTTGTTTTGTTATGTTTTGATTTATTTTTGTAACTTAGAAAAAAACCTCATTAAAGATACAAGGCTTGAAATTTTATACGTAAGAATCGATTTTCGTCTACAAAAGACTCATCAGTGACGCTCGAATCAAAATAGTCAAATAAAGTACGAAGTTTAAGGGCACTGAGGACCAAAAATTCCGAACGGTTTAGCCGAATACAGCTAATGTAATCTGTTCCTTGGATAGAACATCCTTAGTATTTCCAACAATTCAAAGTCACTTTGTAAACAGATTCAAGTTCTCTTATCTATCATAGTGCAGCTTTGAGGGCATAACATTGCCCACTATCAAAGGAAAAATGTACTAATTTACCAAACCGATACGGGAAATGTACATAAACACAATTTCCCCTATACTCTATGATTTAATATCCTGACGGTTTCCAAGTCTCGTAGCTGTTATTTTCCCTACTAACAATTTTGTCTTCCTTTAAAAAAAACTTGCATTTTTAGAAACATTCATTTTTTTTTTTCAATTTACAAATTAAACATATTTTTAACATAACATTAAAGTATTAAAATCTGTAGAAAGAACAGATGTTGATAAAGAAAAGAACATAGGTATTGGAAGGCGTCATTTAACTTTCACAGGCCAAACAAGGATTTGGAATCGTCTCTTTTTAAAAGATTTGCTTTTGCAATAAATATATCTATAAAAAATGATAACATCCAATCATTCAAGTACAGTTCTCAAGTTATGATAAAATAAACAGGACTAAAGCACAATTTGGCAATTCTACTGATCCCTTTCGGTTTTTGGTCGATGTAAATATAAAACTATATAGATTGCAACACGTTGCGGGCGTTAACATGTATTGATTTAATCGTTTAAAAGGATTTTCTTGTCAAAAAAGCAATAGTTCCAACGAAATTATAACTTAATTAGAAACATTATTTAAAAGTTAAACTACCTGTACAGATAACAGAAAAAAACCTGAGTACATTTGTAAAAAATATTTAAAATGCTCTGATCTAGACACTTTCATATTACGTCCAATTAAATAGACTTGGTCTCATTTGCAGACATTTGTGCAACAAAACGACATTAAGTTTCGTTCTAAGTGAGAATTTTCCCCCTTATCTTTTAGATCAGCCAAAGCCAGCCAAAGAGCTTGATTTCTTTGAAACTAACATGTAACTAGAGAGAAAACTAATATCAATCTTATCAAAATATAGATCTCTGATTTCGTTATGCTCATATGACGAATAAGCGAGTTACGATAGATCTGAATTTTAAGCAGATTGGACTAGTATAAACCTTAAAAGGGGCGTTTGAGTCCTAGCTCTAACTTGTTAAAAGTACAAAATGTATCTTAGGAATACAAGAGTGGAAGGTGTGTGTTCTGTACTTTACACTTACTTTTTTTTTCTTTTTTTTTAAATCTAAGAGTTTAGTGCCATATTCATATCAACATTTGTATTTTCTGTGAATCAATTCGTATTAAGCAAACTTAAAACAGACATTGGTGAATCAGTTACAATACTTTTCAAGCTTTTCGAATATTTTTTTTAATTTCTATGAAACTTAACTTTCAAAGGGATTATTCTTCAGTGGTGAAATATTCATTATATTTTAATTTTCAGTCGCAATTTTGTTTCAGAGTGACGCCAATTCTTTGCAGTTGAAAAGCCTTGACTAAATCCCTGTCTATATCAGTTGGTATTTCAATTAAGCTATATTCGCAGGAAATCTGGCTAATTCAAAAAATAAATATTAGCTGAAGGTTTTAAGTGAATTACAAAAAGTCAATCGCCCGAGTACATAAATATAGATTGTCCCGTACAGAGACACATGTGTGACATTGATATCTGGAGTATTAGGATGATAGCCTTACCGAACCTAACATGAACATAAGAATTCGATTTATCAGCAAAATCCTTGAAAGATAAAATTATTAGACAATTACTGTAATCATGTTTTTAAACAATTGCGTATTGACGTTCACTGTAATGAGAAGGTTTGATGGAATCGATTGACTAACAAAGAATACAAATTTCGGCATTTAAAAACGGATTTTCAATTTTTATTTTATTTAAGGAAAGTATTTTGTAACAAGAATACATTTAAATATTTGTCTTCGATTCCGCATTGGAAATATTCAGTATTTACAGAGTCTGCAGTCGATTAATAAAAACTTTGCATTACTCTTGGATACGTCATAAAATAGCACATCGGAAATGGAACTAAGCTGAAATAATTTTGATTATTATCTGTCACTTTTTTGTATTTTAGATACGGTTGATGTAGTGTTTCATTAGTGATTAGACGTGATGTCAAAATCTTCAGTTCATATTCGAATGTCAGATAAGGATAATTTCCTTCACGAACATGAAATATTTGAAATGATGAAATCGAGAACACTTTATCAAATGCAGTTTGACCTTAGAAGGAAACTGGACAAACGAATACGTTCAATTGAATTGGCTGAAAAAGTGCACATGTCAACATTTCAGAGTAAAAAAACGGTATTTCTAAATAAAATGAGAGAAAAGATACGACAGAAAAACTTTAAAAGATTTAGCACGGAAATAATGCGAGACAGTGTAGAGGCTGAGGCTGAGGTTGAGGCTGATATTAACTTTTTGTCTGAGGACGAAAATGACGACGATGATCTTTTGAATAACAAAGACACGAACAAGGAGAATGTTCGAAAAAATATCAGATCAAAATCATTAGTGAGTGTGATTACTTCAGAAGGTGAAAAATTATCTGAACGTCCAATTACATCTCGTTCTGTTGTGTCTCTTAACGGGAAATCCTTGGCAGTTGCCAAAAGTAGTGGCAGGCAACGTATAGACCAATCTGTAGAAAGCAACAAGGCCCTTGTAACAGAAATAACTATATATCCTGGAGATTTCACCGAAGAGCTGGCTACAGTGAACACTATATCTCACACCTCTGGAATCAACGATAAAGTTAAAACCAATCGTGCTGAGGAAAAACATAGGAAGAATACCAAATTCAACCTAAAAGAAAATGAATTAGAGAATCGCCTTTCGCTCCCTACAATTCCAAATGCCGAAGTAGTTAAAAACTTAGCGTCGTTTGAAATGGGAACCTTAACACCAGACGGACATCTTCTTTTAACTAAAGATGATTACAAAAACTATATGGACAAATTTGAAAGAAAACGAGAAAAAAGATTGTGTAGAGTTCGTAGGCAGAGTGAATCGCTGGATCAAAAAGTGCGAGACTTTACTATAGATGAGGAATAAACAGGGATTTTAACGATTTTTTTAACTTAAAAATGGAAAATAGGAAAAATTAATTAAAGGTAGTATTCGCAACTGTTGTTTATTTTGTATCTGTAGACAGGAAGAGAAAAAACAAAGCACACCAATCAAACAAACAAACAGAAAATAAAACAAATAGTAACTATTTGTTATTTGTTCTCAATAAGCATACGCATATGGATTTTATATAAGAGTTTTGAAATACTGAAAATTATGAAGATTTCCTTTCTTTCTGAAACGAGTTTTAATTAGAAATATTTAAAAGAGATTGTGCAATACAAAGTTGTCTATTTTTTTTTGCAGACTCATTCATGTGTTATTGAAATAAGAAAGGACACAGGAACGTGCGTGTTGTCTTGACGGCTTCCACTCTTCTTTTTTTTTTATTAGTTTTAACTATTTTTATTTTATTTTATTGTTGGTTCATTTTTTGTATGAAAGAGGAAATGACTATTTTTTAAGATTATCTTGTCATTTCTATTGAGAAATTTATAGTTATCAAACATTAAATATTTACTTATCAAGCAATAAAAGTGTCAGTATTAAAATTTAACATAAAATTAAAAGGGGAGGGCAATACAGTCATCGGGTACCTCTGAAAATAGACGATTAATTTGCAAATTGAATATCAAAAATTTAAAACTATACGTGTTTTCAATTTGTCTGTGACCTATGTATATCTATATATTTAAAACTTAACTAATTTCACATACAATGCATTTTAACCCTCAAAGGTAACACTGGTAATGGCGTTAAAACGTCCTTTGCAATTAAATTTATTGCTTTTAAATTTTCAAAAGTAACAAAATAAAATCGAACTTTGATCTTAAATTAAAATTTCTTTTAAATATTCGTTAAGTTAAGTTTCTACATAGACGCTTTTGAAAGGCGATAGTGTGTGAAGATTGACGTCTTTTGAATTGTTACTTAATTTATTACTCTTATTCGCGTTTATAACCTTGATTGTTTATTTAGGTTATGCAGGTTATATTTTATTTTAGTCTCTGATGCATGATTTTTTATTATTAATTGTTTTTTGGCTTTTAACTAGCTTTCAGTAACTGCGAGTACTCTCAAATCGTACTTTCGTGTTAATTTGACCTGTTGATACAATCTGTTATGTATTTTTGTTATTTACTGTTTACTTATTCAGTGTTATATCTAGTCTCACTATTTTTAATATATACCACCTTTGATAAGTGTTTAGTATGACGATAAATTTTCGCTTTTGTTCTCGTACTAGGAACAACAAAATTATTTGTTTTGTAAAAATATTTCCGTACTCCATGTATACCTTACAACAAAATTATTTTTATTTACCTGTGTACGTTATTTTAATTGGCGGCATTTTGTCCAAGGTTATGGTTGTTTTTCTGATATTGTTTTACATTTAACCCCCTTGTTTTATTAATTTTGTATTTACATTGTGTCATAGATCAAATTTATTCGTTCAGTGTATGTTCACTTGTTTTTGTTAATATGTCTTTTGATTGAGTTAAGCCATTTCAATTGATATTTTATAGTGTTTCTTTCTATGTTGTGATGTCACACTATTGTTTCAGGTAGGGTGAAGGTTGACGCCTATTAAAACGTTTAGACCCGCTGCATTTGTTTGCACCTGTCCTAATTCAGGAACCTGATGTTCAGTTGTTGTCGTTTGTTGATGTGGTTCATAAGTGTTTCTTGTTTCTCGTTTATATATAGATTAGACCGTTGGTTTTCCTGTTTGAATGGTTTAATACTAGTCATTTTTGGGGCCCTTTATAGCTTGCTGTTCGGTGTGAGCCAAGGCTCCGTGTTGAAGGCCGTACTTTGACCTATAATGGTTTACTTTTACAAATTGTGACTTGGATGGAGAGTTGTCTCATTGGCACTCATACCACATCTTCTTATATCTATAAACTCTATCATAAAGTTTTGATCTACACCGAAAAATTTGTAATAATTTCCTTAAGGTACACTTAAACACTTTATTTTTATTTAAATAAAAACATGAAAATGTGCATATTTTCTGGAAAAAAAACTTTTCAATTAGAACCACACAGTGAAGAATTATGTATTGTTATATATATGGGCTTCAGTAACAATTCGGAGTGCTGTACCGACATTATGATTGTTCTAAAAAACTTATTACATATAATATAGCTATTATTCATAATTAACTAATTATTTGTGATAGATTTGTCGTAATCTTGCATTATTTATCTACTCTCTTCTTTAATAGATAGACTGGTTTTTGTTTGCTCGACGCCACCTTAGCAAAGAAAGCTAAAATATCATTGATAGTTCGCTATCTGATTACATTTTTATTGTTTTATTTGTTCTTATTAAAGTAAACCTAACCGTTTTTCCGTATTCGTTCGGGAGATTTTCTATCGTCCTGGTTTTAACGTAGAATATCTGTAGTGGACAACAAAACCTTGTCCAATAAGACCATCTTAGACTTAGTGTATATTATGATTTATGCTGATATTGATATTGATCTTTCAATGGAATTTTTAAACCAGTGTATTTTTTGCATGACGCGCAAAATCTTGGCGATCTAAAATGGGCCGCGATTTCTGTTTGTATCCTTCAAATTAACACAAGTATTCCTCATTCCCAATTTAAAAACAAATTGAAAGAGTTGGTCCTGCTTTGTTTCATAAAAAAGAATGTCCAACGTAGATACAAGTATCTTGTCTGAGGGAGGGATAAATCGTGATTAGTAAAAAATCACTCTGATTCAAACAAAAAATTCTCTTGAACTGACATTATCAAGATGCTTGATTTCTTGATTGACAACATAATTGTTAAGTTTGGAGGAAGTGTTTTTTTCAACAAACATTCCCATGGGAACCAACTGTGCTCCTCTTCTTGCCGACTTGTTCCTTTATTCATTTAAGGCTGACTTCATGCAGGAACTTCTTAGGAAGAAAGAAAAGAAGTTAGCAGTATCCTTTAACTTTACTTTCCGCTATATAGGTGACGTTCTCTCACTAAATAACTCAAAATTTGGTGACTTTGTTGAACGCATCTATCCCATCGAACTTGAGATAAAGGATACAACAGATATAGCTAAATCTGTCTCAAATCAGGACTTACGTCTCGAAATTGACAATGAGGGCCGGTTGAAAACAAAACTTTACGACAAAAGGGATGATTTCAACTTTCCAATTGTGAACTTTCCATTTCTATGTAGCAACATTCCAGCAGCGCCTGCATATGGAGTATATATCTCCCAGTTGATACGATATTCCAGGGCTTGTATTTCTTATCATGATTTACTTGATAGATGGTTGTTGCTCACAAGGAAGCTATTAAACCAAGAGTTCCAAGTGGTGAAGTTGAAGTAACCCCTTCGTAAATGATACGAACGCCATCACGAGTTTGTTGACCGTTATGGAATATCCGTTTCAAAGATGATAGCGGATATGTTCCAGTTGTCGTAACTATAATCCCATCCCCCTTTTCCCGAATGTGACCTACCGAATTAGACTTATTACCGGGTTTGTACTAACATGAGCAACACGACTGGTGCCACATGTGGAGCAGGATCTGCTTACCCTTCCGGAGCACCTGAGATCACCCCCAGTTTTGGTGGGGTTCGTGTTGCTCAGTCTTTAGTTTTCTATGTTGTGTTTTGTGTACTGTTGTTTGTCTGTTGGTCTTTATCTTCTTAAGCCATGGCGTTGTTAGTTTATGTTTGATTTATGAATTTGAATGTCCCTTTGGTATCTTTCGCCTCTCTTAAGTGTGCATGGCGATAAATAAGTCATTAATAATATTGTTATACAATACTATAGAACAAATAGCAGACACAAATTATTTGTACGGCGTTTAGTTTGAACAATATTTTATTTTTCAAAAGTTTAATATATATTGTTCGATTTCCAATACAGAATAAAGTACGCTTTTTACTCGTTTAATTTTGAAATATCGATTACAAGGAACGTTTACTTCACATGGAATAGAGTTGTAAATAATTAATCGAGTGCAGTTTCGCAAAAAGTTTTTTTTTTCTCATATTTATTAATTCGGTATTACTAATAAGCCTTATGGCTGAATTAGTGTCATCAATGAATTTTAAAAAGGGAATACGGCGTATGTCACCACCAGAGCTAGATCTATTTACCTTTCCGGAGTAACTAAATTCACCCTCAGGTAATGGTGGGTTCTTGTTACTCAACAGTTAGTTTTATTATAGTGTTTTGTCTTTTCCACGTTTATATCTCTCTCGGTGGTCAGTTGTTTTGTCTTTTCCACGTTTATCTCTCTCGGTGGTCAGTTGTTTTGTCTTTTCCACATTTATCTCTCTCGGTGGTCAGTTGTTTTGTCTTTTCCACGTTTATCTCTCTCGGTGGTCAGTTGTTTTGTCTTTTCCACGTTTATCTCTCTCGGTGGTCGTAGTGATTTTTGGTTTTTGTTCGACCCCTTGGCATCTTCTGCTTCTTTTTTCTAATCCCGGTTAAACGCCAAAAGAGTATATTCTGTAACACTTGTATCTAAAGAGATTCTCGTGGTTATTAATGGATGTGGGTGGATTAACATTCTCAATTCTTTCAAAGACCACCCATATTCATACATTGTAGTTCAACTACTACTAAGTAGTACTGCCTTCAATGTCGTTCTTTTTTAAGATTTTGTCACTGTCCTGTCAGTGTAACGGTAAGTAAAAAGTGGACGAAATGTCTCGCCTGCATTACTGATAATGACTGAATAATATATTGAAAATATCACAGGTACGAGACGAGATATTTTAAATATATGGTTATATACTGAATACACTAACAAGGTCAACAACTTGCTTGTGAGAAAAACTGACCGGTGATAGTGACCAGTCAAAATGTTCATAAAAGGTTTGTTGAACCTTCGTTTACTTTCAACACTGTGCGAAGTTCTGGATATTTTTTCTTGAAAATGAGCCACAAAATGAAATGAAGATTTTAGGCCAAGAAATAAAAAAGTTCTGGTTTACGAGTTTTGAAAAAATATTCTTAAATGGTCGAATTCGGACATTTACTGGGACACATGCCTACTCGATTTTGAGTGTACATTGACGTTCAGTATTTTATTTTGTTACTATTTGTTTTTTACCAACAAGATCTCTTGGTTCATTTGAAGAGGCTGCAGATCATGGATAAATGAATTTGGTGCTATAGTCTCAGGATCAATTGACAATGAGTTAAGGTCAAGATCAAACGATAACGGACAGACAGACACGATCACATTATAGCTTCTTTAAATCAGTGTTGAGCTTTTACTTATTGAAACTTGGAAATTGACCGATTTAAGAAAATTGAACGTTTTCGAGACAATGGCGGACATGTATGCTTTAGAATGGTTCAAAAGACCAAATACAACAGACGTAATATTTATTGTAACTAAATTATGATCATGAAAACTTAATGTTGATCAATGAACCAATTAATTATGCCCATAATGACGACCGTTCGAATATATATACATCTTACAATGGTTCTGTAGACCAAATATATTTGGCCTTCCTTACAGCACGAAACTGACCTAAACCCCACGTTGATAAATGATCCATGAAAATTTGGTAAACGTCAGATGGACAAGTGTATCTTACAACGATTCTATTGACCAAATGCAGTTGGCCTATTTACTGTGCATCTGAAAAGATAACATAATTACGAAAACTTATCGTTGATCCATGAAGCATGAAAATGAGGTCAAGGCATGATGAAACAAATACACCATACAGGATTAAATACATCCAATATAGTTGACCTATTACCAGAAACCCATTACTATTACTTATAGTATGTGGGACTACTAAAACACATTAATCAGAAATTGTTAATATATAACAACCTGTTCTGAACTCAACTATTCAACGGCGAGTAGTAGTTTCAGCTTAAACCAAAAAATAAAGAGACCATACTACGAAAACTTAACTTGAATAATGCACCTTAAATTCAAGTCCAGGTCAGAAGCTCCTTGTTAGACAGACATGTTCACCTTACAATGATTCGCTATAATACGCTAAATATTAATAGCTAATTAACCTATCACCAAAAGATGCTGGATGATCACTAATCATGAAAATTATACAAAAAGTCAATAAAAACGGACATGTATCTGAATATAAATAAAATGAGAATGTGCGTCAATGGGAGCAACTCAAGGAAAAATAATCAAAACGTCTAGAGCTCTGCATACGTTCTGCAATAATAGACAACACTAAAGCGTCTATGCAATATATCATGCTCAATATCGCAACCGTAGTCTAGAAAGGTACTCACCGTGAAGCGAACGAATGAAAAACAAGGGTAAAAATCCTTGAAGGGCAGAGGCATTAAGATATAACTAAAATCAACCACTGAAGAAATTCCCGACTTGGGACAAAACATATATTGCAGGGTAAAACTATTGTTTTAGCACTTAACCCTCCCCCTTTTATCTCGATCAGTGGAATAACAAAATGCACAAAAACGTAAAAAATATGTTTAGCAGAAGCACTTAATTGTGTGATACCAATACGAATAACTTTAAAATAATAATGGACAATACCGCATGAAAGAATATGTGACGTTTGCTTGAACACATGACAATAATCACAAATGGATTTATAATTCTTTGTGGTCATTCAAAAAGTCATATTGTCTTTCTCCATCCTTTTGCTGAGTACGTAACTTTATAGATAGAAGTGCAACAAAATGCAAAAACACAGTGGCCACTGGTGGTTAATACAGAAAATTACTCCAAGACTAAAAGAGCCTATTGATAAAGATTGATTGATTGTTGGTTGCTTAACGTCCAATGGCAAATATTCAATGCAGGTTCAGGACGATCTATTGATAAAGACAAGGATTTATAATACAAATCCTTGATAAAGAATAGATTATTTTTTAACTTTTTAAAACATAAATCATTATGTATAATCCAAAGAATTATGCCAGGTTTGTTCTAGATCTTCAACACAATATCTGTTTCATATACCCAGCCAATAAGATTAGGCTACATTTTAAACATTTTGAATTAAAATGAGATTATTTTTAAAAATAATGTCTCCAATTCTGAAAACAGGCACTTCCTGATTACTGGATTAGCCTCAACCAATTGTTAGAAGTTTCGTAAATTTAAATTCCTTCACATTTTGAATTACATTGTCTGTTTATTCCATAGCTAGTAGAAGTTGACAGTTGATCCTATGAAAAAAATAAAATACCACCTCTAATACTCTTGCTTGAAAAAAAAAATAGTAGGGCAATACAGTCAAGTATCTGTATTGAAACATTTATAGGTATCAGAGACGGATTTAGTGGGAAAAATTTGGTTGATTATATAGGGAATCACTGAAGCATGACTGGAAAAGTTTAAACCAAATAGATAGAGAGGTTGTTTTTTTTTTAATTTAAACCACAACAGACAATTCCTGTGACTAAAATGAGATCAAAATATAGGAATATTTTCAGATCATTTAAATTGAAGTGACACCTATCAAAATGACTACCAGTTTTCCTCTCACTGCATATCATACATAATGTAGATTGGGTGCTTTACATCCAGTGGCAAATATCACATGCATATATAGGGCAAAAGCATGTTCTTAATATGCTATGTTTGTTGTTAAACTGACACATTAAGCTCAATTTTAAATACATTGTACAAGCAGATGCTAGCTCACAATATAAGTGTGCAGAGGAGACATGTCCCAAAACTTGAACACCTAATACTGACTCTATCCCTACCATGTTTTGCTTTACATGGAAACAAACATCTAGATATCTATTTTTTTGTATCATTTTTCTTTTCTCTTTCATTGATGAATACCACACAATTCACTTTTATACATACTTTGAAACCACAAATTTTTGTGGCATTGAAAAAAAACTATTTTGGTCCAAAAGTGCTATTGATTGGATGTGCAAACAAGACATCAATTACCTTTGTGTACTTATTAAAAATTGATACAAGACCTTTCTGTTTTACAAGATATATCCAATCATCCACTTAAACCAATATTTACATTTTGTAATTCAGACCTTATTCACTTTCTTCATAGAGACTTAATCCTGACGGATAATCCATTAAATAAACAATTAACAAATGTAAATAAATGAGCATTTATTATAGTAAAATAAATAATATATTGATATCACAGGCTTTATCGATTTCTATGATCTAAAGTAAAACAACATTCTCATACTTTCAACGTCTGTATCAAAAATAGGTCGTGTTATTTATGTACTTGACATATTTCAATTTTAAGCTTTTAACTCAACAAGATATTTATACTTTATAATTCGAATTAAATCAGATCAATTTATAGAATGAAATTCATTAAATAGAAATTCAAACCTTGAACATTTTTGATAATTTCAATTGAAGAAAAACTAAATCAATTTGTTCCATGAAATTATTAGTACTTTAATACTTACTGGTAAATATAGGAAATAATGTCAAGTTTCAAACCTTCAAAAAGGGAAACAGATACCCTTGAAAATTGAAATTCTGGGTTAATCTACCCACTTGATGGGGTTGAAATATTGACATATACCCCCACATATTGTTTTACTTATAAAAATCAATTTTTTTAATAAAACAAAATAAAAAACAGTTAACAAATTTCTTGATTTAAAAATTTAAATGACATAACTATTACTTGTTGAATGAGTTGCAGCAACATATCAGACTAATTAACACTAATATTTACACAGCTGTTAAAACCAATTTTCTTGCAACTGGTAAATTCACTTTGAATGAGATATACGGCACCTGGAACTTTTTAAACAATAGTAAGACATGGAATCAATAACACTTTGATGAAACTGGTTGCTTTGGGTAACTCTACCTTAGAGTAATATTGTTTGCAACATTTGACATCTTTAAACACAGATCTTCATAAAATTAAAAAAGATTAGTTAACACCTGTATTAATATGAATGTGAACACAGAAACTTGTTTTAAAATGGTATTTTAAAAAGGAAAAGAACAACTTTTATCGAAGCCACATTATTATAATAATGTAACTATAGGAAGGAAACTGACATATTTCAATATTTTACACGAGAACATGTCTCCAGAGGGAATTCCAGATTAAAAAAGCATGCAGATGTGACAATTATATCTATTAAAAGGCATTCAGTTTTTATTGGTGGAAGTCTGTAGGAAGCTGGAAAACATGGAGAGAACCAGGACTATTTGCAGGAAAACTGACAATTCTAGTCAATCAAGATCGTAGTTCAAAGCTGGTAACCTGAGTGTTGACAGGGTAGTGATCACTTATACCACTCAGCCACGAAGGCATGCCTTATTTTGAGATCTTGACATCAATATTTTGACATGAGCAACAGCCTTATCCAAAAGGCTTTAAAACTCACATCATCATCTTTGTATGACATTTTATAGTAAAATATTTTTAGGGTAAATTCTTTTTATGAAATGAATTAATAAACACACATTTCATTAACACTTTCATTCATTGTAATAACTATAAAGGGTGATCTTGGCTGCTAATGTAATTTGCTTACTTTTTTTTTTCATTTCTATCTGGGAAATGTACTTTAAATTTATATAAGCAATCATTTATCCATTAGGGAAATAAATGATTTCATTAGTACAATAAAGTGTAACATTAATCATCATATCTCAAGCTTTTGTATTGTAATATCCATAAATATTCTAACATTTTTATCAACAACAAAGTCATATGATATGTAATTGATCTGGTAGCCCAATTAAAATGTTAAACAACAATATATTCCTTTTAAAGGATGTAATTCTGCATTAAATAATAATGATTAACTGTGATATCTGATATGACTGAAATAAGCCTTTACAGTAAAATTATCAATCATTTCAACCATAACACTGGAAACATGCACTTTTATAAACCAAAATTATCTTGATAATTCCTAGAATTAAAGTCAGGTTTGAAACTTTTACTGGTAACTAAGGAATACAAGACTCTCATATTAGGTTAGAATTTGGTTCTTTTTAGCAAATTTAACTTTTGAGCAAAGAATGTATTATTTTCAAAGAAAATGTTAAAAGACAACAAATTTAGTTCTATTCATCCAGTCTTTGACAAAGATCATCAAATGTCCTAAAAGGGCAAATAATGTAATTGAGAATTTTCTTTTGTGACATAAAGCATATACATTACATTATAAACCTTAGCATTGTCTGTTGCAATGGCAGTTACCTATAGGAACATTGATATCATATTCAATAAAAAAAAATTGGTCATGGCACTCAGAAAATTCAAAAGACAGGGAAGAGTGTGAAGGGCATTCACCCCCCACCCACCCCTAAAAATTCTTTAAACATACATATGCACAGGACTATTACTTTTTTAGTTAATTTTTGAAATGACTATCTGTCAAAACCTGATATGAAGGTCACTTCTATAAATGAAAACCTGTTCTCTCAAGTCACTCTATTCTACTCCTGCTTTATTAATACATGTATGTACCTGTGAATTTTGAACCTCAATTCAAAGGTCAGTTCTATTATAAGGTCAGTTTTTTCTGGCCCAGGTGACCTTTATATATTGGAATGACTATAGTTATAAAACAAATACTATACAGTATAAGGCTTATAGATCATTAGATACTGATTTGAAGAATCCATGACAGTTCTATAAAGACCCAATAATGAATTTAAATAGTTACGACTAGCAAATGAAAAATATAAGACTTTTAAGACTTAACAGATAGATGCCATGTCTAAATCCAGTGTCCTTGTTCAAGCTTATATAATCAATAAAATACATAATTTCACTTGTTCATTTAAAATTACAGATGCATAATTTAATTTCTGAGAATGTAGAATTTACTTTGATCTAGAATGGACGGATACTATAACTAATAACAATGTAATTGACAGCACTATAGGTACTAAAATTAGCTATCTCATTCTAATGAGTGAAGCCACATACACCCACACAGATAGCACATTGTTTGGGTAAGGATGCATGTACACAGCCAGGGCAAATTCTACATCACTAGACTCCTGGGCATGTACTCCGGTAGAAAATACTTCTTCTGTAATGGAGGATATTTCTGTAAATGGCATGTTTAATGGGAATCCTGACACCTGAAAAAAAAAAAAGATAATAAAAATAATGACAATGCCTTTAAAAATGCTTATTTTTTTATGGTTTTTTAAATTATTTATTTGGTCATTGGTCCATGATTATAAAGCTTTGCAATAATAAACTAATTTTTCAATATTAAAATGCATCCAGTGAAAAATAAATAGGTTTATGAAAATGATAATTGAGGAAGTCAAAAGTAAGCTAGTTGTATTTAACATTTGGCTCATTTTTTACATACCTCATTATGTTCTACAGAAGTAACATCTGCACCAATATCACATACTGTATTTAGGCACTTTGTTTAATCATAATCACATCAATAGCATTTACTTTACCTTTCAGAATATCAAAACAAATGAAAAAATAAATCACATAGGGTTAAAGAGAGGCAGACGATACCAAAGAGACAATAGAAAATCACACGTAGAAGAAAAACCAACAACACCCTGGAAAATAAATGAAACATGCCGAAAAGATTTACAGAACACTACAAACAAAGAAAAACAAAAAACAGAGCAACAGAATGCCCACAAAAAACTAGGTGTTAACTCAGGTATCCCAGACAACTGTATACCAAATATCATTGATCTTCCACTAATGGTTACCCTTATACTGACATAATCACAAACTAATACATTGTTGACACCGCCGGAAACATCAGGCCTAAGCCTAGCTTTTTATGCTTCAATGAGGCCAGACATAAACTGAATAAAAACAATTTAAAAACACTGTGATATCTATTTGTCAGTGTTATCTTTAGTAATCATTCAATTATTAGTGAGAAGATTTCAGTGATATTGTGCATAAATGATAGGTTGGTCCCTAGAACTAGATTATCACTCAGAGATTAAAATATAAGATATAAGAGTAAACAGATGTAACAGTATAAATAGTTACCATGTCTGTGGCAAAAAAAAAATTAATGGAGAATAAGTCCATGGGACACAGATGAGGCCCTCGCTTGCATATAACGTTATAAAGGGGCATAACTCGAGAATGATAAAAGTGATGCCACCCAATTTTGAACTTGATCTGTGTTTTGTTGTAATAAGCATTTTGTATTAAGTTAGAGAACGGAAACCAATTTCTGGACTTTTGTACGGCCGTCTGGATGTATGGACGGACAAGGGTAACACTTAATGCCCCCTATGGTGACGGCGGGGGCATAAATAAAATCCCCAAAAAACACCCTTTTTTTTAGCTATTTGAACTTTGTTCCCAAATTTCATACAATTAAGGTCATACAATAGAATGTCCAAAAGATCTGCTGCAGCTGACTTGTGTTATCACAAGAAATGCTATGAATTGTAAAATTGTCAATGATAAATGTTCAATAACTTCACATCTAAAATAATTGAGAAAAAAATTGTAAGAGCTTTTCTCTTAATGAAAACTATGTAAAGAATTTGTATAGATTTGTTAAAGCAACTTCAGTTATCACAAAGTGTCCTTGCATAACTGTAGGAAAATTTCATAATTAAATGAAATGTTATTGATTTGACATAAGACACATTAAACATGTAAAAATTAAAGATTTTTATTGATTACAGTCCAAAAACTTTGAACTGCAAGGGGATTTGTCCTCATAGAAAATTTTGTAAAGATCACTTAAAGCAAACTTCAACTTGTTATTACCAAAATTTTCAACAAATATTACGTTAATTTTTCTACAGATGACTTATTTCAAGACAAGCTCATAACTATTAATTTTGTTTACAGTTAACGTCATTTAACTCTGGAACAATGCTGAAATTCTTCAAAATCAATAGAATTACATAATAAAATAAAGTCATTCTGTATGAAAATTTCAAAAAGATTTTTAAAACCTCATTTTAATTATCAGAAGACCTTTATGTTTTTTAAAAATTAATGCCCAATCAATCTGGAATGAAAAATTGGTGAATTGTGAAATGGAAAGAAACTTCTTTTTTTGCAACCACAATAAAAAATGTTTAGAGCAAACAACTTGAGTTACAATGAAATGTGCTTGTAATTGTTAAACTTTTAACAATCAGATTCTTATAACTCAAAGAATATATCTTCAAAATCGGACATTAAATAATGCAAGCATTAAACAGCAAATACAGGTCTAATTAACCATTTTACTATGATGATTTAAATAATACAGACTTCCCTATATTCTTATATCATAAATAACATTACAATATTTGAGAAATGAATACAAAATCTTCAATGTGAGAAATATTTTCAATGAAATGCTGACAAGTCTTATTTGACAACAGTCACCAAAATTAGAGTGTAGAACATCATGATTTAAAATTAGCAAGTTCAATACTTTGAGCTAATGCTTTCAGTATTTGTGAGCATTCTTTAATACAGTATTGTCATATTTCGCTATGGGAAGCCTACAAAATCATTGATTAAAACATAAAAACAGTTTTAGAGGAGAATTTTTTTCTTAAATTAAAAAAGAAAGACAGCAGATACCAAGTGATGGCAATAGCTCATACAGGCCAGCTTAAAAGATGGAAAGGAGAAATAAAAAGGTAGGGAAGACAACACGGTTTTCAAGGATATCTTTGAGTCATATAAACATTAGGTTGATCTACCTTATATGAACTAAACTGCTGCTCTAAATCCTGTAGATGTGAGGCACCAGGTGACTTTCCTAAGTTTTCCTCCAAACTGTAAAATAAAATTTTAAAACAAATCACAAATGTACCTTGTAAGCTATTAAAATACTTCAGAAAAAAAAAAGAAAAAAAAAGAGTAAAAAATATGATTTGTTTTGAATTATAAAACGTATACATGTTTGGCTTTTCTCATTATCTGTATAGTGTGATGTAATGAGGGTAATGAAAATATGTAGATCAAACTTATTTCATTGTTTGTGTACAGTTTTAAGAAACGAAGGCAACACAAAAAACCCACTTATTTAGGTAGGATTTTCTGTGTACAATGTGATACTGTGTGAGGAGTTAAGGGCTTTTCTCATTTTCGGTGCACAATGTGATAATGTGTAAGGAGTTAATGCCTTTTCTCATTTTCTGTGTACAATGTAATGTTGTGTGAGTATTTAAGTAGGATTTTTCTCATTTTCTGTGTACAAAGTGATGTTGTGTAAGGAGTTAGGTAGGGCTTTTCTCATTTCCTGTGCAATGTGAAGTTGTGGAGTTAGGTAGGGTTTTTGGGATACGAGTGCCGTCAGGCAATCTGTAGACTTTTACCATTGATTCCCTTCCAAGACTCTCACAACAACCGTTTTGTGTTTACATTAATAGGAACAACTCAGATTCTTAAGATTGTCCTGTTATAAAAAGTAAAAACAAACCAAGAGATTGAATTTAAACAACATTCTGTTAAATTTCTTCTCATAATCCTCCTATTTTGATATCTCCCTTTTTCATTTGCGTTTATTTATCAATACGGAAAATCAGAATTAAGCAGTATTTATATTTAGGGTTTTATATATTTAGAATCACGTCAGAGAGGGAATTCCGTAACCCGAAAAATCCAGTCATCATATTACGATCACTTCGATCGCTCCATTAACGCCGGTAAACTGGATATTAAAAATAAGTTGCATCATGCGATCAATGTATCCTGACGTATGGCGTGAAAATATGAGGAGTTTAAAATTGTTTGTAAACATGTGCAATGGAGCATGAAACGTGTTTTCAATGTACACACGTGTTTGAATAGAAGAATTTAGCGAAGGAATGCAGACGAAATATTCAGAAGATTCACGTTGAAATCGATATAACTAGTAGAAATTTTTAAGTCAATTTACGGTGGTGTTGAACTTCATGATGGTTTTGAACAAGAATGTTTTGTTTGCAGTAAGAAGTGCCATGATGTCATCCAGGGCATCCCGAATAATCCAGTCATTATATTACGATCACTTCGATCACTCCATTAATTTGAATTTTCCAAATTTCATGGAATTTTATTGTACTACCTGGATTTGGTAAATTTGATCAAAAGGGCAAAATTTTGAAGGAAAAACAAATTTTAATGTAATTTTTTTAGTATTTTACTGAGAAATTAAAATGTACTCGGTTATTTGTAATGGGGGAAAGTAATTTAGACATCAATGAACATGATGAATAGCTTTTTTTTAACAAGACATCAATGAATAGCTAGTATTTATATCTCAGTCATCAAAATTTCCTTAAACATGTTTAATATATTAAATGAACAGTGGACATAATCAAGAAATGCATCAGAAGAAAAAGGTTGATTATTTCATACTGACAGAAGAAACAGAAGCATGAGTAGAAAAATCTCATGTACAAAAAATGTATGGAACTTATAATTTGGTACGCTAGAAATGCTACATAAAACTCATCAATGGCACATGAATCAAAACAGTAAGAAACTCGAATCAAATACAAAGTTGAAAGTTGAAGAACATAAAAAACAGGGTTTAGTTTAATCCATTAGATTTTTTTGTTAAATTGAGATACCGTTTTCCAAAAAGCTTTTCATTAATGATAGAATTTACAATCTTGCCCGCGATCATCATTTAAATGTGTGCAATTTTGGAAGACATCTAGGATTTTAACATTTTGGGCTATATGAATCCTAAACCCAAAGAAAGAACCGATTGACTTTTGTGTGCTTGTACAAATGTATATTTTTGACACTTAGTATGTGGGATTGATAACATTTAGAAAGAATCTATACTACTAAAGGAAGAGACTGATTTCATTGAGCCCCAAATCCTCTGAAACCATTCAATGTCGGAAATATTTGTGATATCATGTATAAATCTAGAGTTTTGTTCTTCCTAAATTTGTCTTTGAAACATTTGTTTTTCCACAGAAAATGCCAATTTTTGAGAAAACATCCAAATTTCGGAGACCGTTATTGATCTTTGTCTTATACGCTGTCGTGCATGCTCAATCGACGTACTGCACGTGAAATCTAACTAATATAGGACAATGGTGTTGATTGAAAATAACAACATTCCAGGCCCTATCCCAATAGTACCATGAGTACCTGTTACCTGTTGCGTAATCTGTACTTTCCAACTGTCGGGTGCACCACCAAACGGTGTATATGGGATCAAAATTACACCTGAACTTTGTCATTATACTGACTAATATCAATGAAAACAATGGCAATCATATCCCTCAGAGCAATCATGCTCTTTGATTCTCCTTTTCATGTACAATGTGATGTTATGGAGTTAGGTAGGCCTATTCTCATTGTCATGTACAATGTGATTTTGTGTAAGGATTAATGTAGGGTTTTCTTCTTTTCATGTACAATGTGATGTTCTGTGAGGATGAATGTAGGCTTTTCTCCTTTTCATGTACAATGTGATGTTGAGTGAGGATGAATGTAGGCTTTTCCCCTTTTCATGTACAATGTGATGTTGTGCAAGGATGAATGTAGGCTTTTCCCCTTTTCATGTACAATGTGATGTGTGAGGATAAATGTAGGCTTTTCTCCTTTTCATGTACAATGTGATGTTGTGTGAGGATGAATGTAGGGCTTTTCCCCTTTTCATGTACAATGTAATGTTGTGTGAGGATGAATGTAGGCTTTTCCCCTTTTCATGTACAATGTGATGTTGAGTGAGGATGAATGTAGGCTTTTCTCCTTTTCATGTACAATGTGATGTTGAGTGAGGATGAATGTAGGCTTTTCTCCTTTTCAGGTACAATGTGATGTTGTGCAAGGATGAATGTAGGCTTTTCACCTTTTCATGTACAATGTGATGTTGTGTGAGGATGAATGTTGGCTTTTCTCCTTTTCATGTTCAATGTGATGTTGTGTGAGGATGAATGTAGGCTTTTCACCTTTTCATGTACAATGTAATGTTGTGTGAGGATGAATGTAGGCTTTTCTCCTTTTCATGTACAATGTGATGTGTGAGGATGAATGTAGGCTTTTCACCTTTTCATGTACAATTCACCTTTTCATGTACAATGTGATGTTGTGTGAGAATGAATGTAGGCTTTTCCCCTTTTCATGTACAATGTGATGTTGAGTGAGGATGAATGTAGGTTTTTCACCTTTTCATGTACAATGTGATGTTCTGTGAGGATGAATGTAGGCATTTCACCTTTTCATGTACAATGTGATGTTCTGTGAGGATGAATGTAGGCTTTTCACCTTTTCATGTTCAATATGATGTTGTGTGAGGATGAATGAAGGCTTTTCTCCTTTTCATGTACAATGTGATGTTGAGTGAGGATGAATGTAGGCTTTTCCCCTTTTCATGTACAATGTGATGTTGAGCGAGGATGAATGTAGGCTTTTCTCCTTTTCATGTACAATGTAATGTTGTATGAGGATGAATGTTGGCTTTTCACCTTTTCATGTACAATGTGATGTTGAGTGAGGATGAATGTAGGCTTTTCTCCTTTTCATGTACAATGTGATGTTATGCAAGGATGAATGTAGGCTTTTCTCCTTTTCATGTACAATGTAATGTTGTGTGAGGATGAATGTTGGCTTTTCACCTTTTCATGTACAATGTGATGTTCTGTGAGGATAATGTAGGCTTTTCTCCTTTTCATGTTCAATGTGATGTTGTGTGAGGATGAATGTAGGCTTTTCTCCTTTTCATGTTCAATGTGATGTTGTGTGAGGATGAATGTAGGCTTTTCTCCTTTTCATGTTCAAGGATGAATGTAGGCTTTTCACCTTTTCATGTACAATGTGATGTTGTGTGAGGATGAATGTAGGCTTTTCCCCTTTTCATGTACAATGTGATTTTGTGTGAGGATGTATGTAGGCTTTTCCCCTTTTCATGTACAATGTGATGTTGAGTGAGGATGAATGAAGGCTTTTCACCTTTTCATGTACAATGTGATGTTGTGTGAGGATGAATGTAAGCTCTTCCCCTTTTCATGTACAATGTAATGTTTCTATGAGGATGAATGTAGGCTTTTCACCTTTTTTTATGTACAATGTGATGTTCTGTTAGGATGAATGAAGGCTTTTTCCCTTTTCATGTACAATGCGATGTTGTGTGAGGATGAATGTAGGCTTTTCCCCTTTTCATGTACAATGTGATGTTGAGTGAGGATGAATGAAGGCTTTTCACCTTTTCATGTACAATGTGATGTTGTGTGAGGATGAATGTAGGCTTTTCTCCTTTTCATGTACAATGTGATGTTGTGTGAGGATGAATGTAGGCTTTTCACCTTTTTATGTACAATGTGATGTTCTGTGAGGATAAATGTAGGCTTTTCTCCTTTTCATGTACAATGTGATGTTGTGTGAGGATGAATGTAGACTTTTCTCCTTTTTATGTACAATGTGATGTTGTGTGTAGTGCTTTTCCCATTTTCATTGTATGATGAGTTATTTCTCATTTTTATGTACAATGTAATGTTTTATTAGGAGTTAAATAGTGAATTTCTTATTTTCTTTGATCAAGGTTATGTGTGGAAAGGAATGAGATGTAAGTACCTAGGTGTTTTCTGCTTACCATTATACATTATAATTTGGTGTGCAGAATGAGACTTACATACATAGATCTTTTCTCATTATCATTATTTGGTATAATAAGGTGTACAGAATGAGACTTACATAGGTAGAACTTTTCTCATTATCTGTGTGCAATGTCTGTTCCATCGTGTGATATATCGACTTCTCCATTCCATTATTTTATTCTTTAAATGCTGTTCTAACTTTTCTTGTAATTCTACTACATTTTTCTTTGCAGTAAAGTAATAAAGACTCTCAGGCTAAAAGAAAATAACAAATTATTATACTGCAATTCAACAAAGAATTATATTATTTAATGTAAAACTTCATGTAAAATTTTCAAGCATTGCCAGTAAGTTTGTCCTTATTTAAATTTATTAGATTGAGGTAGGATGGACCAATGCAGGGGTTACTCATTTGAATCTTACAATGGGCTATTTTATAAACTGTAAGGTTTTGAATTAAAATTTCACCTTCAATTGTTCAATTATCTTTAAAAACACTTTAAAAGGCAGTTAAGATATTTACAAAAAATATTGACAAAATGAGTTAATACAGGTATGAAAAAGGAACATTGGTAATACTGTAGTTTGATAAATATAAATTTTAAAACATCTTATATATTCACATAATGTGATAGGAAATTCCCAAATTGGATTTATGATAGGATTATTATATAGGATGATTCAATAGTAGAAAAATGTTATATGGAAAAACAATTATATATTTCCAGAAAATTGTAAGTCTTATATTACAATGGGTATCCTACGCCTATTAACAATATTATTTAGGGCTATTAGGGGAGAAAGTTATATCCTTGAAAGTTTTCTTAACAGCTTTAATGAAATAAAGGATCAAATTTTTAAAAAGAAATTAAAAATTCTAAGGTGAAATTGCTTGATTTTAATATTAACATCAACCTGGTTTTCATTTTTTTAGACAAACAATTTCTTGTAGTTGATATGACATACCTGTATAGAACCCAGGTGCTGGTTTGGAAATCTTCTGCTATAGAATGGTGTCCAGTGTGATGTATTACTAAATTCAAAGTTCATCTGTGCTGGTTTCTCATACTGTTGTACATTAGCAAAAATCTAAAAGAAACAAATTATTGGTAAGCATTACATCACTATTTGTGTATGCAAATGAATATTGAAAATTGTCACAATTATTTGCCTGAAAGTCAAGGGCATTTTGTTAAAAAGATTAGTGTTTCATAAGTACATGAAAAAGTTGTGACTATTTTTCAGTTCAAAATTAAATATCTATTTTTTTTTAAATATTAAATTTTGAGTTTGAATTGTTTGTTTTAAAAGTCTCCACTATATTTCACCTCAAGAGAGGGTCATACAAGTAAGATGTTTGACATAAAATAACATTTGACCCAACTTGGTAAGCACCTGTAACAAGTTTTTTTATGCTAGGTTTTAAGCGATAAATATGGTACTGTTTCTGAACGTGAGTATTGACTTTTAAATGAACTTGAAGTGTAGCACATTTCTTACATTTTCATCGTTTATTATACAGCCTATAGAAATTAGAGGACAATAGTTGTCATGGACTCTGTAATATTCTCCAGTATTGGCATTCCATATCAGAAAACCACTGGTACTATCCTCAGTCAATACATATGCAGTAGGACCTTCTGGGATACCAGTTCCTGTAACAAACAAAAAATGCTTATTTTCCAGTCTTATTTTTTTTTTCACACAATACTAAAACAAAATGTAATAAATAAAAATAAATAATTGACTGAAAAATATTGAATTGTTCATTAGTTCTACCAATAGCAGAAAGATAACATCTTCATCAAACTTGTAAATTTTACCTTAATAATTATATTTTATATTTTGTGCATTTTCACAATTTTGATATGGTATTATTCAAATAAAACCCTGACCTATTATAATCCATGCTTTTAAACCAATACCAAGGAAGAAATTAGTCAATAATACAGCATGTTCTTCTTCATCACCAACATTCATGCGTAGAAATTGCTGAAAAAAAAATTTAAACTTTATCGTATAAAGACAATGAATGATATTTGGTATGCAGTAGTATGAGCATTAGTACATCTTATTTCCATGGAGATTATATGGTCACATCCCCTCAGTCGTAGTTCATTGACTTTAGAACTTTTGCATATTAAATTTTGTGATTATATCAGTTAAAGGGGAACCCCTTATATAAGTTCATGATATTTTGGTATGCAGTTTTATCAGCATTGGCATAACTAATTCACTACATTATTTGGTCTTTCACTGTCACTCATGGTTCACTGACTTTGAATGTTAAGCAAATTTTTATGTTAAAGTTTTGTCATATTTATGTAGGACTGAAAATGATAAAATTTAATACAGAATGAAAATTCTACATGTTGTAAACAATGTCCATGTAACAACTTACATCACAGGTACTCCAGATATCACACAGTCCAGGAAAAACAACAGCATCTGATACATGAGGAATTAATGATACATATCTGGCAAGTAATTTCTGAAAATACAGCAAAACAATGTGAATTATTAGGTTTTAAAATGTATCCTGGTTTATAGACATACATGAAAAATAAATGTTACACAGTGTTTTATAAATATATTGAAAAGCACTTGTGGTCAACAATCATACATACAAGCCAGAAAAGTTTTCAATAATATAAAATTTCAAATATGTTCCTCAAAATGTGTCTAATAATCACAAGAATTAAAATTATAGAATTCCATATTGCTCTTGTGCAAAGTGGTAAATCAGATAATAAAAAATTGCAAAACTAACTTTGATTTTATCAAATATTAACACTAAAGAGTGATAGCAATGAAAATCTTCAAATCTGTGTTTGTTTCACACTATAAATAATTGAAATTTGAAAAAATCAGCCAACACAATCTAAAAGTTAAGACTCCTACCAGCTCTTTCAAAAAATTTCTTTCAGATAAATGAAGATAAAAGGTACCAAAATCATATTTAACTACTAAGTATACTGAAATTTCACAGCCTATGATGATAGCAAACTAAAGATATAAGAGAAGAAACCCAAAACTTGGAATTCTGCAAAATTTGAAGGGACATAACTCAAAAGAGAGAAACTAAAAACAACTTGGTCTGTTTTCATCTGTAAACAACCTTGTGCATAATTTTGAAATTTTGAAAAGGTATACTGAACTTGAACAAAACTTGCAAGGAAATATGACAGTAAAACTTAATGCTTCTTCTGTTTTTAATGAAACAGGCCTAGGGTAATACAAAATCAAAAGGCCTTTCAAAAAATTATTAATTTTACATGGGGTTCAAAGAATACATCAAACTTTATTCAAATGGTGATGATTGTTTCTGAAGACTGGCCAGGAAATACATTTATGAAAAGAATCCATTAAAATTTTATACATAGTGGCCAAAAATGTAAAGTGCCTTCTGACCCCTCATACTTTTTATACTTTTAAAAACAGCTCCCAATGAATAAAATTGTATTGTCCAACTTTCTAACTTACAGCTGTCTCTACAGTACTTCCTCGAGATAATTCCTCTGGAGGTTTCAGGGACTTGAAATATCTGGTAACAAACACACTTTTGCCATTTACATCTACCACTGTTGATTTAAATTCACGTTTAGGGAATCTACCATTTAATTCATTCTGCCAGGTTTCAGCATATTGTAATAGTTTTTCACTTTCATTCGTTACAAACTGTAAAAGAATTAAATACCTGTATACTGCAATTCATTTTTTTTTTGCCTATTTATGCAGTCTATAAGAACTCATGGCAAACAATTTATGCATTGATTTCCTATTTCTATATATTTCTTCAATCCTACTTCTACTTGCCCTTGATAACATTCAATTGACTGATATCACAAAATTATACAATATGAAACGACTTCATGCAAGTTAAGATGATTCTTGTATCTGTGATTTTTTTTTATATACAATAAACTTCAAGCAAGAACCCAATTAAAAGAATAAAATTTAATATATAAAAGCTTCTTTGCAATTTTTTTAATTTCCAAAATAAATAGCTCTGTATGATCCTTAATAGTAAGAACTTCTTAATCTTTCCAAAAATCTGGTAACCAAACTAAACAGCTTACTTCCTCAGTGTGACCAAAATGATCTTGAAGGTGCATAACAGAATTATTTTCATCCAAATATAGAATGGGTATTGACAGGTGTATAAGAAAAACCTACCTTTTCTCTCATAGGTTCTGGTGGTGATACAGGTGGTTCCATGGTTATAAATAAACTCATGTAAGTTTTACCATCCTTCGATGTGCTGATATCCCCCTCCTCTGCTTCCTCACCACTGTAGCCTAATAAAATTGGAGGGGCTTTTATTTGGAAAGTACCCTCAATCTGAAAAGAAAAAATATTTAACCAAGTAAAATAAAAGGGTTACTTTCAATCTGAAAATATGTAACATAACAAAATGAAATTTGTTTCAAATTGGGATGTTCCTTTGATCTGTAGAATGTTTTCCCTTTCAGCTAACAAAAATTAAAACAGAACTTTTTTTTATTTATTGAAATATACAATACATTTAATAAAGATAACATACTTTTTTCTGTTTCTTTTCTCAACTGAAGGTGAACAAAACAGCTATATATGAGTATATAAAGCTAAAGAAGAAGAAAATTTTGGGCATACCATCTGCATCATGTAACAAAGATCAAAGGTTGTTTCACCAATATTTGGTAGTTTAAGAAAATTTGTTGACAACACTATGTTACCAGTCTGATAAACAAAATAAACTTTTGACTTGCTGGTTACATGTATAATCTATGCAAAATGCCTAAAAGTGTAATAAACCTTATACCTTTGCTTGATTACTTACTTTTCCATTGTAATATATAGTAGAGAATGGGACACACATTCGACCTAACCATTTCCTTTCTATTCTTTGGTGTACTGTTTGTGATTGCCTATCATCCTGAAAAGTCAAGTAATATTTTAATATTATTTCTACCCCTTAGCTTTAAAATTAAGCTGTTTTGTTATATCCATTTAAAAACATAAATAATAAATTAAGATTTATTCATATCTAAACTCATGTCTATATTTTGTTATTTATATATTTCTTACTTTAAATACATTTTTACTGTAAATTATAAATCGGCATACTGTAAATTGTTGATAATTTCAAACATACTAGATGTGCTTTAAAAATTAGAAATGCATGAGTATGAGAATGCCTAAATACAAATGAAACACACTTTAAGGTATACAAAGATTTTTTTTATCACTTAGGCCTTATAACTATGTTAGTGGTTAGCAATTGTAACAAATAAAAATATGTAAGGTCATGGTGAAAGGTTTTTGGGGTATTTATTTTTTTACAAAATGATTTAAATTTTCATTAAAATCCAAATGATTTATGGAATCTGATGCTGTCTTCAATTTTACCATTGGTATGCCTTATGCATTGTATTTTTCAACATTTTATGAAACAAGAGTGCACACGCTGAAATGTCTCGCCTTCTTTACTAATCATTGATATTATGTTGATAGTCCTAAATATAAAGCTTTATTACAACTGTCACATAAACTTAACATTAACCAAGTAAACTAAACATTGACCAATGAACCATGAAAATGAGGTCAAGGTCAGATGAACCATGCTAGGCAGGCATGTACAGCTAACAATTCTTCCATACAACAAATATAGTTGACCTATTGCTTATAGTTTAAGAAAAACAGACGAAAACACAAAAACTTAACACTGAGCAATGAACCTTGAAAATGAGGTCAAGGTCAAATAAAACCTGCGTGACTGACATATAGATCATAAAATATTTCCATACACCAAATATAGTTGAACTATTGCATATAGTATTAGAAAAAAAGACCAAAACTCAAAAACTTAACTTTGACCACTGAACCATAAAAATGAGGTCAAGGTAAGATGTAACCTGCCAGCTAGACATGTACACCTTACAATCATTCCATACACCAAATATAGCTGACCTATTGCATGCAGTATTAGAAAAAAAGACCAAAACTCAAAAACTTAACTTTGACCACTGAACCATGAAAATGAGGTCAAGGTCAGATGACACCTGCCAGCTAGACATGTACACCTTACAATCATTCCATACACCAAATATAGTAGACCTATTGCATACAGTATAAGAAAAACAGACCAAAACAAAAAAACTTAACTATAACCACTGAACCATGAAAATGAGGTCAAGGTCAGATGACACCTGCCAGTTGGACATGTACACCTTACAGTCCTTCCATACACCGAATATACTAGACCTATTGCTTATAGTATCTGAGATATGGACTTGACCACGAAAACTTAACCTTGTTCACTGATCCATGAAATGAGGTCGAGGTCAAGTGAAAACAGTCTGACGGGCATGAGGACCTTGCAAGGTACGCACATACCAAATATAGTTATCCTATTACTTATAATAAGAGAGAATTTAACATTACAAAAAATCTGAACTTTTTTTTCAAGTAGTCACTGAACCATGAAAATGAGGTCAAGGACATTGGACATGTGACTGACGGAAACTTCGTAACATGAGGCATCCATATACAAAGTATGAAGCATCCAGGTCTTCCATCTTCTAAAATATAAAGCTTTTAAGAAGTTAGCTAACGCCGCCGCCGCCGCCGCCGTAGCCGCCGCCGCCGGATCGCTATCCCTATGTCGAGCTTTCTGCAACAAAAGTCGCAGGCTCGACAAAAAACTGCTGGCCCATGGTAAAATCTCTAAAAAAAAAAAATGCATAGCTGTGTATTTCTTACTGATCCACTAGAATCAATCAGTTGATGGAATAGTTAGATTTGTGACAATTGAGGGTATGCATTTTAAATGAAAAAAAAGAAAAGGACACTGTGCTGGAGGGTTCATAGGTCAAAGTGATAAGGAATATAATGGTGTTACTTCAAATTATAATTAATAGGACAAATGGTGTACATGTGTTAAAATTCATTAAACAATACTCACTTTCATTGGCTACAGAAAAAGAAGTCTTGAAGAGTAAAGATAATGCACACAATACTAACAAGAATAAACAAGTATTACAACAGAATTCATGCGAATCATTATATTATTAATAAAATGCTCTTAAAGCAAATTATTCATATGAGAAAGCTTAAGCAAAAAAAAACAAAGTAGAAAACTAACTATACTAGTCAATAAAGATATTGTAGACAATAATTACCTTATCTATATCAACGAGCACTTCATCAAATAAATTTAGATAAACATTATCATCTACTGTCTGTAAACTGGACGGACTGTAATCTCCATTTGGAGCTCTGAAATATTATATCATACAGATACTGTAAACAACTTATTTTGGTGGCCAGGGTACCTTTTTTGTTGTTCAGTCGTTTCTTATAGACTTTGTGGCAATACATTTTCTAATGTTTTTTAATGTATTCATATAACATGTATAAGAGAAGATACAATTTTAGTAACAAATGGTTTTCACAATATATTTTTCTTCTTGTGAAAGACACAAAAACTAGTTTGTTAACAATAATAAGATTTGTTAAATGGAAATGTACATACTGCCGGAATTTGTTTTAAAATAGACATACATATATAAAGTGGCTTGCTTACATTTGACAAGATTTTATAGAGACATTTTAATATAAGTAATAGTAGCCACCTTTTATAGTGGGTAGGGTTAATAATTTCATGTACTGTAAATTCAAATCATTGATTTCTGGTAAAACCGTGAGATCTAATTAATGCAATTGCAAACATTCTGTGAAGGAAAAATCACTACTGAAATTATGAATGCAAGTTTTTATTATTGCGAACCCGATACCTTCACATGTTTTGCATTAATAAAAAAATCGCAATAATATCTGAATTTACTGCATATCAGACCCTAAAGATAATGTAATCAATCAAAAGATCACCTTGTCTTACAACCTGTGAGCTTACCTGAATGGTAATGTTAATTCTTCATTATAGCTAGGATTAGGACCATCCCCAGTGCTTGTTCTCACTGTATTGTGTTGAAACATCACTTCTACAAATGGCTGTACCCGTGTCTACAAAATCATTTAAATACTCAATAAATACACAGCAAGCTACTAAAAAATGTTATAAATTGATTATATATTTTAAACAATTTGTAACAAACTTCTTAAACATTTTCAATATAAAAAAAATTGTATATTTATATTTCTTAAATGTTCACAAACAGCAAATTAAATATAAACATCATTGATTCAGGAGGGTTTAGTGCTCACAAACATATTTAACTAGCCACATTCTGTATGTGCCTGTCCCTAGTCAGGAGCCTTCAAGTCAGTGGTTCTAGTTGGTTGCCGTCTGCCATATTCGTTTTTAGCATAAATCAGGCTTTTGGTTTTCTATTTTGAATTATTTCACATTATGCCATGCCAGGTCTTTTATAGATTACTATACCTTAAGGGTTTTGCTGAATGTTGAAGGCTGTATGGTGACCTATAGTTGTTTAAATCAATGTCATTTGGACTCTGGTGGATAGTTGTCTCATTGGCAGTCATACCACATCTCTTTTTTTTTTTACCAAAATCTTTATTTTTATATCTTTTGTTCATTAACTTAAAATCAAATTTGGTATTCCAAAAAACAAAACAAAATTAAATGACTAATTACCTCCCCTATAATAGTTTTATGTGTTTTGATTTCTTCTCTTGATGTCATACCACCATGTCTGAAACATAAAAATTGTTGTATTAGTCCTAAACAGAACATGTTTTAACTAGCATAATTTAAACCCAAAATTGTTATTGCACAACCTGATATAAGAATGTATCCCCTTTAAGAAAAAGCTTAAAACTTAACTTTTTTGCCTTGCTTTAGAGAAAAAAAAATATTTCAGCTTGAAAGTTACTTGTTCCTAGATACAAAATTTCAAAGAAATTAAAAAATAACACTGGTATTCTTTTGTTGTATAATATTGCTCAATAAAATGTAACAGCCATGATTTCTAAGTTTTGACATCATACAAACTTAAATTCGCATTTCCCCATTCATTGAAGTTTTTTATTTATCTGTTTGTTCTTTTTCTATGAATCCAACAAATTTATTGGTACACTTTGTTTACAGCACACTAGTTTGTGAGTAGAACCGGTAAGTAAAATTTCAAATATAAAAACTCAGGAGTTATCAGTCCAAGAGCGCAAAATCTTATAGCATATATACTAAAATAAGATTTTGGACTGAAATGCCCATTTAGATCTGCACCAATATAAAATGCCTGATCAAGAAATTGTTAAGTCGTATTCAAACTTTCCGTCATTTTCAGACATTTCTCTTCAGTAAACTCTGTACTGTATAGTTACTTTGATTGCAAGTTATAAAAAATGTTCAATTTACAAGATGTTTTGTTGTTGTTATCGAACTGTGCTAAACAATAAATATCAGGGAAATGATTAAACAATGGATTGACCTCATGCAAAGTGTCTTAACTCCACTGAATTTATATTGAAAATAGTTTGAAATTTGAACATGAGTTTATGATATTATGTTACAATAAGACATTTCAGCTTACATTTGGATCATCATTGTTATTTCAGTCTAAATATCATTTACTACTGTAAATTCAGAAATTATCACGATGTTTTTATTATTGCATAAAAGGCGACAGGGTTATAATCGCAATAATTTTAACTCGCATTTTGAAATTTTTTATATGAATTAAACAGGATTTTTCTCAATATCACAAAAATTAAAATCGCATTTTAGTCTAAAATGACAAAATCGCAATAATAAATGCACGCAATAATTTCTGAATTTACAGTAGTTATTTTCTGTTTAACATGATCAAACAGACACATGTCAACATTTCTATTTACTGTAATTGAAAATTAATGAAGAACTAAAGGTATTTAAATGAAACAATGTTACAGGAAGGTCTACCATGAAGTTTCCTGTAAAATATTTAGTTATAAGGCCACCCTTAATAAATTCCTTGTTTGATGTTGCCTACTCATGCCTTGCAGGGTTGGGTAGGTAGGTAAGGATGTTTTTTTTTGACCAACAACATGTTTTAGACAAGAAAGATGCAAGAGCAGGAAAAAATCTTTCGTTAAAAAACATGATTTGTGTCATAAATTTTTCAGGAGGCTGCTTTTTTAGGTGGGTAGGTAGGCAATATCAAACAATCTTAATTCTATTTTTGGCCATGGAATAAGATTTGCTGCTAGTCAACAGTAAAGTTTATTATCAACAACATGTGATTGTGCCACAGTCAAAGTTGTGCTACATAAAATGTGAATTATGTTTTAAAAGTCATAAAACTTTTTTTAACTTTGATTCAATACATATTTTCAGACATACAGTTGAAACTTGAGTAATGTACTTTAATGCATACATGTTTCTTCTGTATGAACCTAATTGTTTAAAGATATGTACAGTTGAAATCTGGAACTCATATCACTCAAGAAAATGACATCTACATGAAATGTATAGATGATAGTTGAAGTGTAAACAAAACTGTTTTGTTGTATTAGTTGCTATGCCAACCACCAACTCAACAAAAGGAGTTATAGTGAATCACTAAATGATTAGTATTTAAAAAATATTAAAGTATTCCAACATTAACTATTATTCCATTTCAGACAAGCGATAGATTGAAGACATTTATCAAATTTTCTTAAAAACTGCATTTTAGAAGTAAAAAAACAGACACAAATATGGCTTCATTTTAGACAGTTTTCCAGGCAAATTAAGTTTTATATTTAACATTAATCCTGAGACCAATAGATAATCCCAGCATAATCCAATTTATTCATTACAGTGAATTTGATAAATTGCAGGTAACTTTACATAGCAGACAGCAGCATAAGATATCAACTGTACAATGTATGAGATAATTTGATAGAAGAAAGAAGATCTAATAAAGAGTACTTACTTCTCATCCCTGGGTAATATATTAGGTAATACATACACATTAGTCTTTTTCATACTTATTAATGGTAACTTTTTGTCACTGTAGGAAATGTAATTATGCATTTTTCTTACAGATTAAACTATCTTGCATATATTAAACTATCAACTACTTTCTAAAACAATCAGCATATTTAAGCATAGTCAAAGGTAAGCAGTATTGTGTTCATAACATAACCTCAAAAAACATTTATGTGTAAATTGAAGTTCCTGCAACATATAATCTGGTCAGTTAAGAAAGCTGTTACTAAACATTCTTTTGTTAGTGATATTTGCATGAGTAGAAATTCTAGGTTAACTTTAGACTCAGGGCTTAATGACAGAGTTTTATTTTATCCTTAGTTGCTTAAAAAAGGTCATAACTCCAGAAAAATCAATTAAATTCTATAACATAAAAAGCTAATAAAAAAGAGTTGTTAAAAATATCAATACACAAAATGATCTTACCCTGAAGAAGTTGCTCGAGTTGGAACATACAAAGCTCTGGTTATGCTAACCAATATTTTAAGATCATTGTCTTTTATTGCTTGAGCTGTTACTTTTTTTCTTTCTTTTCGTTCTGGTCTTAATGGACGTCTTCTTTCAGTAACCTTCACTAAATTAGCACCTATCATTCTGTAACGAAATGATATGTGTTTTGATGATTTCTTGGTTGTATGAAAGACTTCACATGTGTTTCATTGATAAATTAATGCAGATTGACATAAAAATTGACATCATTGTCTATCAATTTTCGAATATTATGTACTGTCCATGATCTATAATAATATTGGGTAGTAAGTCAAAGAAAATGTGTACAAATTGCTGATAAAACTACATAAAAAACAGAATTTATGTACCATTCATGCTCACTTCAAACTGACCTAGTGTAAACTTATACAAATATTGATGCTGCCAATGTAGGGAAAAGCATGTCTTGATTCAAAGACTTCATTTCAAGTGAGGCAAAAATAGCAAGGGAACACTGAATGTGGAAATGATTGTATTTCAAAGAAAGAAATATAAGTTACACATCTTTTAAATGTTATAATCTAATATAAAAAATTGCAATACTGTAAACTTGCTAATTTGCAGTTTTCATTTCTTTTACAGCACTGGGTAGATACCTCTGCTGGTGGACTATCAGTCCCCGAGGGTATCATCAGCCCAGTAGTCAGTACTTCTGTACTGACATGATTTATAACAAACCTTTCTAAAATTGTCCGTTTATAAATTTTAAAATTATGAATAAACTAAGGTTTCAACTCCCTCAGGCAAAGTTGACCTTAAATGGATTTGGCTATTGTTTTTAGGTACTTTTTGGTCATATAGCTCTTCAACTGTTTCGGTCCTTATACATCCTCGGCTTTCAAATATTTGTCTTTGAGCGTTCCTGATGAAGGTAAATCCAGAAAAGAGTTTCGGACGCAAGAAATTAATAACATGTTGTTTTTATTTCTTTTGCTACTATTTACCATAAATACTTACGCTATGTTAGGAACCTCTTCTTCTAACACAACATCACCCAGATGTTTCTTATGGGATAACTGTCTAAATTTCCTCATAACTTGCTCTCTTGTCTAGAAGAAAATCAAAATTTATTTAAGTATAAGCTATTCATAGGAGCGATTAGTCTATTTACTTGCAAATCATAAATTCTCTTTTTACAGATCAAAAACCCCACTTTTTCAGGCACAACATAGGTAAATGTAGTGTAAGTTTTAATACCTGAATCAAGTTGTAATACTTAAGATATGCTGTATTACAAATAGTAAGGGGGTGAAATTCTATGTACATGTAAACAAATTTGGGTGATGCATTTTAAGGTAAACATCGTAAAGTAGTGATTAAGTCTAGTGGATAAGGGTAAAAAATTAGCATACAGTATCTGAAGCTGTCAAACTGAATTATAGACCCCCTTAACTTTAAATTGTCAATATTTTTGGATATAAATTGTTTATACATGCATCAATTCTAAAATTAAATGTTACTATTAAACCATGAGAAATGTTTATTTTGATGCAAGTCTTTTTATAGACTTTATTGAAAACCCTTGTATCAGAACTCAGGTAAATTTTATCATGTTAACATGATTAGGTTTGATGGGATTCTTTGATGAATGTGAAGTTGAATAATTTTGTTATTTAGGAATTATTAAATTTAAATACCGTAAGCCATATGTAAACCCTTTCAAAAGATTCTTTCTCCGTTTAGAGAACAAGACATTGTTGTCATAAAATTAAGATATACATCTACAATGATCTGTTGTTTACAATGGTAACTTAGACGGATGTTTACAATTTCTTACATTTATAAAATCTAAAATGAAATAAGGAACAGACAAGAAAATAATTTGTGTTTGTAAAGGATATTTCTAAAGTCTATTTTCACTGGAGAAAACCATTAGAAGAAATTAAATACAGCTCCTACTACTATTCTTGGAACTACATGGTTGAACAATGATATTTCAATTGTAAACCTAAATAGAAAGAAGTCTATTTCAATACTTTTCAAAATTTCTGTGGTGATTGATTGTACACATATATCATCAGGTAATGCTTTCCATGGGTGGGTGTTGTATTCCATGTTTTCAACAATGGCTATAGGGGTAATCAACTATCTTAAGAACAGAACAAATAGCTGTCTGACAAGTTCTGTATTAAAACTACTTGTTCATAAATAAACCTTTTAAGAATAGACATGGGGCAAAGAAGTTGTCTTCCAATGTGTTATGTCTCATTTCCTGACTATCAAAGGTGATAACAAGGTCACCCTGGATTTTCAAGCTCTCTGAATGGTCAATATCCAGGCCCGTAGCTAGGATGTCTCTGACTTAAATAGTCAAACTTCAATTTGAATCTTGACTATAATAGAAATTTTTGTTTAAGGGGGTGTCTGTTTCCTTGTGTCTTTTATTACACTATTCAAATCCTACAGTGAAATTGACTTTTATACAGGTTTTATAACTCTACATATTATCATTAGTTGATGGATTCATGTTTGCTTAACAGCTAGAGACTTTTGGTTCTAGCATTTTAGTAAAGAAGTCATCAATTTGTAGGATTTGAATGCAAGAAGACTAGCATATAAAATGGATAATTTTGACAGTCAATTTTATAAATCTTACAACAGATTACTACATACTCCAAACACATGCCTTAGATTGAACATCCCAGATAACAACTGATGTATACTTTCAATGATGACACCATGATAGATATTTTTCTTACATTGCTGAGCTTCCAAGTCCTACATCAAATTTTCCACACAATTCAATGAAATCCACTTATCTGAAAAGCTAGCATTAAAATAGCAAAAAATGTTAATACATTTTGCTATTCTTCATAAAAGTAAAAGTTACCTTTTGTAAGAATCTTGATATAGCAGCTCTTTGTTCCTCAATATCTTCAGTTTGCTTAATTTTTTCTTCCTCCCTTTTCTTTTTTTCATACTCCTGTAATTATTCATAAATTCAAATTTTAAATTGCATTTTTTAAATCATTTATTATCATGGGCAAATCAATGGTTTTGTTCCAGAATGGGTTTTATTTTTCAATTCATACACGATAAAGAAAAGCTAATATAGAATTATGAAAATAACATAAAGTTAAATTGAATTGCATTTTCGAAAGTATTTTTTAAAATGTATTAGAAAATGACAGCACTGGGTAGATATTTATTTGGGAAATGTAATGAAGCATTTTTATAAAGAATCCTAATATAAATATGTTATCAGTATCAGTTCCTTCTATAGAAGTTTACCTTCTTGTACTCAGAGAGTCCCCCAAAAATGCCAAAAATGGACAGGAGTTCATACAAGCTGTGAGTAAATTTTAAAACAGAAATCACAAAAGATCCACAACTCACACCAAATTTCCTAACAATACAAAAAAAACACCAAGACATACAAAAAGACAACCATTGCAGAGGTTCCCAACCTTGGACTGGTAGTTTACAATATACAATTCGAAAATGTGTCCATAGACACCATGCTCCCTCAGACTAATACATTTCCATGTTCAGTGAACTGTGAAATCTGGTTCAAATCCCTAATTTGGTATACATTTTAAAAAGTTCACATCATAAAGAATGAATGTACTAAGTTTCAAATTGTTGTTACCACAACTTCATAGTAATTTACTTTAAACCAAACTTTTAACCAGATAAATTTACATGTTCAATGAACTGCAAAATTTGTGTAAAAACCCTAATTGGCACATACTTTTAAAAGTTCACATCATTATGAACATGTGTACTAAGTTTCAATTTGATGTGACCACCACTTCATGGTAAACATCCGTAAAACATAACTTTAACCTGATATGTGATGGACAAATAGACAGAAGCACAAACTGGAAAATAATATGCCTCCTTCTATCATATATGGGACATAAAAAAGAAAACTTACTGTAAATGTATCTCTAGGGATTTCTTTCTCAACAACTGGAACCAGTTTATAGTTTTTGAACTCTGCCACTTCACCATCTCTCAACTCTAGTAATTGAAATCTTTTATTATTAGCAATGTCTGTATCATCACAAAAATTAAATTCTTCCTGAAGCTGTTCTAGTCTGAAGTAATCTGGTGGGTTTAGTTGTATTTCTCCACCTTTAGGCTGAAACACATTACAATTTTTTTAAGCATTTGACTTATTTATATAATTCAGCTGAAAGGTAAATCACTAACTAGCTGTTTGTCAAAAAATTATGCATGTTGTCTAACATAAATTGTCTTTATCTCTTCCATCTAAAATTTCATCAGACAGAGACAGAGTCCTTTACTATAATCCCCAGGCATACAATACAGAAGAAAGGGCAGATAATAATAAATCTAACTTAAACATGTATTTTTCACAGCATTGCTAATGATAAGCATCCAAAATTTGTGGAAAAATCACTTATGTCATCAAATCAGTTATGTGAATTTGAAAGTATTTGCAAAGGAAAACAAACATGTTGTGTATTTAAGAACCTGAAATCTACTGTAGGGCCATTGAGGAACATGTAGACTGTTTAATTTTGTATCATCTATAAATTTGAATATGACAGCAATTTGTATAGCATTATTGATGGACAGTGGGAATAGCTACAGGACAATGTTGCATTAAGAATACAATGCAACATTGTAATTTAGACCCAAAAAAGGGAAATGGGATCTCTAACATTTAAAAAATTATCTTTTCCATTTCTAGCTAAAAAAAATAAGGAGAAACCGAAATTTAGTTTTTTTTTTATTGCAATCAACTATTTACTGCTTTAAGAATGTTATATCCAAATTGCAAGAAACATTAATGGTAGAATTTTTTTCTGTATGCATTTGAATTGTTTGTTATCAATTAATGTATGACTTTACAAATATTTTGTCGCATTCAGCATTTATTTTAGGGACTTCCTTAAAGGCCTATAAATAAGGGAATATCTTGCAAAGAAACAGGTAAAAATATATCTTTCCCTTTGAAAGTTTTTCTTTCCAGAAAAGTATTGGAAATTTGTGTTTTTAATTGAAACATACATATATCAATATTGCAAAGGAAAAATCAACAAGAGATCTTTTGTGTATACTATGCCCTTAAGACCTAATGACATGGGCAAGAAGGTACAACCTTCCTTTATATAGGCTAGATCAGCATTACCTGGATCAGTAGGATCCAGTCTACACTCCTAAAACAACCTACCTTTAACATAAAGGTTAGATCAGTAATAGATGTTTCATTAGGATCCAGTTTACACTCCTCATATAACCCAATTTTAACATATAAACCAAGATCAGCAATAGCTGTGTAATCAGGATCCAGTCTACACCCCTCTTTTACCTACCTTTATATAACATATAGGCTAGATCAACATTAGCTGGATCATTAGGATTCTGTCTACACTCCTCAAATAACCTACCTTTAATGTATAGGCTAAATCAGCATTAGTTGAATCATTAGGATCCAGGTTACACTTCTCAAACAACCTAGTCTTAACATATAAACAAGATCTGCATTAGCTGGATCTTTAGGATCCAGTCTTCACTCCTCCAATAACCTACCTTTAATGTAGGGGGTCTCATTGTGGGGGTCTGATCCCTGATCCCGCTTATTGTTCTGTCAGAATCCTGTATCCCATTTATCATTGTAATAATAGCGCTTGTAATTTCACGTGTCCCGCCCAAATTGACTTGACTGTCTTGTGTCACGCATACAAAAAAATCAGCCAATCCAGGATCACACTTACACCCCAATGAGACCCATAATGTATAGGCTAGATCAGCATTAGCTGGGTCATTATGATACAGCCTACACTCCTCAAATAACCTACCTTTAACATATAGACAAGATCAGCATTAGCTGGGTCATTAGGATCCAGTCTCGACTCCTCAAACCACTTTGATAATTTTTGAAAATCTACAACTCCTGTAGCTCCTATAGCTGCCATGGGATCCATCTTTTTCATGGCACTGCAAATGTAATTACCTCAAATGTAAAATGTGCAATTAACATGAGATGTGAAATAAACCAAACCCAGACATTTGTTAAATTTATTCCCAATTTCCTATCTTTGGGGCAATCTAAAGATGTACATTTTGTATAGACATTTGTCTGTTGTTGATCTTTAAATGTTTCATTTTCTTTTTTGTGTTGTTGGGTTCTTGTCTCATTGATGTATACACTACATCTACTTTAATTCATGTATAGAGGTCAATATTTGGTCTTCAAAGATTTGAAGTTATGTATGAATTCAAGAGTTTAACAGAGACTTAAGCTGACATCGCCGCCAACAATTTCTTATATGGACAAAACCTTTGCAAAACAATGACTTTCCTATCTTTGGATAGAAAAATTACTCTACAACAGAAATATATTACAGAACAAAAACTGCAGTCAAGGCGTATAGTTTTTACTTTCATTTGTTTGATAAGTCAATGCATTCCATTTACATACCTCTAAACCATCATACTTATGAGACAAATGCAATTATTGGCCAGCATTGTACATTAAAAGAGAGTGTGTGTGTTTGTTTTAACAACTTGTATTTTATTTTCTAAATTATCAAAGGCAATGGAGAAACTCTTCTGCAACGTCAAATCACATTTTGTTGTTTTATACAGCAGTTTTAAGATAGTGATTTAACTTTTGGACACCAGGCAAAGGCCACTTAATTGTAAGTTATTGGAGATTTGAGAAACCCCCCATTTATTTTAATAACAACATTTAAATTTCCTTGTAAAGAAGGTGGCAATTTGAGTACTTCAATAAAAAAACATACACATAAATTTTGCCAAATGCAATTAAGTTATAGAATAGATTTTGGAAAAAAACCCAATCTAAAGAAATGTGTGACTATGTTGACTATGTTGTCTTACTCTACTACATTGAGAGCAGTGCCTGTTACAGGAGGTACCAATGGAATGCCATTCTCGTCTACAGCCCATGCCACACTAGTACTGATCTCTCCTGTTGTCATCAGTGTCATCATATCTCCAGTCTTGTTAAAAGTGAAAGGTAAACCTGTCAATAAAAAAATTTTATTAATTGGATTTTCATGAAAATTCTTTGGTCAGAGTTATTTTCCCTTGTGTAGATATTTTTAAATAGTTTATAAAAGAAACTTTAACATTTCAAGAAATAAATTCAAGAGTAAAAATATACGGAAATCTATTTGGTGGTTGCACTGAAAGGACCATACTATGATGGACATGGTGATTCCTACATATGCCTCAAAAACTTTGTGGTGTTAACTTTCTTTCAATTATTAAAAAATACTTTCAATTCTAAACAATTCAAACTCCTCTATATGAGTGAAGAACCCTGAACCCACTACTTACAACTCCTCAACCCCTTAATTTGATTGATGTAACCTGTGGTCATTTTTACCACTCCTTTCAACCCCTTTATGAGAATGATCAACCCTGTTGTCATTACTTACCATTTCCTGCCCCCTACATGTGAGTAATAAATCCTGTTGTCACTACTTAGAACTTTCCACTCCCTCATGTGAATGAGGCACCCTTTGGTCTCTACTCAGCTATTCCTACCCCCTCATGTGAGTGAGGTACCCCATGGTCACTACTGACCACTTCTGACCCTTTCAAATGAATAAGGTAACTAGTAGTCACTGTTTACAATTTCCCTTCCTCCCACATGTGAGTGATAACCCCTGTGGTACCCAATGGTCACTACTTACCACTTCCTACCCCTTCGTGTGAGTGATGTACCCTGTGGTACCCCATGGTCACTACTTACCACCACTGACCCCTTTGTGTGAGTGATGTACCCTGTGGTACCCCATGGTCACTACTTACCACCACCGACCCCTTCGTGTGAGTGATGTACCCTGTGGTCAGTACTTACCACTTCCGACCCCTTCATGTGAGTGATGTACCCTGTGGTCACTACTGAACTCCATGTTTTCCAACTGAACACTCTGTGAGGTAACTGATACCTCAGGGATACCAACACACAACTCTGCTAACATCTCACTTCCAAAACCAAGGGTCTCATGGATCTGTTTTAATGAAAATAAATGATTTAAATATAAACTTATACACACGTTTAGCACTTTTCTTTTTAATTTGATAAAATGATATTAAAAAAAATATCAAGTGTTGAAACCAAAACTGCTCAGATATTTAAGATAAACTCACCAGAAGCAAACCATCTTTCCTAGGCAATACTAACTTCAATGAATTACAAATGTCATTAGTTCATGATAAGGTTCAAATTGATCTGACCAGTTGCAAGAAATGGTTCACACTGACATTATTTTCATAACAATTACAACATGTATTGCTTCTCTGCATGTCATGCACATAATTCCTTATTAAGTATTTATAACTTACCTGAAATTTGATACTTTCAGGCCACTGAACAATCTTTAAGTTATATATCTGTCCAAAGTTTACTTTGAAATCCTGAGATAATATTCTGAAATTAAAAAACAAACTTTTAAAACTGCAAAATGTGTAAATAAAACAAAAATTGATTAACTGACTTATTGATTACGGCTTGTAAAAAAGAATACAACATTAGTGGGAAAAAAGAAATAAACGAATTTGTATTAATATATCAAAATCAACGTTTCCTATATTGGTACCTGATGTGTAAAAAAATAGTAAGATGTTAACTCTACTTCAATATCAGTTTATTCCTTATTAATTTTAAACCTTTCCCCACAATACCTGTTCATTTGGGTATTTCAATATTTGCAAATTGAATTTTCCCATTGAATATATACAATAGATATTGTTCTCCATGAAGCTTATTCCATTGAAACTTTAAATTTCCTTGGATAATCTATCATTCATTGATTAGTTTTGCTGTACAAAAAAGAATAAACTCCTATGTGTTATTCACACCGCTCTATTTAGGAATGAATGTTTATATAGGTCAAAGTGACTTACTTTGAAGGTGTCCTTGAGACTTCTTTATTATTGAACATGACTTTGATGTATATTTTACACTTGGATATATCCTCTCTTCTTTGTTGTTCTCCCCTTCAATGAAATAATAATAACATAATGACATAAAAATATAGTACTTTAGTTTAACCATTTTTTCAAATAGGTTTCAAGATTTTTATAATTCGACTTTTCTTACGATTACTAGCAATTTTAAAATAATGCTCCTTTAGTTGTTATTATCAAAGGGGAAGGATGAAAATAATCTATACTGGACTGTATCTGACAAATATTTTAGATAGTTGAATGATAATATACTTTGGACTCTGGCTGGTAGATTTAATGCTTACTGTTCATAGAAATGTAACCTACACGGGCACTATCTAGGGATATTGGTGGATGTTTGTCAAGGTGTAACCTACATGTACCTTGGACAACTGGTTAACATAATGTTGACAATTTGTTGAACTATAACTTTGACATTGATTGGTTGCCATACTATAACCAAATAAATGGGGAATGTGTCCATGGGACACAGATGATGCCCCCGCTTGCATATAATGTTATAAAGGGATATAACTCAAGACCTGTAAAAGTGACGCTACCCAAATTTGTACTTGATCTGAGTTTTGTGGTAATAAGAATTGTGTATACGTTTCATAACATTTGGTTGAGACAAACTAAAGTAAGAGAGCGGAAACGAAAAATTCAGCAATTTTTCCATTTGTAGAGGGGCATAACTCTAGAACATCAAAAATGACGCCACCAAAATTCGAACTTGATCTGTGTTTTGTGGTAATTAGCATTGTGTATAAGTTTCATAACATTTGGTTGAGGCAAACTAAAGACGTATAGAAAGAGAATGGAAACAAAAATTCAGCAATTTTTCCATTTGTAGAGGGGCATAACTCTAGAACGGAAAAAGTGACGCCACCAAAATTCAAACTTGATCTGTGTTTTGAGGTTATAAGAATTGTGTATAAGTTTCATAACATTTGGTGGGGGCAAACAAAAGTTAAAGAACGGAAACGAAAAATTCAGCAATTTTTCCATTTATAAAGGGGCATAACTCTAGAACGGTAAAAGTGATGCCACCAATATTCAAACTTTATCTGTGTTTTGTAGTAATAAGCATTGTGTATAAGTTTCATAACATTTGGTTGAGGCAAACTGAAGTTAGAGAACGGAAACAAGAAATTTAGCAATTTTTCCATTTGTAAAGGGGCATAACTCTAGAACGGTCAAAGTGATGCCACCAAAATTCAACCTTGATCTGTGTTTTGTGGTAATAAGAATTGTGTATAAGTTTCATAAAATTTGGTTTAGGCAAACTTAAGTTAGAGAACGGAAACCAATTTTGGGACGTACAGACGGACAAGGGTAAAACTTAATGCCCCCTCTGCTATGGCGGGGGCATAAAAATGTTGAAATATAACTTGGAAAATGATTGACTAGAGTAAGACTGTCTTTTTGTGAAGATATGGCCTACCCTACTGGTTGGTGGGAGTAATGCTGGATGTTTGTGGAGATATGACCTACCTTGGACACTGGTTGGTGGGGAGTAATGCTGGATGTTTGTGGAGATATGACCTACCTTGGACACTGGTTGATGGGGAGTAATACTGGATGTTTGTGGAGATATGACCTACCTTGGGCACTGGTTGGTGGGAGTAATGCTGGATGTTTGTGGAGATATGACCTACCTTGGACACTGGTTGGTGGAGAGTAATGCTGGATGTTTGCGGAGATATGACCTACCTTGGGCATTGGTTGGTGGGAGTAATGCTGGATGTTTGTGGAGACATGACATACCTTGGACACTGGTTGGTGGGAGTAATGCTGGATGTTTGTGGAGATATGACCTACCTTGGACACTGGTTGGTGGGAGTAATGCTGGATGTTTGCGGAGATATGACCTACCTTGGACACTGGTTGTTGGGAGTAATGCTGGATGTTTGTGGAGATATGACCTACCTTGGACACTGGTTGGTGGGAGTAATGCTGGATGTTTGTGTCAACTCTGGGTATAACTTTGGTTCACCTAGAATATCATAAACATAGTGTTAAATCATTTAATTTCATAAGTGTAGACTTTTATAGAGATTTGTTGCTGGTAAACTTATGACTGATGACCGTTTTATGCTCAGGCAATATTTTGTTGAACACATTTATCCATTGATTAATAATTAAGAGATAACTGTATTGTATTTGAAGCTTTGAGGACGTCCATCGGTAGTTTTACTGTCTCAAATTGAGTTTTCCTGGCAACGCCTAGTGGAGACAGGTAAACGGATATTTGCGACAGTAAAACTACCAATGGACGTCCGCAAAGCTTCAAATACAATACAATTATCTCTATTCTAATGCAAAATAAATACATAATTCAATTTTAGTAATTATTTCAGTGTAAAATTTTCATTAAACTAAAATTCCGCGAAAATGATGTTATCTTCTTTGGCCCCAAGACTAGGTGACGTCATAGGTATGTTTCCGGCGTCAAACATAAACACCGGGCATTTTCTGGCTTCTTGGCCGCCTCAAAAAGTAATAAAATTTTATAAAAAGATGATCTCTAGGTGCAAAATGAGAGTTTTTTTGCTTATTATTGGAGTAACTACATGTCAATACATTCCAGAATTCAAAATGTTGGCTTCCTTAGTTACAGACAGGGAGATAGAGAATTTTACGCTTACTGTCATCCAATCAGAACCATTGATACAAAATAATTGCATTGAAATATAATTTCTAGCTTTAAATTTAATCATTGATATAATAAGTTCTTATCTTTTTCAAATATACACCAGTTTAACTTTTACCTGGTCGCCTTCTACTCGTCATAACTTTTTCTTTAATTTTAGCTTTCACAGCTTCAGCATCAAATTCAACGGGTGGATCTGGTTCTGGTAAATCTTCCTCTTCTAAAACCTTTTTATCATCATCAGCCAAATCCTACCACACAAAATAATAACATATATTGTTATTCTTATATGATTCCCAACACAAAATAATAAAATAAAATAATTCTTATATGATTTCCAATCTAGGAAAACTTGTATATGATTGATATGTTAGAATTTATTTCTTGGTTTACACTTCAATAGACCATGTTGTTGAAACTACTTTCCTAACCTATGAGAATTTCACTGTAGTATATTCATGTGAGATACACATGGATGGTATCCTTAAGTGTGTTTAAAGAAAAAGTAAATTGAAAGAAAAAATAAGAAATGCTTGTATTTAAAATCATAAGGATTGAACAAATTTTTACTAGAGGTATTTGATGTGTAAACTGAATTGCTGGCTCAAAAACTCTACATGAAAGTCCTTTGGATCAAGGTTAGATGAAACATTTGGACTTTTTATGTCAGTTAATCAGCCCTAGAGGATACATCAATAACCTGTAGAAAAAGGTGCATAACCCTATAATGACACATCCACTGTTATTTCAGATCTAAACATTACCATTGTGGTCATTTGAAAAGAGGTATTAATCCATTTTCAACTTTTATATGAATAGGATTTCCTTGGAAAGGTACTATGTAATGTGTATGGTTCTCACATCTCTCATTTCAATAGGAATTACACCAGAAGCCATTCAACTGTTATATAAAAATAAGAAGACGAGGTATGATTGCCAATGAGACAACTCTCCACAAGAGACCAAATGACACAGAAAGTAACAACTATAGGTCACTGTACAGCCTTCAACAATGAGCAAAGCCCATACCGCATAGTCAGCTATAAAAGGCCCCGAAATGACAAATGTAAAATAATTCAAGCGAGAAAACTAACGGCCTAATTTATGTACAAGATAATGAACAAAAAATAAATATGTCACACAGCAAAAAGCAACAATCACTAAATTATGTCACACAGCAAAAAACAACAATCACTGAATTACAGGCTCCTGACTTGGGACAGGCACATACAGAATGTGGTGGGGTTAAACTCGTTTGAAGGCGCCAACCCTTCCCCTAACCTGAGACAGTGGTGTAACAGTACAACATAAGAACAAACTATAAAAATCAGTTAAAAAAGGCTTAACTCATCAGATGAATACAAATAGAAATACATCTAACAAAAACACAGAGTGGACGTGGATGGGTACTTATACCTCCCCACAACAAAAAGGCACTAAATACAGATCTGAGAGTACTTGCATTTACTGACAGCTAGCTCAAAGCCAATAACAACTAATAAAACAAGAAATGATTGTAACAGGATGCTGTTACGAAGTCTCCCAAACGAAGCTCCCATAATTCGTAATTCCCAGGGTCGCCTGACATTGGGCAACGTCCAGTGAAAATTGGTTTGGTCAAGTAAAGTTATATGCATTAGTGATGCCTGGGGACTAACCTTGTATATCATTCAAATCATCTTGGCATGACAAACCAGAATATATATGGTTTAGGGGTGGGGATCTCGACCATTTACAAGATACTAGAATATTGGGGGTGGGGAGGAACCCCTGGGGACTGGCCCTATACGTCATTCAAATGTTCATTACATGACGAACAGGAATATATATGGTTTAGGGGTGGCGATCTCAACCATTTACAAGATATTAGAACATTGGGGGTGGGGGGAACCCCTGGGGACTGACCGTATACGTCATTCAAATGTTCAAAACATGACAAATAGGAATATATATGGTTTAGGGGTGGGGATCTCAATCATTTACAAGATATTAGAACTTTCTCAAATGGCAGGGGGTCGGGATGACCCCTGGGGACTAACCCTGTATATCATTCAAACCATCTTCGCATGACAAACCAGAATATATATGGTTTAGGGGTGGGGATCTTGACCACTTAGAAGATATTAGAACTTTCTTAAATAGCAGGGGGTGGTGGTGACCCCTGGAGATTAACCCTGTATTTCATTTGATGTGCTTTATCATGACAAACCAGAATATATATGGTTTAGGGGTGGGGATCTCAACCATTTACAAGATATTAGAACTTTCTCAAATGGCAAGGGGTGGGGGTGACCGCTGGGGACTAACCCTGTATAACATTTGATGTGCTTTATCATGACAAACCAGAATATATATGGTTTAGGGGTGGGGATCTCGACCATTTACAAGATATTAGAACTTTCTCAAATGGCAGGGGGTCGGGATGACCCCTGGGGACTTACCCTGTATATCATTCAAACCATCTCAGCATGACAAACCAGAATATATATGGTTTAGGGGTGGGGATCTTGACCACTTAGAAGATATTAGAACTTTCTTAAATGGCAGGGGGTGGGGGTGACCCCATGGGACTTACCCTGTATAACATTTGATGTGCTTTATCATGACAAACCAGAATATATATGGTTTAGGGGTGGGGATCTCGACCATTTACAAGATATTAGAACTTTCTAAAATGGCAGGGGGTCGGGATGACCCCTGGGGACTAACCCTGTATATCATTCAAACCATCTTAGCATGACAAATAGGAATATATATGGTTTAGGGGCGGGGATCTTGACCACTTTCAAGATATTAGAACTTTCTTAAATGGCAGGGGGTGGGGGTAACCCCTGGGGACTAACCCTGTATTTCATTTGATGTGCTTTATCAGGACAAACCAGAATATATATGGTTTAGGGGTGGGGATCTCGACCATTTACAAGATATTAGAACTTTCTCAAATGGCAGGGGGTCAGGATGACCCCTGGGGACTAACCCTGTATATCATTCAAACCATCTTAGCATGACAAACCAGAATATATATGGTTTAGGGGTGGGGATCTTGACCACTTAGAAGATATTAGAACTTTCTTAAATGGCAGGGGGTGGGGATGACCCCTGGGGACTAACCCTGTATTACATTTGATGTGCTTTATCATGACAAACCAGAATATATATGGTTTAGGGGTGGGGATCTCGACCATTTACAAGATATTAGAACTTTCTCAAATGACAGGGGGTAGGGATGACCCCTGGGGACTAACCCTGTATATCATTCAAACCATCTTAGCATGACAAACCAGAATATATATGGTTTAGGGGTGGGGATCTTGACCACTTACAAGGTATTAGAATTTTTTTAAATGGCAGGGGGTGGGGGTGACCCCTGGGGACTAACCCTGTATTTCATTTAATGGGCTTTATCATTTAGAACATTTTCAATTAAAAAGTTTGTGTCTATCACGAACGGTTTTCAATTTATAATCATTTGAAAATTTTAAAAAATAAAATCCCATAGGGTTCTATAGTAAAACCCTCTTTTCTTTTTGCCCCTCAAAGTACCCCTTTATAAACCCCATTGCAAAAACAAAACCCTGATTGCACCACTAGACATGTTAGTCTAACATATTGTGAAACCCTAAGTTAATCTGACAAGCGGTTTTGGAGAACGGGTGCGGACAAGTTCAAATTTAAAAGCGGCGGAAGAAGAAGAAGAATAATAATAATAATAAGAACTGAGCAAAAACAATAAGTCTTCCCAAACTTCGTTTGGGAGACTTAAAAATCATGCATCTAAGACTAGTTAGTCTATTTTGTCACTAATTGTCAAATCTATTTTAACTGTTGTGAGAACTTCAAAAAGGCTGATAGTCAATGACATAAAAATTGCACAACAGAACTAAAGTATACTAAAGGCAAAGTTAACTTGATCATGCCATTTCACATGAGCACTTATGATTTTATCTGCTTAAATCTATTCTAACAATTTCAGTGATAATTTTAATTGAAATAAACACTGGCATTCAAAAAGATGACCAGGTGAATGACTGTTATTATAAATGAAGTTTATGTCTGTAACTCCCTGCTTAGGTAACCAACATTCTTCTTGAAAAGTGAGAAGAAAATTCCTTTTCCCATTCACTTTTTACAATATATTGGTTACAAATTTAGTATTATGTCATTCAAAAAGAATTATGTTCCAGCTGATCTTTCCTTATTCCTATTTTGAATAGTATATTAAAGCTACAGTCCCATGAGAAAATTTAAAGTGACCATCTTACTTTTATAACTGAAATTAAAAAATTTGTAAGGGTTCCGTGGAACCCAGTGTCTCGCCTACTTTTGCTGTTAATCGCAGGCTCAACAAAAATGAGGAAAAAAATCAATAAAAATATTCCTTTAGATACTATCTTTTGATTGTAAGAAGCTTCTGTCAAAGTTTGGTATAAATCCAGGATAGTTTATGAATCTAATAAATGTTTTAAAAACTTTAACTGCAGAATTTATTTAATGTTAACTGGAAGAAAAACTAAGTCCATTTATAAGTAAAATATGGATAAACAGGTACAAAATTTTAACAAAATTTCCTTCTAGATACATTTGTTGTACTAGCTTTTGATCATAAACAAGCTTCTGTCCAAGTTTGGTACAAATCCAGGATAGTTTAAGAAAGTTATTAAAATTTTAAAAACTTTAACCACAGAGTGAATGTACTGTTTCCAGGCGGAAAAACTAAGTCCATTTATAAGTAAAATACGGAAAAAATGAAATTTTTTTTTTACAAAATTTACTTCTGGATACTATCTTATGATCATAAACAAGCTTCTGTCCAAGTTTGGTAGAAATCCAGGATAGTTTAAGAAAGTTATTAAAATTTTAAAAACTTTAACCACTGAGTGAATATTGAATGACGACGCCGACGGAATGTAGGATCGCTATGTCTCGCTTTTTCAACTAAAGTCGAAGGCTCGACAAAAATTCATTTGAAACAAATTGTGAGCTTGTAAACTTTTGAGTTCCACTAAAGCAATTGCTGTTTCAACACATTGATGTTTGTAAAATAGCTAATGATAAATTCACAATAGAATAATCTTGCAAGCAAACATGTATAGCTCAGCCAATTAAAATGAGAAATTAATGTTCTTTTTTTTATACTAGTGAATAAATCCAAACTTTTGCTAAAGAACTGCCTATTTTTACAAAAGTCCCCAAGGTTTGTCTGTATTACCTGTTCTTGTTCAGCACTAAGTTTAGATTTCTGTGATTTCTGTGAAGCTTTACTTCCTTTTCTCTTCTGTCTTTTCCTAGCTTCCTCCTTTTACAGAAAATAAACAATAACTTATTAATTTCTATTAATGTTTCAGAAAACAGAATATGGTGAGAATGTGTACATCATGTTTTAGTTGAATGCTAATAAGCATACTTCTGATTAAATACCTTTGGTTCCTATTAAACATTTGAGGTTATACTAAAACTAAGGGTAACTTTTATATGAATAAAAGGAAAAAGTAATATGGTGTGCCTACAAATAGCAAAAACTAATAACTAATACTGAGCTTAATGTGCAAAAAGATGATAATTATTCCCTAATGTCCAATTATTCTTTCCTACCTTAGCTTCTCTCTGTTTCTTCATTTCTTTCATCTGCTGTTCATAAGATGCTCTCTTATGCTCATATTCCTCATCATGTTCTTCTTTCATTTCTTCCAGCTCCTCTTCTATTTCAAGTTTCCACTGAGCTTGGTCATGAATTTTATCCACTTCTTCCCTGCATAGAAGAAAAATAGAGACAATAATGTTATGTCAATGTTTCCAAAAATGACAGTAAAATATCATGCAATTGCCTAATAAAATGTTTTCATACATAAACATGTGCAGAATTTGTTAGACAAGCTCTATACAAATAATATAAAAAACATATATATCCATTTCAAATAACTGCAGATACGTTTTTGTTCAATTTGTGTACTTAGTTTTTATTGATTTTGTGGAAACAGGCAAACAAAATGATTCAAAAAATGGTTGTTGTTGTTTATATCTGAGTATTTTTGTTCTGCATATCACGTAATTTAGAGATTGTCTGGCTGTATGTTGACCTATAAATCATATTTTGTTTGTATGATGTTGTTGCATTGTTGTCTCATTGACGTATACCCAATATTATCGTTATTTTACAAATTTTTCCTTTGATCTTGTTGACTGATAATTTCCGTTCTCAGTGGAGTCGAGTGATATGAAAACGGAGTCAAGTGATATGAAAATTATCGCTAGAAACTAAGGGAACATGTGCCGTTGTCAAGGAAATTAACAACGTCTTCATAGGTAAAATAGCGATAAACAGATTATCATTGGTCATCATAACCAACGATAATCTATAAATATCTCTTTTTATAACAATGTTTGCATTTTACAAACTTAGTTTGCTTTATTAGTTTGCAAAGTAACTTGTACCAAAATAATAAAATATCTATCGACATAAGATTATGACAGACACTCATTTAGACAAGAGTGCACATGCTGAAATGTCTCGCCTGCTTTACTATTCATGATTTATTTTATGTTGATATTCCTAAAGATAAAGTTTTACTACAAGTATCACATAAACTGACTTAACATTCTCAATGATCCATGAAAATGAGGTCACGGTCAGATAAACCTAGTCAGACAGACATGTACACCTTACAATCATTCCATACACCAAATAGAGTTGAAATTTTGCTTAAAGTATAATTGATTGATTGGTTGTTGCTTGCTTAACGTCCAGTGGCAAATATTTCATGCATAATCAGGACGATAAAGTATAATTGAAACATACCACACCATGAAAACTTAATATTGACCAATAAACCATGAAAATGAGGTCAAGGTCAGATGAACCCTACCAGACAGACTTGTACACCTTACAGTCATTCCATACATCAACTATAGTTGACCTTATTGCTTATAGTATCTGAGAAACAGACTTTACCAGGAAAACTTAACATTGACCAATGAACCATGGAAATGAGGTCAAGGTCAGATGAACCATGCTAGACAGACATGAACACCTTACAATCATTCAATACATCAAATATAGTTGACCTACTGATTTAAGTATCTTACAAAGGACCCTACTACTGAAACTTTATACCAATGAATCATGAAAATGAGGTCTAGGTCAGATGAAACCTGTCAGACTGACATGGACACCTTACAATCATTCCATACATCAAATATAGTTGACCTTCTGCTCTCAGTATCTGAGAAACAAACTAATTATGTAACTTTAACCTTGATCACTGATCCATGAAATGAGGTCAAGGTCAAGTGACCCTGTCTGACAGACATGCAGACATTGCAAGGAACCAAATATAGTCATTCTATTACTCATAATAAGTGAGAGATTCACATTTAAAAAAAAAGAACTTTTTTTTCAAGCAGTTGCTGAACGATGAAAATGAGGTTAAGAACAAAGGACATTTAGCAGACAGAAACTTCATAACATAAGGCATCTTTTTACTAAGTATGAAGCATCCAGGTCTTCTACCCTCTGAAATATAAAGCCTTATACAAATAGTTTACGCCACCACCAGATTGTAATCCCTTTGTCTCACATTCTGCAACGAAAGTGGCAGGCGAGACAAAAACCAATCCAATTTGAAATATCTGAAATTTAACAATTACATTATTAAATTGGTTGTGATGAAATATTGTGGTTACTGTAGTCAAAACTGAGAAATTAATTATTAAACTGATACTTTCACATGTGAAATTCAAAGAAATTGTGTAACTTGTGTGACCGAATAACAGTGATAATTCACTCATGTACTACATGCTTTTGTGAACAAATGTATAGTTAAGTCATTAGTTGAATATTTTTCTTTTTCATTGACTTCTTTCCGATTCTCTATAAATATAATTTTAATGTTATTTTTTTTAATTACTTACATTGTGTTTTTTTATATTTGTTTGTAATCAGTTTCCCAAAATATATCTGCCATTGTTTCTAACTTACTTATGTATCTGAAGTCTAGCTGGTGTATTATTATAATTTTGTGTGTCTCTCTGGGCTTTCAGATCTTTCCATGTGTGTATAATATTCTTCAGCAATTGTCTGTCAGAATATTCTTCTTTGTCTCTTAATGCTCTGGTTTTCCTAAAAAAAATTTATAAAACTAATTATAGCTAATGTGTTCAAAGAAGAGTATCTATGGCTTTATATCAAAAAAAAAGAATCAATCTTCCAACCCTTGTTACAAGAAATTTTGGGATTTGTAGAGCATTTCGACCCAGCGAGCTCCAAAATAAGTGACAAGAAGACTTTATTCACATAATTACCACTTTAAAAAAAAAAATGAAAGTTTCGTCTGTAGAAGTTAGTTAAATTCGGTATCAAATTAGATTTGAAAAGAATTCATCATTATCTTCTGAAGAACAAAATACAACCTTCTTGCAACTACAAATTTGAATTATTTTTTTTAAAGTACAAAAGAAAACTACTTTTAACATCTATGAGCCCAACAATTTTTTTCTAATAAATATTAGATAATTAAATAAAGATAAATTGACCTTCAGATGGAAATTTCCATCAAATAACATTACACATAAAAAAGATGTAATATTTATTAATATTCTTGAGATGATATTTTACCTGATTTCATATTTGTAGTCTTGTAACCTTCTTTCATAATTGGATCTGTCGGAATAACTGTGTTCTGACTGAAAAAACAACAACATTATTTTCATTCTGGAAAAAATAATAATTAACAATATCAAAGTATATTTTCTTGTACATCTGTACATGCCAATTAACCAGCTAAACTCTTATCTAATTTTCAGTTGTCAATTTTTACTGTGTTATTTCCAAAAGTGAATTTCATTCAGGCACCTCCGTGCTCATTTAATATTGTTTACAATCTGTGACATCCTTTTCTTATATTTTACAATTATAATCCACAAAAATTACAGCAAATAATTCCCAAATGAAAATTTCGGCCTTACCTTATATGCACATAACATTTGATATCAAACACATTTTTGATAAGAATAAAATTGCAAATGCATAGTGCTTATAAAGATAGATTTTACCGTCTCATTCAGTGAGAAATTTTATCATTATCTGAATTTTAGAGAGTTGAATTGCAGAAAGTTTTGAAAATTTTACTATAAAAAAATGTCAAATAGCACAAAATTAAAGTTTAATAAATTCTGGTGATCTGAAAACAATAATTGTTTTTTTTTTCCTTAGGAACCCATCAGGAATTTTGTCACAATTGTTTATCAACCAATGAAAATATGAGAATAAATGAACATCATTTATAAACAATAAACAATGGTTTGCAAAAGGGGAAATTAAGGGGGAAATTATATAAGGTGAAATAAAATCAACTAATGCAGGCTTGATCTTTTGTATTTGAACTGTCATTTAACTCTAGTAGACTGGTCTTGGCACCAATTTAAATGCCTGCCAAATTTAAAATAGATATGTAAGCTATTTTCCCCTACAACTGTTTCAGTGAATGTTAAATATTTACCTTGTGAACTACCATGTGTTCTCTCAAATGTAATGCTGAACTCTTCAAGGCTTTCAACTGTAATGAAATAAAAAAACATAGGTAAGTCTATAACCTATAAATTATCCGAAACTTCTAAAATTTAAAAATTTACAAAAAATACTGAATGTACAATTAAGCATTATTAGAAATTTAACTTAAAAAAAGTGTGTTTTCATATTTTTGAAACACTATCCTTTATTATGTATTTCCTCATGGTAATTCCTACCTTTTCTGTAAGAAACTCTGTCATATTTCTATTTTTTCTGGCAAGATATTGTCCATACAATGTTGTTAATCTCTCTGCTAATACATGTTCTCTGCTGAACAAATGATGGTGAGAAAAACTAATGGAATTCATGTCAACATCTAACTGATAAAATCCAGCATTATCCATAGATCCATCAATGTACCGATTATCATACTCTCTAACCACAGCCTTACGATACACTGTCTCTAGAAATGGTTCAGGCTCTTCAGGAACCTGTGGCCTAGATGGTTTGGGCCGTAGTGGATTAGGTAATGCCAACATTCTCCCATCTTCACCAAACCATTCCTATTAAAAAAAAAAAAAAGACTTTGTCAAAATCTAATATTATTACATCACACAGTCAGGCTGCAAAAATAAGCCAAAATATTAACACCCCATGACAAACAAGTGAAACTGCGAGCTACTGCTCACTGATGATACCCCCGCCCAAATATGCATTGGGAATATTTAAATAGTTATTGTAAAATGATGTAAGTGTTCTGTAAACAGGAAGTTGTTGAGTGATGAATCTGAAAACGCATCACACGGTATAGCTGACTCATGAAACAAAATTTCAGAAATCCTTGTAATGTAGTTGCTGAGAAAAATGTGACGAAAATTTTCAACTTGGATGTCTTGTGTAAAATGATGTAAGTGTTCGGTTAACAGGAAGTTGTTGAGTGATGAATCTGAAAACCCATCACACAGTATAGCTGACTTATATAAACCCTGAAACCAAATTTCAGAAATCCTTATGATGTCGTTCCTGAGAAAGATGCGACGAAAAATATTCATGGGACGGATGGACAGACAGACAGAGGTAAAACAGTATACCCCCACTTTTTTAAAGCGGGGGTATAAAAAAAACAATTCATTGTTTGGGTGAACTAATAAGTACCTTATCTCCGTGTTTAAGTAATCTGTTTTCCATTATGTTGAGATTCCATCCACCAAGATCAGGTCTGGTTCCCACATAAAAACCTTCATCTTCTAAAAACCTAGGCTGCTGTTGTTCTCCTACTTTCTGTTCGGCTGGTGCTACAAAATCAATGGACCAATGTTTTAGACCTTTCATGGTGGGGAAGTATTTGTGCATTTATTTATATACCAAAGACCCCTTTTTACACTTGATTGTGACATGGTTTTAATGGGGAAAAAAGTAAATGTGATTTATTCATTTTTGCTAAAACTGTGATGGAATAGGCTTCACAAAATTAAAAACCTGCATTTTAAATGTTAATAGCATTATTTGTATTCAGCATTTTCCAAAATTGTATAATTCATCTCAACAATAGCTATAATTAAAACTAACAAAAAATTCTTAATTTACAGTAAATGAAGGACCATTTAAGTGTAGCATGAGGATTACAATTACATGAAAAAAACGAAAAATATATTTCAAATTACATTTGTGATATATGTACAAGTCCATACATTCAACTGAAATATATTAGCAGCAGCTGAGTCTGTTTGCTGTGATGTTAGGGTGTATATTCATTGTTGAATACTGTTTATCAAATTTAATGGTAATTTACGTCTTTAGGTCCAAGACTTTATTCAACATTTATGTAAAGCATTATCTAAAGCATATATCATTCTATGAAATTACAATTTTTCTTACAAAGGACCATTTACTGTTTCCGAATTTTTTTTCTAAAACAGTAGCTTTTAAAAAAATAATGGCCAAGTAAAATAGCTTTATTCAGGAAGACTAATTTTCTTTCCACCTAAACAATATTTATTTCGACAGCTAAAATTTTTATGAAAAGCCCTCATAAAAATTAAAAAAAAATATCATTTGCAAAAAAATTGACACATGAATGGTTTATTAAGTGGTACTAACTAGAAAAGACAGAAGGTATAAATAACATTTCTTCTCTCTTCTTTTCTGTCTCTGGGGTATCATCATAATCTGCTCTCCTGACAGCTACCATGCCTACTCCCTCCTCATCTATATCATCTAACAGAGGCTGCTCATCTGTATTAAAATTGTATTCGTAGTAAGACTTACGTAGAATAAAAAACTGTAATGTTAACCCTTCTCAAGCCTTTCAAGATATTCTAATTTAAATGTATTTTACGTCACTGTTTCAAACTTCAAGTGAGGTAATTTGTTGTTAAAATAGAATCATCATATTTTTTCAGAGTATTTGAATAATAATTACCTAGTCATAATCAACATTTTTCAATGGAATGTTTGCACATGAATGGAAACTGATTAATCCAATAAAACTTATACAGCTTTCATTCATAGGCGATGACATGACACATATTTGTTCAAATGGGTAGATTAAAGAATCTGGGCACTTAAATTTAATAGTATCTAAGAATCACTCTTTATGACAGGATTTCAAAATTATGCAATTTTCCTATTTTTTCCTTTTAAGATTGTTAAACTTGAAACTTGTTTTATTATGGCATTTCATTACAAATAAATATGATAAAAACATAGCACAGCTGATTATCCATGAAAATGAAACAAAATGAATTGCCCATGTTTTTACATCAAAACAGAAGAAAAATGTGTAAAAGCCTACACAAACTCAGCTGTAAACTAACTTTTACTGTTTTTTTTTCTTTCTGAACAAAAATTGTCAACCTTAACCAGTGAAGAGTATCATAATCTCATAGAAAATTATACTACAAATATTTCACAATTATTTCTACTGTAAATTCAGAAATTATTGCGTGCATTTATTATTGCGATTTTTCACGAATGGACAAAAATGTGAGTTCTTATTATTGCGATACTCACCTGGTCGCATTATTCTCATTAATAAAAACCTCGCAATAATTTCGGCATTTACAGTATTAATGAAATAACAGCATTAAAATTTGGGTGTTATAATGAGGCAGAAATCTTTGGACTAATTTGTTCTTTAAATGCCATTTATACAATTATATCTGAAATGTAATTACATAATATATTTGAATATACTAGCTAAATAACTCTTAAACATGTAGCTTAAATATCAAATTAAAGCCATTTTAATGTTACGGTACTGAACCCTTAGAACTTCTTCACCACAATTTCTAGATTTAAGGTACCATAAAATGTGTTACTGGTCTTGAAATTAGAGTTATGCCACTTTGTACACATTGGTAAAATGAATTGCTGAAAGAAACACATCTCCTTATTTTGTATACCAAGTACCCAAATGATTGTCGGTGAGAAAATCCAAGCTCTTTAAAATCAGCTAAAACCAATATTTTTAAAGTTTTTTTAATTTTAGGTTTTACTTCAAAATCAAAGGTAAGATGTAAAAGGTTATAACTAAAAGTATTTTCATTTACTTCTTTCAATTTTATTTGAATTGATTGTTGTAAACAAAATAATTTAAACACTTCTTAACTCAAACAGATCATACCTTCAAAGAAATTAATCAAAATATTAATAGAATATAAAAAAAATAATGTTTTATACACTACAAAAGACCACACATGTTCTACACACTTAGGTATAATAGTCTTTCAAGAAATAGATCATATGGACTTTAATTCTGATTTAATTCAATATAATTTGTGACATTGCTCATTGATTACAAATATATATATGTATACTTCAATCAAATTACATCTTGGAATTAAAATACATTTTTGAATGTGGTGACCATAAAAATCGTAATAGTTACAAGTTCAGTTGGTTAAGTATTTTAGTTGTTATCTATGGGTATATTGGATTTCTGTAATTTAAAACCATTTGTTAATTATGGATTTTCATCTTCAGTAGCCCTTTTTATACATTTGAATACTGAAATTAAGTAAGGAACTTAAATTCAAATTAAAATAATTCTAAATACACACCCTCTGGAACGTCTTCTTTCTTTTTGGCAGCTGTTTCCTGCAGAGAGAAACAAAAATTGATATAGCAAAAACATTAATAAACATAAAAATAAGTTTTGTTTACAATAGAAAGCTTGTGCTCTCAAAAAAATATTACTTTTTTTTTGGTTTCTTTATTCACTATTCAAATATAATACTTAAGCTTTCCTAGCACTATTTAGAAAACTCAACGTTTTTAATAAGATGTTAATGTTCAATGGATTATCAATAAGCTAAGATTCTTCATTTTAACATTCCCAAACCTCTTCCTCCTCTTCTTTTTTCTCCTCTCCTTCTTCTTCTTCTTCCTCTCCTTCCTTCTTTTCTTTCTTTTTCTCCTCCTTTTCTTTTGATTCTTCTTCTGCCTTTTCTTTAACAGTTTCAGGTTCTGGTTCAAAGTCCCGAGCAAAGAAATCAAATGCTTCTTCGTTAGATGGCATAAAAACACCCTGTAAATATTCACATACATCATGTATGCTTAAACAACTGACAACAATATAAGATACTGGGATTGATTATTATTCAATGGTAAATAATTTTCATGGACCTTATGGATAAAGGTAAATCACTAAATTAAGTGTTTAACAATATATAAAATTAGACCAGAATAAAGCATTTCCTTGCAGCAATCCAGGATGTTGTTGTCTTTTTATAGTAATATATAAAATTAGTTAGATTTGTACACAAAATTTGTACAAAACCATGAAATCCAATATCCACAAAAAAACAATCTATCAAAATTGGTACTTAATAACTTCTGCCTTACCTCATTCAACAACTGCACATATATAAATGAATGAATTTTTATTGCAAAAAATGTTTGAAGGAAATATTGTACAAATGTAAGGAAATTTGTATTTGCAGTAGGTAAAAATTTGTACATTACAAAATATCTACTGTGGACTATTATTTGTTGGATACCAATTTCTTAAATTTCATGGGTTTAGGTAAACCACAAATTTAAATGTTCAACAAACAAAGTAAACATTTTCTAAAGACTTTGGCAAAAACCACAAAATCAAATATCCACGGAAATACAATTTTTGTTAATCCATGAAATTGGTACCCAACGAAATTAAAATGAATCCACAATATCAGATATATTCAGACAAGTGTCTAACCAAAGTTTAGATCCTGACATTGTACAGACAATCATAAAGTAAAAATAGGAAAAATTTTGTAACCACATCACAGCTTATGGCCTCTTCTGAACATTTAAAGGACCCTACTATGTATTTGTTACCTAAACTACACAAAAACCCAGTAAAATTTCGCTTCATCTCGGCCTCTAGTAATTGTTCTACAACTAATTGATATTTAAGTCTTAGATGCATGATTTTTTTATTAGTTGTTATTGGCTTTGAACTAGCTGTCAGTAACTGCGAGTACTCTCAGATATGTACTTAGTGTCTTTTTGTTGTTGGAATGTATAAGTACCCATCCACCTACACTCTGTGTTTTTGTTATATGTTTTTCTGTTTGTATCTATCTGATGAGTTTAGCCTTCTCAACTCATCAGATGGATAGCCCTAAACTTAGATTGTGTATGCTTCTGGTCAGGACATCAGAGTTTTATGGATTATTATATATACATACACATTTTACTGCAAATTGTTTACTGTGCCATTAATGTCAAAAACATCAAAATATTGACGAAGGAAGGAGATTTAAGGTTTAAATGAATTGTGTGAAATTATATACCATGATCTTCCTTATCATCAGAAATTAGCAGGCAGAACTAAGCTTTCACAGTCGAAAATGAAGTGCATTTTAAAATATTGTCCTACGTCAACATTTAATCTTTCAGATGCAACTAACCATTTTCCTGCTTCATTAATAAATCAGCAGAAAACACAGTTTGCTACAGAAATGTTACTGACAGGTGTTTTCAAATACTGAAGTTTTTTTTTTTTAATTAACCACCAATAACTACCAGATAACAAAAGATGTTTTAAAAAAAAATTTCATTTGATTCCAAGTAAAATAATGGAGTCAAATTTAAATTTTAAAAAGTTGTATTTTCAGTCTCATATCATACACATTAGCAAGTTTGATGGCAACCAAAAAAACATTATCATCATCACATATATGAATCCCGACACAGGCTAGTTCTGTAAGCGTTGAAGATTTTTTTACTGGTCATACTTTTAATTGCCTTTTATTGGAATGAAAAGTAACTAAGATTATGTTTACAGAGTATATTGACGTGTAAACTAAGCCTTTTAAAACAAACTTAAATGGACTATCTTCAATTGTGAGTAAGTAGGCTCTTTTTAAACATCAATAATGTATATGTCAGCTTTGCCTTTTATTCACAAACTCAATAAAATGTCCTTCACACTTTTTTTAGTTTGTGAGTAAGTTGGCCAAGTTAATACACGAATATATCCTTTAAAATAACCTTTACGACTATAATAAATTATAAAGGCCAACATCTACCTGGTAGATCATATATTTACATATAAAACCACTATTTACTAGTTACCACTGTTAAAGATCTTTACACTCTAATTGCATGTTTTGATGAAGATTAGAGTGATACTGCACATAAAATACTTATTATATTGACAAAATAATAAAAAATAGAAATAAAATCCTACAATTTAAATCTGCTTATTTCTGAAAATACCTTTAATACAGTACTGACAAAGTAAAAACTTTGGACCAGTTGACTTATCTATACATGATATATGAGTTTTAATTATGCTAATTAAGACATTAAGTTTAGACAAAATTATTTGTACCCAATGTCAATGGTTAAATTCATTCAAAATTTTAAGAATAACAGATTTCTTATTTAGATCACTTCTGTCATATTAATATATGAATGAAGGTAAATTAAATCATTCAGATGTCCTACTTTTAAATGACTTTAGAATTGACTGAAAAAAACCGAAAACAGAACACAAACTTGAAATAAATTGTGCAATTTTGCAGAAGTAAATAACCAGCCATTTTTAAATATTGGAATCGTTAAACAATGGACAAATATGCCTTAATAATTCTCACAATTTCAGGAAATGTGGCATACAAATAAAGCTATCAAAATTTAAATTAACTATGTGAACCCAATCCTGTCCAAAAATCAGTCCCCTGACTTAAGTGTCTTATAGATCAGTCCCCCCCTCCCCCAAATGGTTATATCATTTCTGTCTGGTACAAGAATAATAAACTGTTTAAACAGAGATATATAGCATCTATGTTACACAATGGAAAACTTAAATAATCATTGACACAGACACAAGAAACAAAATGCCAAAGTCTTACCTATGCTGCAGAGAAGACAAAAATGTTCACATCAGTACAAGACACAATTTCAGTCTATCAATAGCTGCTGTGACCTTGACATCTACCCTATATGCCCCAAAATCAACTGGGTCTTCCTCAACAGAAGCAACATAATTCAATCAAGTAAGGTAAAAGATTGACATATGGTTCAAAAGATAACATCCAAAATCCAAAATTTTGCTGCAATTTTAAAAGTCAATCAATAGCTGCTCTGACCTTCACCTTTGACCTATTGACCCAAATATCAACAAGCTCTTCCTCTTCTGAAGGGACATTATGAAGACAAGTGTTGTTAAGATATTCCATATTGCTCTAAAGATTTTGTCCAGAAACCCCAATGTTTACATCTGTATAATATTCACCACATTATTAGCTTTGTTTGACTTTGCTGTAAAGAATACGAAGATTTTTCAAGAACAAGGGCCATATTTCAATTCTAAATCAATCTGTAACACTTGATTATTATCTTAGATAGAAAAAATTACCTTAACATCTTCATACACTATAAAAAAAAGTCTCGACAGACAGAAAGAGCAGACAAACTTTAAAATTAGAATAACAATGATTGGTTACCGTAATAGCCCATCAGTAGCTCTCCTCTAGCTAACCAGAACAACTTAATTTCAATCTGTACTCCTTACTTAACCACACCCTTGGTGCATGGCCCTCATTAAAGATGATAAACATTGTTGATTTATTCTCAATATTGCATGAGGAAGATATTTTGAAATGGTAAGTTTATCTGGTGCTGCAAGGAGTGAGACTGAATTCAACATTCCATGCGTAATCAGTTTTAGTAGAAAAGACTACACTTTAAACCTTTCAGTTGATTTAAACTGTTCCTTATGTCTGAACAATTTACACAGCAAACATTTTACATTTAAATCCAGAAGTTTAAATCAATTTAAAATTTATTCCAATTACAGAAAATTTAAAGACTATTAAAACCAAATATTGTACTTTGCAGGGGTTGTGGTTTTTCACTTCTAAATATAATTTAGTATCTTTTTATCGAGCAATGAATTGTATAATTCTCCACATGGTTCAAAGGAATGCTTTAAACTGCATATTGACAAAGCAATTAAACAAATTAATGAAGTTAATTTACTGATGGAGTCTCATTAAAACTTCATGTGTACAAATATATAAATAGACTGTAATGACTTAGCAAATTATTTATTCTGTTATACTGATTGAATTCTTTAAAAAGGCTATTTTTCACTTGGTGTAATAAAAATATAAATTAAGTGAGCATCAAATATTGATCTGACACACTTTTTTAAAACTTTGTATATATGGTAGCATGACCTGTATGTCTTATGATTCCAGTGGTACTTTATAGTTAACTTTGAATCCATATCTTCTTAAATTTGTTACTGTAATTTTTTCTTTGATCAGTTTGTGCTATTTTATGAGCAAATGCACAAATTTATGAGGCAAACAAATTCTCGATAAGAATGGTAATTATATTCAACAAGTTGAACTGTAAGCTACTACTCATTTATGATACCCCTGCTATAAGTATTTGGTAAACAGAAAGTTGATAAGCACTGGATGTGAACACATATCACTCTAAATCATGATCACACAAAGCTTGATACCAAATTTAATGATGCTGTGAAAAATGCAACAAATATTTCCTACATGAAAGATGCAAGAATTCGGTAAACAATAAGTTGATGAATGATGGACTTGAAAATGGATCACACAGTATAGCATAGAATATTGACTCGACTGGCATTCTATAGATTGCCATACATAGAAAAGTCTTTCTCCAATCTTAGCACTTTGATGGTCCATGTGTTCACTGGGGCCCACTGTTTATACAGGCTACAACAAACTACATATATAGTAGAAAATAGGGCATACTGGTGGAGGCTGTAAGGCAGAGATGCACCTTGGAAAACCATCCTTTTATACTTACACCTAACTTGTATTGTAGGGCTTACATGTAAACATGATATCATATATAAAGGAGCAGAGCCAGGAACCCCATTAAACGGCCCTGTAAAGGTGTGTTTTAATTAACTTTAAATCTTAAAGTAAATATAATGTGTATGTATTGCTAAATGTATGCTATTTGAAAGTATAATAAGAAAAATTGTATTTCTGCTTCATATTTATAAAGATATTAGCCTAAACTAAGTGAAGATTTCATTTTCATCCATTTTCCTAGAAATATTCAACTTTTTCCACCTGTTTTCATGTGTTTATATGTGGCACCACCCCTCGCCATTGAAATTTTTGTTGAAAAGAAAAGAATATGGAATATAAAGAATATTTCCGCAAAAATATTTGTGGGCGAAGGGTGGCGCCACTGTTAATTTTTCAGAAAACTGTTATAAATTTTGCAGAATTCTGCAAAAATCAGGATTTTACGAAATTCACCTCCATTATAAAGTCACAAATATGTCACTAATGACACAACTGGTGAAAATCTTTTTTGGACATTTTAGCATATGTTTTCATCGAATTTTCACCACATTTTTGCCATACATAGAAAAGTCATTAGTGAACCAACTCCTTTGTTCTTAACTTTTTGTTCTTTTATTTTTTTCTCAGCATTTTAAGTCAGCATTAGAATTGGCATCATTCTGAATAAGTTGATATAAATACAAACTACAAGTCATGCTAAGAGAGGGAAAGGAGGGGTCTCATTCCGAATTCTGGAGAAAATAAATGCCAAAATCCGACTTTCCGTAAAAATAATGTCTGTTCACGCATCTCAAAATAATCAAATCCCAAATTTGTCACAAATTAATGGGCTATTCCCAAATTCCCTGCTCAATCCTGAATACCGCCCCTCTGCTTAGTCCTAAAGTGGATGAATTGTAAGCATTGAAATGTAACACAAAGAATGTAAATGCATTATCATACACCTGAAGAATGTAAATGCATTATCATACACCTGAAGAATGTAAATGCATTATCATACACCTGAAGATGTAAATGCATTATCATACACCTGAAGAATGTAAATGCATTATCATACACCTGAAGAATGTAAATGCATTATCATACACCTGAAGAATGTAAATGCATTATCATACACCTGAAGATGTAAATGCATTATCATACACCTGAAGAACATTTCATTATATTCATAACTTCAATGTAAAAAGTCAAGCTAAGACAGTGGAAATGGGAGATACAGGTAGAAGATTACTGGGTAAAGCTTTAGGTGGCATGTGAGTTCTTGTGTAGGTGTAGTGTAAAATGTGTTACCATAATGTCTCATCTTAACACACACACACACACATTAAACAATGTTGAGAGCATCACAGTGGGTTGTGTGCGCTGTGTAATTCTTTGGGAGCAATCACTAATTTTCCTAAAAATGTGCATCCTCATGCAATAACAAAACTTGCTGAAGCAGTAAAGTGTATCAGAGGTTCCTGTCCTGGTGTTAAAACACATAGGATTTGTAGTTTCTCTAGAAATGAAAGAGAGCTTCATGGTTTGTAAAAAAAAATTAGTTTGCACCTTAGGATTTTTAAATTTCTTTAATAAGCATAAGTTAGATAAAAGTCCCAAAACTTTAAATATGCAAATACCGGTATTTGTTTTAAGTAATTATAAAGTTGAATTCTTGAGAACATCTTTAGGTTAATTTGATGTCAGTTGAATTCTTGAGAACATCTTTAGGTTAATTTGATGTCAGATTTTCTTCTGAACTGTAAAAAGATTATACATGTACTGCAATGAACTGTCAAATCTTGATAACAGTATTTAAATTATGAAAAAATAATAAATTTGAAATATTGTATTTTTATTTTATCTTTAATATTATGTTATACAAAAATCAAAACAATAACATTTCAATATTCACAGTCTATTATTTTAAAGGATTCATAGTAAAATAAATTCAATCAATCAAAAATATTTCTAAAGAAATAAATTATCTACATAAATTATGGCAGCTCGAGCTTTCCCATATAAACCTTAATGACATCTTAACCAAGAAGCCCTCCTTCTCATTTACAAAATATTACCTTGTCTTTCAATTCAGCTTTTCTCTAAACAAATACAACACATCATAATTTATATCTCTGTGAATTTTTATATATATATATTGATTAGCATAACACTATTGGGGTAAACCAGCCTCTCACATCTCAACACTAACAACATCATCTTATAATAATGAAACTATTTTCAGCAGTTTTTTTTTTGTATTTCCTTAAAAGCAAAATGTTTGAAAGCTTACAGAAAAAATGACGGACAAAAATAAATAAATGGGAAATGTGTCCATGGGACACATAACATTATAAAGGGACATCACTCAAGAACAGTAAAAGTGATGCCACCCAAATTCGAACTTGATCTGAGTTTTGTGGTAATAAGCATTGTGTATAAGTTTCATAACATTTGGTAGAGGCAAACTAAAGATAGAAAACTGAAACAAATTTTGGGACGTACGTACAGATGGATGGCCGAACAAGGGTAACACTTAATGCCCCCTCCGGTGATGGCAGTTGCATCAAAATATAGAAATAGATATCAAAGAGACTTATGACTTGTGAACATGAGATTGTTATTGGATAGATTGACAATCCTTTTTGAATTTCAAATCAAAGCTGCTAAATAGAAAGTCTAAGTGATATCTTTGTTTACCATATATACTTAGAAATTTTGTCATGTCAAATAACACATACTACACAAAAAGGATCACATTGCCTCTTCTCACCTGAAATTCTCAAATAAGTTTGAATTAAAATGACTCTTCAATCAATGACAATGGTGGAAATCATATAATAAACAACTGGGATGTGAGCCCATGATATACCCATCCTCATCTAAAACATTAAAGGGCTTCTGATAAAAATAACTACCACAATGTGCATAAATTGTTATATTTCTGATGATTAAAGACCCATAACAAAGAAATCTATAAAATCATTAAAGCCAAAAGGCAGCTTTTCTACGTTGACCTGAAAGTTGTGTTCACATTTTGCAGTGATCTAATAAACCAAACTTAAGTTATCATGCTGAAAATTGTTTCAATGGTCAAGATCATAGTCTTATAGCTCTAGAATAATAATTCTGAAAAATGTTGAAATCAAAAAGTAATACCATAACAGAACCAAACATTGTGTAAAACTTTTGTAAAGATCCATGAAAGCCAACATGAGTTAGAATGAAACATCATCACATAATAGACAAGCAATTAGATTTGTAAGAAACAAAAGTATTTCTCAATTAAATAACTATATTAACTCAATCAATAAACCCATTTTTTTAAATTGATCAATGGAAATCTTTCTGCTCTATATCTAAAGTATGGCTAATAATGAAAAATACTACATAACTTTGTATATGCTTACATTCAGAATGAGCAATACCTTAAGTCAATTCTTACCTTTTCTCTTTCTGGGATCAACTTCTTCTTCCATCTTTCTTTCATTTTCTCTCTTTTTTCTTCAAATTTCCTTATTTCAGTCTCATCCATCTAAAATATCCCAAAATCTATTTACAAGTTTTTTATGATCTACTGAAATCTTACAAAATCTAAAGAATCTAATTTGGTACTGCCATATATGGAGCAATAAAGCATCTGTTTTACAAGAAATTAAATGGTAACACTACTGATTAGAAACAATCTTCATCTTTTTATAGGATTATAGTATTTTATTTCACTTTCTATATAAAAAAATGAATCCTTCGATGGTGTCGCTGGTGTAAGAAAGAATAAAAAAGGACAAAAAAATTTTCTGATTGTATATATTTTTTTCTCCATAGAGTGTATAATTTAATTTTAATAATGCATAAAATATTGTTAGCTAAATCTACAAGTGTAAAAAGCATATGTAAATGATAATGTATTGCATTCAAACTGTCAACTAAGAATAATCATATATGAATTCTATGCTATCAGTAACTAAAACATGTCTAAATTTGCCACTGAACATTTAACAAACCTAAAATCAATAAACATCATGTTTGAAATTATCAGAAAACTTATAAACGAGAGAAATCTAAAGTAGCACTAAATAACTATACATACATATAATCATATTACTACAGCCTCCTTCTAACCAAACAGAAAAGACTGAAAAGCTCTTTTGTTAACAGAGATCTCCTATATTTAAATGCTGATGTTTGCAATACTTTTTGATATTTCAATTTCTCAAAATACTGAACAAGGAATAATTTCTGTTTATACAATGGAATCTGTCTTGTGACCCTTCCACAAAGGAAGACAGTCTTTTAAGACAAGTCATCTGTCATGGAGATCCAACATTTTTCTGACTTAAGACAGCCAATATGTAAGTAAACTAAACCAAACTACGAAGAGATGCTACATAAAAGATGTAATTTTGGTTTACCATATGAATAAAGAAACAACAGAAAAATATACTAAAAATTATTATGGGATGATTACTATTACATAGCATTATCAAATGTTAGAAATCAAAAAAAATAAACATCCAACAGAATTTTGTTTTTCTTATTTGAATTAATCAAGGTTTTTTTCTATTGTTTTAATTATTCAAATTTTAAATTAGGATTCTTTTTAATATATATACTTATCAAAATGTAATCCTTTATAATATTTTGATAATTATTACATATAGATATTAACTTACTATTCAATAGCTCAAACTAAAAGTTTATCTTTGATATTCTATAGATTTGCCACATAAATTACTCAAAAATATATGGAGAATGTGTCTACTCGCCACAGATGCCCCCGCTTATAAAGATGCATGAGTCAATGTACTAATTATTGACATTTTCTTTTCTTTTAAAGTTAATGACATATATATTTCTACATGTTGTCATTAGAAATTGCTTGCAGGTTTGAGTGCACTTACTGTTCAATAACATCTGGTTGAGGCAAACTAAAGATAGAGAACAGAAACGAAAAATTCTGCAATTTTTATTTTTATAAAGGGGCATAACTCATGAATGGTAAATGACGCAACCCAATTTCGAACTTGATCTGTGTTTTGTGGTAATAAGTATTGTGTATAAGTTTTAAAACATTTGGTTTAGGCAAACTTAAGTAAGAGAACAGAAACGAAAAATTCAGCAATTTTTATGTTAATAAAGGGGCATAACTCATGAACGGTAAAAGTGACGCCACCCAATTTCAAATTTGATCTGTGTTTTGTGGTAATAAGCATTGTGTATAAATTTTATAACATTTGGTTGAGGCAAACTAAAGTACATGACAGACGGGACGGACAGTACAGACAAGGGTAAAACTTAATGCCCCCTCAGCTACGGCGGGGGCATAAGGCAGGGGCATAAAAAAAGTCACATGATCAATCTACTTTTGTTTTTCTGTTGATAGAAATAATCAGCGGTAAACATAAGGGCAGATCATTCAAAAATAATTTTTGGTAATGAATGTCAGATATTTTTTGAAGGAATCTGGTCTTTTAACTTAGTTGGTATGCATGAATATTGATGAAACGTTGGATTTTGTTCTATCATTGAGGCAAACTTTCAATCTATGCTACAAATAAACAGTTAGGCAAAACTTTTGGCTGGGTGTGTTTAACAGGTAGTCCTTCATGACAGTTCAAATAAATCACAAAAGATGTTCTTACAGACAAATAATCTTTTAAAAAGTAAGGTGAAGTGATTACTCAAGTCAGTTTTCTACTATATGGCAATATCAAAGCTTTTAAATATATAATATATCCATTTATTAGATAGGTTTGTCAATACTGCAACTAATCTTTAAAATGTTTCATAATGGTAAGAAAAAATACAGGTGTGTTTGATTTATGCCTCAATAGGTAAAAAATGCAACATTACTGAAATATTTACAATGCAAATGTTACACTTTCTAGTTATTTCCTATAATGAACACTCATTATGTACTAATGCATGTTAAGAAGAAAAAACACAAATTATAAATTGACACTTATGATGCAAAACTAGCTAGTTCCACTCTCCTTAAACATTAAAATGTATGCACAACTGAACACCATTTTAGCCTTAAATTATTAAATGTAATATTAGCTCAAACAATTTCACATTGTCCCATTAAAAATTAAAATCTGCATAATCCTGGCTGTTAGCAAAAACCATGAAAAATGATTTTTTTTTTGCTTATTAAAACTGTAGACCAATTTTTTATGATAATGATGATGTGTCCCATTTCATTAGGAATATGATTTAAATGAATGGGTGGAGCTAGCATACAAAGACACTCCTACATTACCTCAGACTGTGGGAAATGGATCAATTAATAAATCAGATTATAATTAGTTTTCAACACATCAAAGACATAATAGCTGCCAGGTTGATCAGGTATTTATAGGATATTTAAAGGTACACAGATTTAATAATTTCAGATGATAAAATCTATGAATTAAATTTTTTAATTTGTAAATAAAGGCATGTAAATTCCCATAAATACCATCCATTGTCTGCGAAATATGGTTCATATATTCAAGGCGTCCATTCACAAGATAATCAAATCAAAAGTTAAAAGACTAGATGTTAAAATACTACAAGCCATCGATCGACATGTCCTCTATCACCTAATTAAACTATTTAACAAGACATTTCTTTTGTTTGTAAATAAAGTTAATTTGTGTGATTGATCATGATAAGATACTAGATAGTGTTGGACGATAACTTGGTACGTGTGAACAGCGCACTTAATGTTAACCTAGTACCTTAACCACATTGTCATTTTACTTCCCGTTAACTCCTTTGTATGATAAAATACCGCCAGGTTAACAATTAAATTCCATTACAAAGATTACCTCTGTTTATGTTATATTTTCCATATAAATATAAATAATAGATCAATTGAAACTACAACAAAATGTACTCTTACAGTACTTTTCTATTTGAGACTATTATTGTTCTCATCTTGACATTTATAATTATTAAATATCATGTGCATGCGAGATAAAATAATCATATTTTCATTTGAAGAAAAAGAAAATAGGGATTAACTTTAAAGTAATTGTGCACTTTTCATCAAGTATTTTTCTGTTGGCTATTATGTATACCATATAATGATTTCACAAGCTTTCATAGCCAATGAAAACATGTAACTATTTTGAACTATGTACTACCATGATATATATTAAAATGAAAAAATGATGAATGAATAATCTGAATGAGGGTTTTATCTTTTACAACTGAAACCAATTGCATTTAAACCAACTTTTCTCAAAAGGGGAAAATTCTAATATTTTCTATCAACAGCTGTGTTTTAAATGTCAAGAATTGTAAAAAAAATTGTAAAGGGTTCTGTAGATCCTGGTGTCTCACCAGCAATTGCTTATGTCAATGTAAACTTGTAATGTTGATTGACAAAAAGTTCATGTATAAGTTAAATGCAGAAAAAAAAAAATTTTAAAATCAAATTTTTTATTGTTCTTGAAGGAGCTTATTTCAAAGATTCCAAAAAATTAGTGAAGGTTTAACAAACTTAGCGATGTCTAATAAATGCTATCCCAGACTGCTTTAATATGCATTAGATTTTTATGTAAAATTTATTGGTTTTTTTGGCTACTAGGCAGTCCTTTCTTACTATTATATGGTATATATAGTAACCAAGTAAGAAGTGCTAAAAGTGCATAAAACTCTGTAATAAACTACTGTATAACAAAAATAAAATTTAATGTTTTTTTTAGATTTCTACAAAACCCATTCAGCTTCAAATCTCTTCATTTATTAATACCATTGTTTATTCTATTAAACTTCTTGTGTTTACCTCCTGAAATCTGTCTTTCTGGTCTTTTTGTCTTTTCAACCTTCTCTCTGTTCTCTCTTTCTCTTCTTGTTGCTGTTGTTCTTCTTCTGCTTCTTCCTGTTATAAACAAAATATTATTCTGAGTGCAAACTGTATATGTTGATGTCTAAAAGTAAACTTGTTTCTAAATCTAAAAAAGTACAAATTAGATTAATAAATGAATAGAATATGTTATATATAGCTTTTTTGTCATAAACTATACAAACATTTCTGCATATCTTTAACCCAATATATATATAACTAAAATCTAGCTTGAAATATCACTAAGGTTAATACTAACATAATGAAAACAACACTTTATAAATTTTGGTGTGTTCAGAGTTTTTTTTTTTAATTTACCTTCATCAGGAATGTTTAAACCCAGTTTTTTTGGTATGTTTTTTCTCAATGTTTAGTTATTTATTATTTGTGAAGTTTTTTGTGGACTAAAGTTTGCTTTTTCATTTTCTTTTTCTTTAGTCAAGGTACATTAAGCAAACAAACAATAAAGCTAAGATGAGGACTGTTCACATTAATTTGTCCAAACCTTTGCTTTTGCCAATCTACTCTTCAATTTATCTTTCAGTGACCTTCCTCTTGGAGTTTTAGTCTCCTCAGCAGGAGCTGGTGGCTCAGGTTCAGGTTCTTCAGCAGGAGGCTCCTCAGGAGCCTCTTCTGTAGGGAAAGCTTGAACTTGAAATTAAAAAAATAACTAATTATTAACTGCACAAATAAAATTAATGTTTACAATATAATTTTAGATTGATAACAACTGGTTGATATCTTTGTTGAGAGAAAGTTATAAAAGGTTAACATGCTGTGTATTACTGTAGTATCATGCACAAGAATGAAGCATGCATTTGTTTTGTAATTTGTTTGGCTCATTGATATTCAAATAAATGTTGACATTTCCTTGAAATTTTTTTTATGTCAGACAATGTTTATAAATGGGAATCTGTCTTGTCTACTTTATACATGTTAGTAGGTTACACAAAGTAAAATTGTAAAATTTTGGATGATACCATTTATTTCCAAGATGAAATTAAATAATTACTAACCACAGTTTCTTTTATTGAAACCATCTTGTTATATGTCCTAATAATCATTTTTAATTCATTTTTCTAAGGTAGCCACTTGTTCATAGAATAAATAAGGAGAAGGGATATGATTGCAAATGAGAAAACTATCCACCAGAGTCCAAATGATGTGCATGTAAGCAATTAAAGGTCACTGTACAGCCTTCAACTATGCAAAACCTATATCTTATAGTCAGGTACATAAGGCCATGTCATGACAAAATGTGATACAATTCAGAGGAGAAAGCCTTATTTATGACAAAGCAATAAATGAAAAACAAATGTGAGAAAGAGCAACCAAGTACAACCACTGAATTACAGGTTGCTGACTTGGGACAGGCATATATTGAATGTGGTAGGGTTAAGCATTTTTGTAATCAACCCTCTGCTTTACTTAGGACAGTAGTTTCACAGCACAACATAAGAACCAACTGTAAGAATCTGCGGAAAATGACTTGACTCATCAGATTGGCACACAGCACAAAAAAGCAGTTAACATAAAGACAAAGGACAAAAAGTACCATTTTATTCACAGTTACTGAAGGCCAGTTCAAAGCCAATTACAACTAATAAATAAATCATGTTGAAGTTTAGCTTGGTTTACTTCAAACATTATCAGAGTTCTGTCTTAATTCATGCTACATACTTGAAAGGTTTAGGACCTGTAGAAAATGCACGGTAAAACAATAAAATACTTCCTCGTATTAAATAGTTAATCTTATTACTAGTATTGGTTTAAAACAATCAATATTTTACTTCATGTTTCAAGTACTATTTTCAGTTTTTTTCATCTAGAGTTCACCAAACTTGAGAAATCAAAAGAAATATTTCATTTGGATATTGAAGAAAAGTCTTAAAATCTTGCTGTGGACCAGTTCTCCAAACAGGGAAGCATATGACAAGGAGATATGATTCACTTCTCCCTTTAACCCCATTTTTCTGAAAATGGTAAACAAAATTACAGTGTATACCTTCTTCTTCAATTTTCTTCTTTTTCAAACGTTTAACTGGATCTTCTTCTACTTCTTCTGGTTCTGCTTCTTCTGGTTCCTCTCTAAATGTAACAACTGTTTCTGTACCTTGTCCATCTAAAGTATCAGGAGGCATAGGTACAGTACCATCATCAGCTACCTCCATTGTAGCCTCTTCTTCCTCCTGTCTTTCAGCTTCCTCAATTTTCTCTCTGCTCTTCTTTTTGATGGTCTTCATTTCTGTAGCTAAATCATCTTTAGGAGATATCACCTTTGATAGCTGAAAGTATATTGTAAAAAATTATGGATTGATTTATTGTTGTTTTTCTTAAAGTTTATCAGTTCATGAAAGATAACTATGTATCTGTATAAAATATCAACATAGTCTTCACTTTGGCTTACATTATATCTGTCACATGTCACATGCTACACAAGGTTTTCTGATACACAGCTATTGGGGAAACAAGCATTTAAATTTCAGGTATATTTCTCTTGGTGCCAAGTTGAATTTCAAATTTCCTGTCACAAGTTTCTTAATGTTGTTGTTATCATAGGAGCTATAAGAGCCATTATTTAGCCCATGAAATTGCAAAAATAGTAAACTTTTTGAAGCCTTTCAAGGTTAACCTAATTTTATTGATAATAACGAACAGGCTTATATAATCTGGTACTTCAGTGCAGAAAGGTCACTTTGTAAAATACATTTGTAGCAAAATATCTTTATTTTCAAAATGCACAATGAATAATCAACTCTGGCGTATATGATACAATAGTCAAAAATTTAAACAGCTCTAAGTATTTTTCCAAAAAAAATATTTTAAAAACAAAATTTTACCAAAAAATTTTTTTTCTAAACAAGAGGCTCCTAAGGGCCTGAATCGCTCACTTGGTAAAAATATGTCACAAAGCTAAACCTATATAGAATGAATATACTATATAGGGCAGTTGTTAACATTTAGAAAGTGCAATAAAGGTTGCACTTTGTAAATACAGCTGTTTCTCAAAGCACGCCTCTTTTGGGGAGATATATAATATTCATAGATATGTTAATTTGATAATGTACTGGTTCCCATTTATGATCTCTGTGTTTCATCTCATAGAGACATCACTTGGGAATGTAACCAGTACAGAAAAACATGGTAGCGCCTAAATTTTAATTCTTAGGAGGTCCAAATATGAAGGTAAGGGTTATATAGCATTTTAGTATAAGTTTAATAACTCATAGAAGTTCAGGGCATATAAATGTTGAAAATATGCCGCACAGCCCTATATTTTAACCTTTGAATAAAATAGTAGTGCATATAAACTTTCCGTTCTGGGATATTATTTTTCACGAAACTTCATAGTAAAAGTGTCACAGTTTTAGCCGCAAGGGGAGTGCCTATGGGAAATTGCATTGTCTATATTTACAGAATTGCAACCTGAAGAATTTGTTTATGATAAAAAAAAAAAATAATATGCCATTTTGATATTCATCTTTACCTTTATTGATCAGTTATGTTTTTTTTCGTAGCTATTGTATTTTTTGCAGTGCACAGTTTTTACCTATCTATTATAGTTTAAATGATAAGTAGCAAAAAAGTTGAATCAAAAAAATTGTCATTTAAGGGGAATAATTCCTTAATAGGCACAAACTTTAAAAGTTAGTCCAAAATCATCATTCAAGGCAAATAACTCACTTCAAGATAATTTTAGTGCCAACAGAAAATAGATAGATCTTAAAATTCTGAGCATTCCCCCCTTCCCCTTTTGAGCCAGGTGAGCTCAAAAGGCAATGTGAGGTAAAAATAAAAAAAAGATAGTTGTTAAAAAAGGGAGATGCAAGTTTCATATTTTATCTGATAACATGATGCCTTATACTGTCAAAAATATTTCTCCTTTATGTTCAACTAAGTCAAAAAAAATAGTTTTGACTTAAAAGTATTTACTATTTAAATCATGCTTGAAACTCTTCAAGTAGATTGATGTTTAATACTGTATTTTTCCAGGTAAAATATTTCTTCACTACATATAAACAGTAACAAATTTATCACTTACCTCTTTTTGTTTTCTTCTATGTTTTGTTTTCAGGTCTTTTACAAGCGCATCTGCTTCCATGGCTTCAGTCTACAAATCAAAAATGATACATTAGAATACAACACAGGAAGAAAAATTCTCAGATCAACTTTTTTTATTCTTATAAAAATTGCTAGTCAAGCCATATAACTATAACTGTAAACAGGGGAGTTAACTCTTATTGGAAAGATAGATTTATTTTAAATCATTTAGCTTGGTATAAGTTATATTTAGTTTATATTAATAAAACAAATGCATTTGTATCTGAATACAGTTTTCTATGTTTTCCATATTTGTAAAGACTGTCCAAATCCATGCAATGATATCTTTAGTTAATGTTGACAAAACAATTAACAAACAGTTTTGTGTCTATAGATTTTTATGTATGCCTTCTTTTGTGCTTTGTACTGATCTATTGAGTTTATTCATTTGTAACTGATTTTTACAGTTTGTTCTTATGTTGTGTTGTATCACCACTTTTACAAGTTAGGGGAGTGTTGAGTGCTCAAAATTATAATTAAATCCACCACATTCTTTAAGTGCCTGCCTCAAGTTGAGGGCCTGTAATTCAGTGGTTGTCACTGGTTCATGTCTGTCATATTTGTTTTTTGTAAATTGTATTGTATGAACTAGGCTGTTAGTTTTTCTCAATTGAATTATTTCAAATTTTTCATGTCTGGACCTTTTAAAGCTGACTATATGGTTAGAGTTGTTTTTCTCATTGTTGAAGGATGTACGATGACCTATAACTGCTTTTATCTTCCTCATTTGAACTCTAGAAGAAAGTTATTTTATTGGCAATGAAACCACATGTCTTTATTTTTTATAATCTATATTTCCCCATTTGTAAAGACTTTCTAAATCCATGCAATCAGTTAAAATAGCTGAAAAAAGTTGTCATATATAGATTTTTTTTCTGCAAACATGTGTTCAAGATGTAAAAATTGTTTACAAGATTTTTCCTTGTTTTCACAACTAAATTTTCTGACTATTAAAGTGTTTTTTTTGCTAGTATAGAAAAACAACCTAATAATTTATTATTACGACATTGCTTTTAAACAGTACCTCAGCTGATGATTCTCCTCCACTGGGCCCCATCGCTTCTTCCTCCTGAAAATGTCAAATATTGTCAATTAATAATCCTTCCTGAAAATTAAAGGAAAAGCAAAAATAGGAATAAAACATTTTAGGCTACTTGTAGTTTTTAAAGAAAAATATATTTTAAATCAAACAAAATTTATCAGAACAAATGATGTAAATATATAAATGTATAATCTTTAATCATACATAATGTTTAAAATATTCAGTATGTACTCATTCCTTTTACTGGTTTAAAAGTATAAATAAAAGGAGATGTAACTATCATGTAAGTAAAAAGTGTGCAATAAAATGAAGGAAAAATCATTTTAATTCCACTAAACGTGTATCAAATTTTAAATTGCATATCAATGTCTCTTATTTTACAAGATATATAAATGTATATCCTAGATGAATTTTTATTTTCAGAAAACATAAATGAGTCTCCTATAAATACATATGCATACCATGACTGGATTACTGACTCCATCCATGTCGTCATCTCCTGGTACCAGCAATCTGTCTTTCTTCTTACGCTTGTCCATTGGGGAATCTACATCATAAAAAAATTGAAAAATACTAAAATTTGCAACCATAAAACATTCATCCTTAAAGAAGGAGAGATAATACAATGGTCAAAAAAATTTTAAAAAATGAAAATAAATAGTCAGATAGTCCATATAGCTTTCACAGAAAAGTGGGTTTGTGTTGGTCAGTTCTTAGTTTTCTATGTTGTGTTATGTAGACTTGATTTTTTTTGCCAGGGAGTTGTCAGTTTGTCTGCCCATTATGAGTTAGAATATTCCTTTGGAATTTTTCGCCGCTCTTTTAGGATTGAGCTACGTGTACATAAACCCCCCAAAAAAACTCTCAAAGTTGGGTTGTCTGAAAGGCAGAGAGTCCCGTTAGTTCTTCTAATTTACAGCGCTGGAATCCGCCATTTTTTTTTATTTCACTGCCGCAAGAAAGAACTCTACCAATTGAAAATACTAAAACAATTTGCCCTGATCCCGCCCAGTGTAGGAATCATAATGATTCAGAACCTCATTTAAAAGGTCACCTCTCTTGGGCAGTCACTTTTGATACTTCCCAAGAGTGACTGCTTAATACAGGTTTGGCTGTACTGCATCATCGTCCCTACTCATTAAAGGTGAAAACATAGGCATAGCTTACATTGAGGCAACAGAGGCAGTTGCCTCGGTAAAAAATAATTAAAAAAAAATAAACTAGATGCTCTAAAGAGCCTGTGTCGCTCACCTTGGTCTATGTGCACATTAAACAAAGGACACAGATGGATTCATGACAAAATTGTGTTTTGGTGATGGTGATGTGTTTGTAGATCTTATTTTACTGAAAATTCTTGCTGCTTACAATTATCTCTATCTATAATGAACTTGGCCCAGTTGTTACAGTGGAAAATATTTTGTAAAAATTTACAAAAATTTACAAAATTTATGAAAATTGTAAAAAATTGACTATAAAGGGCAATAACTCCTTAAGGGGTCAATTGACAATTTTGGTCATGTTTACTTATTTGTAGATCTTACTTTGCTGTACATTATTGCTGTTTACAGTTTATCTCTTTCTATAATAATATTCAAGATAATAACCAAAAGCTGCAAAATTTTCTTAAAATTACTAATTCAGGGGCAGCAACCCAATAACGTGTTGCCTGATTGGTCTGAAAATTTCAGGACAGATAGATCTTGACCTAATGAACAATTTTATCCTGGTCAGATTTGCTCTAAATGCTTTGGTTTCAGAGATATGAGCCAAAAACTGCATTTTACCCTATGTACTATTTTTTAGCCATGTCAGCCATCTTGGTTCACGGGCGGGGTCATCAGACACATTTTTTAAACTAGATACCCTAATGATGATTGTGGACAAGTTTGGTTAAATTTGTTTTAGTAGTTTCAGAGGAGAAGATTTTTGTAAAAGATTACAAAAATTTACGAAAAATGGTTAAAAATTGACTATAAAGGGCAATAACTCCTTAAGGGGTCAACTGACCATTTTGGTCAAGTTGACTTATTTGTAGATCTTACTTTGCTGTACATTATTGCTGTTTACAGTTTATCTCTATCTATAATAATATTCAAGATAATAACCAAAAACGGCAAAATTTCCTTAATATTACCAATTCAGGGGCAGCAATCTGAAAATTTCATGGCAGATAGATCTTAACCTGATAAACAATTTTACCCTGTCAGATTTGCTCTAAATGCTTTGGTTTCAGAGATATAAGCCAAACTCTACATTTTACCCCTATGTTCTATTTTTAGCCATGGTGGCCATCTTGGATGGTTGGCCGGGTCACCGGACACATTTTTTAAACTAGATACCCCAATAATGATTGTGGCCAAATTTGACCAAACTTGGCCCAGTAGTTTCAGAGGAGAAGATTTTTGTAAAAGTTAACGACGACGGACGCCAAGTGATGAGAAAAGCTCACTTGGCCGTTTGGGCCAGGTGAGCTAAAAAACTGTTTTTTCACAAAATGCATAAGACTCGCTACTAAACCAACTTGTATATATCGTCTTGTTGCCGTTATTGATTCATATCCTTTGGGAGTTATGCAAGACTTATGGAAACATTTCCCTCCGGAAATCCCGACCCCTTTGCGGTAGTTTTTTAAATATGTCGGAGTCAAAAGAAATCGACACAATTGAACCTGAAAAATTTTAATCCTACCCCAAGCAAAATCAGTAGAATAGATGATGATCCATTTCACGACCCGGTAAATTATTAATTTTGTGTGAGAATAATATCTAGTATATGAGGGTCTGGGTGAGGTTTACAGAATACAAAAAATGCCCTGAAATTATTTTAAACTTAAAAGAATAGAGATTTAAAATGGTGCTTAAATATAAAAGAAAGGAAATCAAATTATGGACAAAAAGGATTAAAATAAATATTTGAAGTCCCCATTCAAACCCTCATATTCAACCGGTAATGTCTAAAATTGAAACATCGTTGTGTGTTGACATTTTCTCTAATATGTGTAGTACTACAAATTAGTACTGAGTTTCATTCACTTTGATATAAATTAGAATAAAATATACATTAATCAACATGCACAAACTAATAATCTGTATGTTGTTCTGAAGTTTATACTCGCTTTTTAAAATTTTATAGTTTTTCCATAGCAGGGAATTTTAAATATTTGAAGGAGTCATTTATTCCAGCGACATATATGGTATATGTCTGTTAGTTCATACATATGTCTGTTTCTATATAAAAACTTCAACCAAATACTGTTTTCATTTATTATGAAGACTTCAGAAAAACAAAAATGTTTCCGTTAGTACTTCAACGGTTGTCACTTTCACAATGGGAAAATCATGTAAGAATTTGAAGACATTCCAAGAAATATCAGGGCGAAACACAACCATTAAAAGTGCCGTGGTACGTTTTACATGTAGCATGTGTCTATTTCTTAGTTTATCAAGAAATGGTGCTAGCGTAATGTCTGGTAATGTTTCTGGTATTGAAACCTGCATACAGCAAATCCAACCAAGAGCATATTATCATCATTGCAGAGTGCACGTTTTGAATCTTGCTGTTGCGTCCACTTGTAAAGCGCTAGCTGAAATCTGGATTTTTTTTTAATTCTGTACGCGTTAGTTGACATGGTTTCTTAGCTGTATTATTTGACATGCTGTGTCATTTAAGTATACCTCATATCCATCTCCTTTTATTCTCATTGAAATCTGAGTTCACTGAAAGGATTCAATTTGAAATAGTGGTAAATGTATTTGAGAACATTTATGTATTCATCTGAACCGTTGATTGAAAATGATGTAGGTACCAGTAATCAACTAATAAATCTGTAGTATAACTTAGTGTAAGGCATATTAATATTATTATGATGAAATAAAATAAAACATCTGCTATAATATTTAATAGATTCTTCTTGTTCAAATTGCAAAACTTCAACAGCTTCTGAGGGCTGCAACCCCAGACCCCCTGCCTCAGTAATAAAAGAATGCAAGCTACGCCACTGGAAACAAATCCTTTTACATTATAAGTCATATATCTCAATATGTCTCATAGCAGAATTGCGGTTTGGAAGTAACTATTTACATATGTACTGCAAGATTATTCTGAAACCTAACTCTAATAAGGGGACGAAGTCCCCTATTACGGTAGAAAAATTTAAAAAAAAAATTTTAAAAATTTAAATTTTAAATTTTAAAAATTTCCCGCAAAAAAATCATTCTACTAATGAACTCAAAATAGTTAACTTTTTTTTCAGACTTTTTTATTTTCCCGCATTTGCACAGAAATCTACTTCCTTCTTCCGGTCTCGTTTGTCATGATTCTTTGAGTAAAATATAAATTTATCAGTTTAGTAAAATATAGGAAGGAACACAATACCAATTTCATTTTTCACAATTATTTGAAATGAAAAAACGTTACCTGATGATAGCGTTTCTTTGTTTACATTGAATATGATGTCATAACTTAAATAACGTCACAACTAAAATCCCTAACAACAGAACCAAAATCGGAAACGTTACGGTATCTCCGTTTCTTAACAGATTTTGAAGTTAAAATATGTTTGAATTAAAAAAATAATTCATAGACTTCGTCCCCTTTCACAGGTAATGCCTGCCTCATATTAAAATAACTACAATTGCTATTATTCACTTTATTTACCACAAGCCAAATATATATATGGGCAGAATTAGATGTGGAAACATAGCTCTTAGTCTTAGGTCATTATGATATTTTTTGACAATTAGCGGATCATCTATGGTCCACACAAATCAGAAAACATAATCGCATCAGAGTAAACGTTCCGAGCTTGGACAGAATAGACTGGGGGTGCAACAACTTGGGGCTGGAACTATATTAAACCAATTTATCATGACCTGTATATTGGAGATACATTCTAATGAAATGTGTTTCTTCGCAGTTTTGCAGAATGTGCTTACCTGCCCTGATTTTTACCGCAAACTTGTAGTCTGTAGATAAATATAATCTAATACTTTGCGTTCTTAGCAACTAATGGAATGCATTATTTCACCAAAAGCCTCTGTATGTTTAAGATAGATCTTGAAATTATGTTTTAAGAATATTTAAAACATTCTAATTTAAAAAAAAGATACCAAGTTGTTAAAGAAATCGTGCAAAATATTTTGGTTTTTCGTGACAGAACTTGTTGTTTACGCTTATAAAACCTCCTAAGTAAAGAACCACTAATAGGGGACATAACTCTCCATAATACATCTATTTACCGAAAATGACTTTGCAGGTAAAACGTACTTAATTATAAACCGGTTATTTTTTTTTATGAATTTTTACGTTGAATACAACGGGCCAGCAATCTCTGTTTTGCCTACAAATAAAAAGAAAATGAATAGGTTGAGGAAGATGGAAATGTTTGCTTTTAAAACTAAAAGATGTAGACATTTCACCAACTGATTGGAACATTTTTAAAACGGTTAAATCAACAGTCTCATTCTGGAATATTTAGGGTGGTTGTTTTTAGATAGCTATAATTTTGTCATTTTGAAAGATGTTAAGACAAATAAAATATCATTTTAAAGGAGATATAGCCAAGAAGTATTTCCAATAGAGTTAGTAAAACCACCATTATATACCTGCATATTTTCAGAGACATACAAGAATACATGCAATCATTATATATATTTGTTTAGGGGCCAGCTGAAGGACTTCCGGGTGCGGGAATTTCTCGCTACATTGAAGACCTGTTGGTGACCTTCTGCTGTTGTCTGTTCTATGGTCAGGTTGTTGTCTCTTTGACACATTCCCCATTTCCATTCTCAATTTTATTATCTTATTGAACAAGTGTTAATAATTTATTTCAAGTTCTAAATCGCCTGAGAATTTATTCATCAGAGACAACCAAAGACTGAAAGGATACAACTGATCCATGACAAAACCATTAAGATGAAACTAAAGACAACCGCCTACGAGGTTCCTGTCACGCCTGGGACAGGCACGTGCACATGTAGTGCGTAAGAATCCATGTTGTTTCTTTCTTTTCCTTAATGATGATGCCCCGTTAGCTCACTTGTCTACATCTGCATTTACATAATACTTCTTAACTTCAATATATTAAAGATTACGAGAAGGCACATGCTATGGCATTTTTTTAAAATCTGAACATATTTACGTGAATAAATTTCAAAAACAACTTTTTTTCATTTATATTTTTTGTGTATAGATAAAAACATTTATTTGTTCTGGCAATATATATGGGATTTTGCCCCAGACTAAAATTTTCTAAGTTTGAGCTGTACTGGCTACCTGGTTTTGTAAGGAATTCCACAACCTGATAGTTCTAGGAAAAATGAATATACGGATGGTAATTTGTGGGAGAGAATGGCTGTACAAATTTATGTTCTTTTGATGGTACTAAGTATTGCTTGTTTGAGAGGGAAACTAATTGATGTTGGGTTTTGTAGAGAATGGTGAACGATGCAAGATTTCTTCTTTGTTGTAGTGTCGGCCAGCTTAGATATTCAAGCATGGCTGTTAAACTAGTTTGGTAGCTGTATTGATTTAGTGTATACCTGGCAGCTCTTCTCTGGATCATTTCAATTTCATGTATTTATTGTTTCTGCCAGGAATCCCAGACAACACTACAATATTCCATTTTTGGTCTGACATATGTTTTGAAAGCAAGTTCTTTTGTTTTTATGCTGTTGGTTTTTAAACTTCTTTTAATAAATTTTAGTGATGCATTTGCTTTATTGGTTTTTACACTTCTTTTAATAAATCTTAGTGATGCATTTGCTTTGTTTGTGATGTTAAGTTCCATATGTTAGATCGTTTGTAATGGCAACGCCAAGATATTTTGCTTTGTCTGTTGATTTTAATATGCGACCATGTAGTGTATATTTAAAGATGATGGGTTTTTGCTCTCTTGTTATCCACGTGGATGATTTCACATTTGTCTGGGTTGAATGACATTAACCAATTTTGCTCCCATTGTTCCAATTTATGTAGGTCTGATTGAAGGGTGTGACAGTCATTAAGTGATGATATTGTTAGCTACACAGTGGTGTCACCTGGAAAGAGGCAAACATTACTTTTGTCTGGCATGTCATTTATGTAAATAAAGAAAAAATACATGGCCCATGAACAGAGCTTTGACGGACGCCTGACAATACAGGACAACTATTTGATGTGTGACATTCAACTACCACTTTTTGAGATCTGTGAGATTGGCCTATAGTTTTCGGTATTAGATTTTGCTCCTTTTTAACACTGGTGTAATAATGGCCTCTCTCTAGTCGTTATTTGCTGATTTACTGATGAATTAAACAAGTCAGATATTATAGGTGAAATTTCATGGTCTACCTCTTGCAAAAAATGAGGTGATATGTCTGGACCAATTGCTTTAGTTGGGTTTAAGTTTTTTTTTAGTAATTTGGATTTTATTAAAATTCCTTCTGGAGTGATATATTGATTTGCTTCATTTCAAACTTGTGTTTTGTGGATTTTAATGATTTCAGTTCACAATGGGTGATAATTTTGATTTTCTCGATGTTGGATAGCTTTTGATTACACTGAATGTGCATTATTTAACAGCTCAAATCAATATATGAGGGGGTGAACAGCTTTTGAGGGAGGTTGGAGGTGGTAGAAAGGGGGCGGGAGGTGGGAGGAAGGGGAACGGGAGGTGGGAGACAAAAAATAGATGGGAGAGAAAAAAAGATTCTAAAAGTTGGAGGTGGGAGATAAGGGGCGGGAGGTGGGAGAAGGGTATCCCCTGCCCACCCCCTCATACATGTAACAGCGGGACACCGTACAACCGACTTGTTTCATTTGTCAAAAACCCGACGGATACGACCACGCACCGCTGAATACTTGAAGAGCCTGCCCAGAAGTCAGTATGCACCAGTATTTTCCTTTATTTGCCCCCAATTAATAGTTTTTGTAATGACCGGAGCTTTATTATACATGACAAGTCTAAATAAAAGGTGTAGCGATTCAATGTATTTTTCTTGTTTAAATCTAAAAATAGCATGCTCATTAAAAAAAGAATTCTAGGAGCGAAGGAGCCGGTGGGTTGCTATTGGCCAATTCTTTTTCATTGGACAAAAACAAAATGAAGATGAAAGAGGAATAGATTTTGTTTTTGACTTGTCACTTTCAGAATCCCCTTTCAGAATCCCCCACCCACTTTTCATTCTGCTCCTACGTCACTGATTTATAAGCATATATCGTCCTAAGTATACGCTTAATGAGCGTTTTAATATAAATGACCAAAATCGTTGTAATCACCGTTCTGTTTTCGTTTTATTTATAATGTACACGGAGACGTATAATACATTACGTGCCGTTGTTTTGACTGACGTTCTACAATGTATAAATTTCCAAAATTTTCTGCTTTAATTTCGGTCATGAAAATTACTATACGCATACTATCTACGAATTATTTTTCTTTCGTATTATCAGTTTGATTGTCACATGGGTATCACCAGCCAAGTAGCCAGTACTTTTGTTGTTATAAAACTTTTGAAATTATTTTAGATTAAGGAATGTATCTCCCTAATGAAAAGCTCTGATTCCTTGTTCGGATTTGACTATACTTTAGGTCCTTTTTGATTTGATTTAAACAATTGTATTATATTTTGGATATTCAAATATTTTGGCCGAGTGTAGCTGTTGATATGTATCAAGTTATATTATTAATAGGTACTTATGGAAGTTGATACCTTCTATGAACAAGCATCCGACAGAAAACTTAACATCGAATAATGCAAGAAGTTCAAACTCACTGGAGAATGAATAATATTTACAGCCTCATATTTTTCTCGAAAGTTATCAATTTAGATTCGAATACTAGTACAATGAGTTATCTCATTGTTTTTTCTTCTTTAGTACACTAATAAGGGGGAAAAGAATGCAATCATTCATATAAGTCACACGGCGATCGGAGAGATTGAGACTAATATATAGTACCTGTAACCAAGATGCATACATTCAACTGAAACAGAAACAGTGTACCAAATATCGATATTCTGCTCCAAGCATAACCGAAGAGGCTGTGTCGCATAATCTGAATGTGAATACTTATACAACTTTGTACCAAATATGTATTATCTGATATAAGTTATTTTTCAATTACTAGTATACACCTTATCAGAAAAACTTAACTCACTGGCAATCATACCATATCCTTTTATTTTTACATTAAAACATTTAAGCAATGTAAAAATTCCAAACTCATAGAAACTTTCATTCTGCAATGGGAATTGAAACTAAGGGATACCTGGATGCTAAAGAAAACACAAATTACACATCAATGACCAATCATAAATACTCTTTTTTTTAACATTTATAATACAAATAGAATTGAGAATGGAAATGGGGAATGTGTAAAAGAGACTACAACCCGACCAAAGAGCAGAAAACAGCCCAAGGCCACCGATGGGTCTTCAACACAGCGAGAAAATCCCTCACCCGGTAGCGTGCTTCAGCTGACCCCTAAACAAAAATGTGTACTAGTTCAGTGAAAATGGACGTCACACTAAACTCCGGAATATATAAATGAACTGAAATTAAAAAAAACATACAAGACTAAAAAAGGCCAAAGGCTCCTGACTTTGGACAGGCGCAAAAATGCGGCGGGGTTAAACATGTTTTGTGAGATCTCAACCCTCCCCTATACCTCTAGCCAATGTAGTATAAACAAACACACAGCAATACGCACAGTAAAACTTAGTTTAGAAGAAGTCCGAGTCCGATAGTTTATTTACGTCTCACCGTTAATAATACATTACAGTTAAACAATATAGAAATAAAAGCATACCTTATCGGACCACTTAACTCGAAACAATACAAAAAATATAGTCACTGGAGCATGACTGAGAGGGCCGGAATTATGCAATGAACTCGAGATGAATGGATGCTAAAGCAACTTCTTTTCATGGTGAAAAAATTACATAATACGATTACACGGCGTCTGGTGGAAAGGTAAAATATATTTTATATCTCACAGGAGAAATTTCGACTTTCCGCTTTTAATTTTTTCCCGAGTCAATATTTTGATTTTCGTTTTTTCCTGCTTTTCACACTTTCGACTACTGCTGTAAAGGCTCTTTGCTTTTTTAATCTTTAATTTACAATTTTTAGCTTTTCGACTTTTCTTCTTTTCTCCAGTTTCAGAACGCACGACAGGGAATCCAGGAATGACAAAGAAGGCAGGCAAGAAT